CATATAGATAGCGCCATGAATGGCACTACTCCTGTGTGCTCCTGGCCTTGAGGAATAAGGTAGAGGTCGACGAACATCACATGATGTGACCATAGTGTGACATGCTTATGAGACGACAATGCTGGAGCGAGTCTATACTAAACATTTCTCACCGAGCCCTACTCAAGAAATCCACAGTTTCGTCCTGTTATCTTCGCCCGATTCGTTTAGTGTTCCTTGTCATTTTCCGGACAAGGTTCCATAAGCCGTACAAACGACAACCACCCAATAACCACCCCAAGCATCATATACCTTTAATATTGTCCTCTAACATGTCTCACTCACGAACCACGAGCAATATGAGCGACCTGAGCGAGACCATCAGCGAACCTGATTCCGTCATCAGTTTCAACGAGAACGTGTATCTGTCCATGCAAAACGCTGATATATCCACTGCGACCTATGTGGAGCAGGCTCGACAAATCCTAGACCAGCTAGTGACGAAACAAAACAGGTGGATCGAAACTCCACCACGCGTGAACAACATGGACGCATCCAAGGCTCTAGACGCGGTGCTGAGGAACGCTCGCCAAAGCGGTGGTGAAAAATCCGAGCGTTATACCACCTGTGCTATTTGCGCATGTCCGGAGATCTACGAGCAAGTCAACCTCGCGAGGACTTGGTTCATGTATCTGCTATGACCATGTAAGTTATAACTTAAGTGTCTGCCACGAATACCAATGTGATTTCCCCTTGGTAGTTACAGCCGGATCTCACCAGCCATCATACCTGATTTCTGATCAAGCCACGCCGACTATTGACGACACCTATGGCAGCCTCGTAAGTGTCAATCCAGAACGGCGTAGCGGAGCAATGTACGTCCCACTGTCAGAAAGGTGGCTTTCAGCATTAACTCCAACAGCTTAATCGGCGAGACGGTTATAGATGCGTTGTTACCGGTATGTGGGATGGAGAACACAGGCCCGCCAGTAGCAATCAGGCTTGGGTGACCTTGACAGGAGCGCACCTCCTGAAACGGGCCGTCGGTGTTTTCACCCTGGAACGGGTGAGGATTTCTCTGCCAGGTTGGCATTAATCCTGACCCTCGAGTTGGATTACACAGCCGCATACTGCGGCTGCAACGTGGAATATCATTCGACATTACTCAGGAATGTCCGAAGAAACTATTCAAGATATGGAAAGGCTTGTAGATGATCCTTCCAACGGCATGATGCTCCAAGGCGATGTCCACACTGTTTTTGATAAGCTAAAAGTATACCTCGAACAGACGGAGGTGAGTATGCAGGCTTTCGTCCTCGCAATGCCTCATTGATCAGCGCTCCAGCGAGAAAACGAGTACATAGTCAAGGAAGTTAGCAGCAGGCGGTGGATACATCGCGACGTTCTCGATAGAACTATCGCCTTCCAGAATCACGCTGCCCCTACACGAGACATACCGTTGCCTAACCCTCATTTCATCGCCCTACACGCAGCCATCTCTCCGATTTTGCATATGAGCGGTGCAGCCGAGGTATTCGCACAGATCTTGGACCGATATGATGGAGCAGCAGGAGGCAACGCCGGAATTCTGAAAAGCAATGGAAATCCAGTACATCCACTATCTTCGATGATGTCTGCACTGTATATAAGCACCTCATTGGAGTCCACTGCATAGAGGTTGCAGTATTGTCTGTAATATTGTTGGTGTAAGTTCAATGAACGTATCATTGGACCTAAAACCATGTATGGCACACGAGATACAAAGATGCAGCCTCGCAAGGATGGTATGTGCTAAGATATGTCTGTATGTTGCGAAAGTCGAGCAGCCTGGATCCGATCAAACAAAGAACTTTGCTAGCACAAGCAGTCTGCACGGTCGGGGAGCTCGTGGTCGAACAATGGCCCGAAGAACTAGAGACTACTCAGAGTGAACAGCAGTCGCGAGACGCATTGTGCAATAGCTTGCTGACGCATTATGAAAATGGTTAGCTCCTGAAGTACTGTGAGATCTTCAAACAACAGTTCAGGTTGGTCCGAATCTCCGGTAAAACGGAATGTGAGAGACGAGATTTGATTGATGCAAGACTGAAGAAGGCTTTGTAGGTTAGGTTGGTGGAGTCATTTGCGTGGCAGGCGAGCGCTAACGAGAGCGGATGTCCTCGTGATCGTTTGAGCCATAAATCATAGCAGAAAGCTTGCCGCTGCCACCGGTGTCTGGGGTTGACTGATACACATAGTCTGCACCACAAACTGGGCACGCCCACAGCGACCTCCCTCCATCGTCGGCACACTGCAGTCACTGACAGCACGGGAGCTGTAGCTTTGATGGCGGCTGCAATTCATCGGGTGCGGGAAGACAGTGGTGAAAATTTGGGACAAAACTTTTATTGGAAAGCGCGAGAGAGCCGAGACAAGTTTCTTGTGCAAATTCATGGACTGGATGATCATGTTCGTTTGTTCGACAAGGTTCCGGTGAAGATTACTGACAATGTACATGACTGTTTCCAGCCTGCAAAGCCACATTCAACTGTTGCTGACGTTCGGCAACGATGGTGCGGCGCTCGACCTCAATGCCAGAGTAGTTCGTATTGGGGAAACTGGCATGGGAGTACGGGGTTTCAAGGTCTGGCATCTGCTAATCGTGAATATGGCATCGGACACATCCACATAGACGTACGATTAGTTGTGAACGTAACTGAAGGAATGGTTATAAGTTATTCTCATAAGCAAGTGTCTATAAAACTGTAGTCCTTACGATGTTCTGCAGTGCACCAATGATATCCGAGGCCGTGCAAAATTGACTTGTGAGCCATATTGTTTGCTAATGGTTGAGAGGAAAACAAGTTGGAGGGAAAGATTCGAAGTACTTCGACGACTAGTAGGAAAGAAAGGAACTGAGTCTGTAACTGCAAGTCTCGACTTGGACTCTGAATCGACCAACAAAATGCCTGGTCTCACGACACCTGCCATCACAGTGGATCACACCCTCTGAGCTTGGACGCTGAGACACCTTTGGAAATATTATCTCGCTGGAATTGGGAAACTCAATATATATGTTGAAGTCAACCGAAGTTCGATTGAACTTTGAAGGTCGCAGAACAGACTTGTCGAGTCGCGTGGGTCTTCTTTTCTCACTGTTTTCCGACTTTTTTTTGATACAGAATAGGCATGGACGCATTCTGATCAAGTTCCGTCTTGGTGTTTCTGAATCTGAATGGTATAGGGTAGCAGGTGCAAGTCGAGACCGATGCATGATGTTGCAAAACTTCAGCAGAAGACGCCGGCCTATATACACATGTGACACATTTGATCGCGCAACTAAGAAACCCCTCATACAGGCTCTCTTGCGCTACTTCTGTCCCTCTTTGGCGACAAGGGCAGGTGTATAAGGCAGTTGGGTGTCGAAAATGCATGTTTTAAGGTCTTCAAGTTATGCGAAGGAGTCCCTGGATGACGGAGATGCTACCGGTGAGATAGAGGATCCAAGTCAATAATCACCCTATGCATTTGTCACTCGGACCTCAGGCCTCAAGTTTCAACCTAAGCGCGTCAAGTACAATATCCGAGTCCTCTCGCAGTTGCCCCGCAATGTCCCACCTTCTCATGCATGCTTCCATGAACTTGGAACGATAGCAATTTGTGCCTAGCTGGTAGATTGGCGGCATATCGCTCATACCTATGCCAGAGTATATCGATAATCTAATCACCACGTTCCTGCGAGGAAGTACTGGTCACATAAATATACTGGGCGCCAATATCTCTATCTCCACAATAACTTGATCAACGAATTGCGCTTTGGCGCGGAATTCAAATCGATCAGGTCGTATATTTTCATTTTCTAAGAGGCTTTATACCAAAAATCAAGGACAGTGTATTCCATTGCATCGCGATGAATGTGAGTTTGTGCATATCATCTCACAACCACTTACTAAACCTGCATAGAAGACAGATGATGAGACCATCTTCGGCAATTCCTTCAAATTCCAGAAGCTTTTTTTTTCTGTATGAAGAATCATGCGTCGGTCCGTGATTCCACTGCAGAACAACTTCGCTCACGAGACTTCAATTCAACAGATCAGATCTAAATGTGTGGCAAGTATGGCCATTGGTTTCACATATGATCTCCTCATATAGTACCGCTTCCCTCATCCTTCCTGGAACCTATTGCTCTCTCTCTCTGTGTACCACCGGTGACCAGTCGGCCTGCTACAGTCTGAAAACAATCTCAACGTCGCAATACGGCTTATCTTGTCTCGCCTCTGTCTTAGATCAAATGTCAACTTCTATTTTGTGTCCTGTCTTGGACCGAAAACAACAAAAGTCAAACACCGTGCGAGGTGGTCCAGGAGGTGGACAACGCGTGCTCATATACACGTAAGAACTTTTCAACAATTTCATTTGTTCATGCTCAGGCTTCAGCTACTCTAGGCGCTACCATCTCCCCTCCCTCTTTTGAAGAAGCGTCCATTCCAGCTGGCTCAAACGTGACTGCTTGCACATGGTAGGTCCGCCAGTGTGTATAAATTACTTGGTAAATAATGGCATCATTATCGACAGCTCCTGGGCTAGTTACAACTTGTTTAGCGCCTGTATGTTCTGTGCTTCTTCATCGCCTTTACTAGTGAGGTAAGTCTTCCTATGTCACCAGCGATATACTTGAGCTAACATGGTACAGTTGGGATGAGTGGATAGCTAATTGCCCCACAAACCTGACGTCGACAACAATGTGAGTTTTTATAGGTATCTCATATCCCTGATCTAATGAATTTGTTAAAGATACTTCCCCTCGTATGCGGGAGTGACACTGCCTTCCAATACCTCGATACCTTGTTACGCGGGCTATGATCGTACGTCGTTGAACCGCTTATCACTAAGCTACCTTTCATGGGGACCTCACAGCTCGAAGCTGGCTGAACGGAACATTTAATGAAGCGACCGCATCCGATATTGCGTCAGTGTGTATGTCAATCTCACTTTGGTGAATCTGCGAACACACGCTGACTTAAACAAGCATATTCCGACTTGACGGGAGCCGCCGGTTCCTGCGCTTCATCTTCAAGCTCCCACAAAACCCGAGTGGGTGCAATCGTTGGTGGAGTAGTTGGGGGAGTAGTCCTGCTGCTTCTGCTCTGTGGATGTGTCCTGTTTGTTGCACGTCGCAGACGCAGAAGGGCCAGATCCTCTCCTGAAATCACTCGGTCGAGCAGCTTACACTTAGCTGAAAAGTCTGGCAAAGAAATGGGTCTGTCCCCTTCGAATTCACTCTCGTCACCAGGATCTCCCAAGACACCAACATTAACGTCAACTCTTGTTAATCCTGAGGGGAAACCAACCTGGGCGGGAATCTCAGTCCTGCGTCCGGTCCTTCCGGCGGAAATCGACGATGCTCCGGCGGATGCAGAACTTCGTAGACCCACAACGCCAACAGCTCCTCAAGCAGAAAGGGACGATACTCCGGCGGATGCTGAACTTCGTAGTGTCGCCATTCCTGGTTCATATGGCGAACTGCGAGCACAACCTGCTGAGGTAGACGTTCTGGATGGACACCTACCCACAAGTCTACGAGACGTACAACCTATTAGCGTTTACGCTGACGCAGAATACTCTGGCACGGCGATCTCGGAACTGTGCTGTCCCCCGCCTGCTACGGTGGAGCCTGTGCAGGAATATGAAGGTCCAATTCTTGAACAATCAGTCTCCGTAAGTACTGTAGTCACCGAGTTTTTAGATAAAATAATCAATCACCCTGCAGATCGGAGATGTTGCTACCGAGGCTACCCGGCCTGAGGTTGAACAGGTCGGAAATCTCCTAGCGCAGCTTTACGTTGAAGACACCCCGTCCACTACCATCGTTCATGATCACCCTGCGAATCTCCAAACAGTATCGCAAGCAGAGGCAGAGGATGTAGAAGCTCTCCTTGTTTCAGACGCACATGAAAGAGCGATAATGCCCATGATGATCTCTAGAGGCTCGGGATCATCTCTCCCATTTGTAGAGGCAAAGAAAGCACCCGTATCTGAGGACCTGGTAAGTTTTTATCAATATGTACCAAGAAGAATGTACAGTCAATGGGTGTCGATAAATTTCATAGGTCAAACGTGTGGTATACACGTACCTGATGGATCCTGCAACAAAGCAGAACGCATTTTCTTCGCGTACGCATGGCTTAAAGCTGTGAGTGATACTGGGTCTAAGTTCCTCATAGTTCGAGCACCGTTTATGGCCTTTGCAGTGATTTGCTGTTCATCCTCGATCTCACTGGTAGCCAACAACCGTACATAGACTCAGTCAAAGCATCGATTAACGCCATCTGCGCGGAAATACTGGGATCCGATCATATGAAATCAGCTCACCCAGGCGGTCTTCGCGTCGCATTTATTGGGTTCCGCGATCATTATCCCCAGGATGACACATTCGTTACCCGCCAATGGGACTTTGTCTCGGATATCACTAGGATCCACGCGAACTTGAGCCATCTTCCCGAGGCGGATGGCGGTGGAGATGGGCCAGAAGCCGTAACAGCAGCTCTAGCTCGAGCTTTAACGATGAAGTGGAGGAACGACTGCAACAAGGTCGCTGTGTTAGTCTCGGATGCTCCACCCCACGGTATTGGATCCCAGGGCGATTACTGGCCTTACGGTGTGCCAGGTGGTAAGATTTCATTACCATCCGTCGTCGTAGACTCTGGAGTTCTGAATTTTTGTATACTTACATCAGTTCCGGACCCTCTTGATGTGGCAAGAGACATGCTGAAGAAGAAGATCACTTTAGTGCGTGTTTCTCTTTCTGATGCGATCTATTTGTCGACATGCAGCTTTTAGCATTTCGTCGCTTGCGAGCCAAGCTTGAGTCGCTTTCATGTAAGAACCTACCGAGATCCAGGATAAATGTAATTGTTCAACATTTCTCGCGTAGAATGCGCTCGATTTTTACCGTGGTCTTACCCGTATAACAGCGTAAGTCTTCTACAGAGGCAGACAAGCAATTCAACTGACATTTGCTCAAGGGGCATCGTCGTCCCACTTCTTGACTCCAAGGTCATGTCAACTTGCATCATCGGCTCTGCTCTCGAAAGCCTTGCGATACAAGATCTCATCAACGAATACAGGGAAACCCTTGAGGAGTTGGTTTCCTCACGAGATCCTTCATTAGTAGTCAAATACCTCCATGCCCTAATGCGCATCAGAGGTCGTACGGCTGATCAGCTGATTATGGAGAATATCTACGACATGTCTGGCGACAGGAAGGAAAATGTAGAAATATGGTCGTCAGCTCGTAACCTCGCCGATGCGAAGGCTCGATTGAAGGTGAGCTTGTGGTGATCCTCTGCGCTGGAACTCACATATTCACATTACTCGTGTTAGCGTTACTACTAGGTGAATGTGTAAGCTGGATAGAATAGTTCTAGATGCGAAGTTGTGTAGGATAAGTTTTGAAGTTGACCTCGATCTTGGTACGACCACCACGGCTACTTGGCTGAAATTATTCTTGATGCGGAGGAAATGCAGATGATATATTTCTCAGTGCTCACCTGAACGACACGGAGGCAAGAAACCTTGCGATAAATAGAAAGTAGGTCTGAATCCACTACTACTTCGAGGGAAGGAATAAGAGCAATGTATTCCGCTCGCTGCTCAAGTGTTGTCGTCACTCCAGAGCGCAAAATCAGGCTTTCCAGAGGACACCTTGACCGTGCCAAGAATGCCTTCAATTCTTCATCAGGCAATGTTGGTACTTCGCAGACTTCAAGTATCCGTAAATTAGGGAGTGAGAGAGCATGAGAGCATTGAACAGGTCAGATACTCGGTTTAAGCACGGCAAATCTGCGGTGATGCGTAAGGACCGGGGACTGGTGTGCGTAAATGGCTCCAAGACCTGAATTTCGCGGGCTGATGTGCGCATTTTTAACGAGGAGAGGTTGGGAGCTAGCTGGAGCAAGTGGAGAATTGTGTCTGGTCGACATACGCTGATCTCGACATTTGTCAGGAGTAACATTTAAATTTGACGAGGACCGTGAGTTTGGGATACCGTTGCATTGCGTGTAGTTGAATTTCTGCTCATAATTCAACTCGTTTAGGTGCTCGTTCTTGTAGACTCTGTATTACCAGAGTGCTACGGACTAGATCTCACGCTGCTTCTATCATCACTGCCCGCCTTCATAAACGCCCGTCATATACAATCGTTAACCCGCTCGAAAAGACATGCGTCTGATATGATCACGCACCACGATAAATTCTCCAACGAAGTATTTTCTCTGTCCTTTCACCCTGCTTCCCTACGAGATCAAGAAGGCTGGCTTGATACTATTGTCTTCACACTTCCCACCTTGATGGGATGTTACTTGTTAGGCATGCGTATCCCGAACGGAAACTGATAACGATTCGTACCGTTGACCCTAAAGACCTGGAGCGACAGTCACTAGTGCGTTCCTGCGAGGATCTCGCGATCACACCGTCCAAGTCCCCTTCCCTTTCTTGCGGAGAGAGGGGTTATACGCATTTGCTAGGCATGAAGTGTTTCTATCCCCGCGATATCTCAAGAAACGTCGGATCGAGGAAGATGCAGAGTCAAGACGAAGATACTTGATCCCGGACAAAGTGCTCCAGAATTTAGTCACAAAATGTTCCGTGCGAATTTCGAAAGTGTTTCCCTATGCTACGCGCACGACTCCCCAGTAAATACTATGTCATGGAAGGCAGGGCACTGGAAAATGAGCACCGCTGTCCTGCTTTCCATACTATGTACGCTCAACTTTATAGACTTGCAAAACCTTCTTTGATGCGGCCTCTCTCACATGTCTCCGCAACGGGCCCACGTTCGACAATGCAAATTGACAACTCGTTGCTGCAATGATATACAGGAGATAACCTCCGCCAGATTCAGAATCATCTGGATGAGCCAGGGTCCAGATCCGGGAAAGAGAATTGGGCGCGGTATCCAATAGATGCAAGCTCTCATGAGAAGCCGAAGGAATGATATATCGATTGTCATGGGGTTCAGCGGTCAGCTTTAAATTTGCTCTATCAGGTTGACATGTTTCAAAAGTTACTGAATAAGTGTCCGCAATGCAATCATTACTAGTACACACACGATACGGTAAGTTCAATCCAAATCTACAACCAAACCGCCCTAGTTAACATGGTCATAGTGTTAGCGCTGACTCTGCTCTTGCTCTGTTCACTCCCACTTCCAATTCAGGTGTGAGACCCCTACATGCATATATCAATGGCAAGTAGTCCGACCACACTCCTGTCTTCCTCACCTTCGCTCTTCTCAAACCCCATTCAAACGATATGCCATTAGGGTATAGCACGGGTATACCTGTGGGTCGGAAAGTCAACACCGTACCCGTAACCCTCAGCACCGTACCCCTACGGGTGATGTTACCCATACTAACTCACGGGTATGGCAGCTTACCCGCGGTGTGCATTTACTTGCGGGTACACATACTACAACTTCAAGAAATAGTACTACGTAGGTCTATCAGTACCCTCATACAACACCCTCACCCTCCCGTTTCCTTTTCTTCAGAGACTTCACGATGTTAACAAGGTCCTCTGAAGACTGGCGCTACAAGATCACAGCGTAGCCACGAACCAAGACAGAGGAATGCGCGGGCCGATAATGGAGACAAGCGGTTTCGAGTGAAGTGTAGAAGGTGCCGGCCTTGCGAAAACACTCGTTTGACTGCAGTTGAGGTAGCTATGGTGCGCAGCGCATGAGCTATGATGCCAGCGAGAGTGATGGCACTCAACTTACCAGGAATGCTCAGGTAATCAAGTACCATCCGGTGCAGATTTGGATACGTCTTTTGGTGGTGCACCCACCACTGCAGTGGGTCTTTGGCATTCTCCACTGGTTGCCGCGGGTAGTCATCGAGTTCATCTACTACTGGAGACCACAATATAACACCGCGGAATAGCCGCGGAGTGGCCTCGGAATAACCTCGGAGATAGGGGGCTACCCGTGAACATGCCCGTATGCCATGCGGACGGGTACGGTGTGGCCGCGGGTAGCACATCTCTACACCATACCCGTACCCGTGACCCCTATACCCGCGGTGTGTACCATACCCGTGCTATACCCTATATGCCATCAAGGTCTTTCGAACAACTGCACACCCTCCAAGCCGCGAACTATGACACCCTCGATACGCCTTCACACATTCCTTTTCCTACTAATAAGGCACGCATCCTCGTGTATACATCCTGATTTCACGCGGACACATTCTATCACTCACTCATTCACCACCTCCCTTCAACTTTATCCCCAACCCAATTTACCCACTCCTGAGCTCGATCAAACCCTCTTCTACATCCGCACCCTCCACATCTCCAAACACCTCACCTCTAAATGCCTCCTGAAGTGCCAAAGAAGCTTTTGCGGTTGGGTTCTATGACGTTGGGTGCGTTCATCTCACACAATAATGGTGCCGATCGTACGCCACAGCCGCATTCACCTTTTCACCTGTCACCTTCAACAACTCGCCTGATACTTCAATGGTATCTGCGCTGTCGTGCTTTCATCTAGTCTTCCGCGTCTGTTAATACGCAGTTCACCCACAGCTAATGAACCGTAAGTTCTGTACTCCCTCCGGCTTATGCACCCCTAATTCTCTTCGACTAGTTCGTGACCAAATCTCTTATGCTTCGCCTGCAACTACGAACGTGAAGACGAGAAGGCTCCTGCAAGAGACGACTATGATTGATGACCTGTCGACCGTCATCGAAGAACAAGAACACAGCTTCCCACAATTTTGTCCGTGTGCCCTTGTTGACAATATGCTTGATCAACTCCCAGAACCATTATCACCAAACGCACTCGATGCAAATGCGTATCGCAAGGGACCCATACGCTATTGTAAGTACAGGTCTGGTTTCAAATTCTCAAGTTATATTTCATATATTGCACGCCTCCGTTTTCTTTCTGTGTGCGTGAGCTTCCGCATTTCTTGCCCCCTTATGTTTCTCACTGCCGTTGCATATTTATCAAGGTGTGATCAGTTCTATACTGACACTTGAGTCCTATAATGAGAGGCACCACTAATCATGGCATCACGATCGTACTCGCCTACTAGATTTTATGATTTATAGCATGAAGATAGTTGTTCTATGGCGACAGGCGAGTCCCCCACTTCCCGAACTATAATCTTGTTTTCGATGGTTGATGTTGTACAGGTGTCGACGTACTTACTCGCGAGTCACTGGGACTGTGCAGGAAAGGTCAGTCTATCACATCTTATTATTGGGCCCCCATATGATAGTCCCAGGCGGTCTTCAAGCGAACTTAAATTAACCTCAAGTATGACGTCCAACGTGCGCACGGCGGTGGCAGTCTCATTACAACTGAGGCAACGCTTATCTATTAAGGGCACGTTGGTTAATTATAATGAGCGCCCACGCTGACCGCTCCAATTATTTAGGACCGAATGGTAGAATGCACCTGGGATATGGAATCACAGCTAGACTGTCGCTTGGAAAAAGATAACTTGATATCATTATAGCACACCAACCCAAGCACTTTGCTCATCCCTCACTCGAACTTCGAGGTTCATATTCCGAGGCTCGTCATAGATATATTTCCCTCGCAGTCCTATTGTGGTGACCTACCTTCTCCTGTACGCGTCCATCAGGAATGTGGCACCCAACTCGTGCCTAGATGCGCATCTTAAGTAGCCCCTATGTTGACAATGTGCTACCCGTCGACGAAGACCCGGAGCGACAGTCACTGCGTTCCTGCGATTACACCGTCCAACACCCCCTCCCTTTCTTGCGGAGAGTGGTCATATTCATATGCTGGGCTTGAAGTATCTTATGGAATGTTTATCTCCGCAATATCAGACGGGTCAGTGGAATTCCAGGTCGCTGGCTTCTCCATGAGGTCGTCATTGAACAGCCAGTCATGTATTCAAATCTTATCTATTGAATTGAAGCCTCACGAATGAACTTGACGAGTCTTAGCAAAAATAACAAAATAGTTGCTAGAATAGAGCGATGAGGAAAGATATACTACGACACGTATGGTACTGGTAGCAAACTCTTGAGTATACAGAATTGCACAGGTCCATAAAGCCCATCTCCGAAAGATGTGACGACCGAGCCTAGGGTACAAAGTATTTATGACGCTTGACAATCGGTTCCACCACTATTTTGAGGGGAGGAACAAGGGAAATGAATCGCGAGCACCACGTGGTCCATGCGGTCCTCTGTAAGATCCAGGGAAGCGATGCGTAAGGATTGAAGTTTGGTAGGCGTGAATAGCTCTACTAGGTCTATGAGCAACAATTCCTCAAATGCTACGTGAATCGTCAACAACGAGAGGTTGGGACCCAGCTGGAGCAAGCGGAGGACTGCATCATTTTTACGTAGGGTGACATCGACATTTGTCAGGTTGGCCCACATGGGATTGCAAGAAGATAAGAGCTCGAGGTAGAACAGCGGTCGTATTACCTCGAGACTGCATAGAGGGAAGCGCGAGATGAATTGTGTGATAGCTGGCATGGCATGATGGTGTACCCTTACAGATAACTCCTGAAGGGCTGGGAAGTCCGTGAACATAAGTTCGGAATCAGGTGTGTTGTCGTAGTCATCTTCGCAAAATCGGATATGTAGAGACGAGATTTGATCGATGTAAGGCTGAAGAAGGCCTCGTAGCATGGTTTCCTCACTTGGGTAGTACTCCGTGCTAACGAGAGTGGACGGCCCTGTGATTGCCTGAGCTATGAGTCATAGCGGAAAGCTTTCCAGCAGTCTCTGCGATCAACCACCACAATCAGCCAGCACCAGAAGTTGGGCATACCGACAACAATTTCCCTCCATCGTCGGCATATTCTTGTCAACAGCATGAGGGCTTCTAGCTTTGATGGGCGCGATAATTCACTGAATTCTGGAGGACAGTGATCGAAGATTTGGGATAGGACTTCAGTTGGCAAGCGCCAGAGAGCCGATATAAATCCCTCATGCAAATCTATGGACTGGATGATCCTGTCCTTCTTTTCAACGAGTCGCCCGTGTAGATTTTTTATATTATCCATCATGTCCGGTCGTGAATATGGTCCATCAGATACATCAGAATAAACATACGATTGGTTGTGAACGCCAGCTGAGCGATTGATTATTATCCGCAGGCACAATTTTAGGTAATTTGGTACTTACGGTACTTTCTGCATTTCGTCTGCTAAGAACGAGGTCGAAATGTTCGATCGAGGAAGATGAAGACGATCATGGACAAAGTAGAAGTGTCTGACAATGATGTCCCTGCAAAATTCAAATGCACCCGTGCGAAAGTGTTCCAACTTGTACATACCTCAGCGCTAGCAGCAGTAGTCACACTTGTCATTCTTCACCCTCTCGGACATTCTTATCTTCGTAACGGGCATCAAATTTGGGTCAACGTTCGATGACCCGCGCTTGCAAAGGGCACCTGAAGGCACAAATCAAATCATTCCTGCAAAGGAGATCGCCGTAGATTCAGAATCCTCTGGATGAGCTACCCAGATCTTGCAAAGAAAATCGGGCGTGGTATCCAATCTATTAGATGCAAAGGGATTCCTAAAAAAAGGCCCTTATGAAGAACGGAAGGAATGATATACCGAATCATTGTCGGCAGCTCAGCTTTAAATTGGCTTTATCGCAGGTTACAGTATTCCGCAGTGCAATACAATCATTATTTTAATACACGATATGAAAGGACTTATACTCATGTTGTCAGCGGGTTCACTCCTGCTCTTCTTGGATAACTGGATGAGGTGTCACGAAGTGAATTGGTGGTACCTTGTCCACCGAAGTATGATAGAGGCTGGTAATGCGGCGACGGTCGTCGTTTTCATCTGCCTGAACACCAGATGGTTCTAAAGGTTCCACCCTAGAGTTGAAGGTGAGTAAAATTAACATCATAAGAGATTAAGATCATACCTCGCACTGAAGTTGATATAGGTTAGGCGTTGAGCGGGAGCAGCGCGAATGAGGAACATCATGCTACGAGTGATGATCAAAGTTCCGGCAACCACTGAGGGCTACCACTAGATGAATAGTAATGTATAGAATTAGGCGTGGCGACTCACTTCGTCCGGATTGTCACCTGTGCAGATCACATTCTCCCAAGAGAGTGTGACCCCTCTGCTGGCAGCTTTACGCAATGAGATGCTGTCCCTGAAAGCGTCAAGGGTCGATGGTGCATGGTTCACGCGAACCTCGCAAGAAGGGGAGAATACAGCATTGAAGGCGCTAGCAAATGCCTCCTCCTCGCGCGCCTCGTAGAAGGCGCCGAGGCGAGATTGCGTCCAAGATATCAAGTCTGGCTTAGACATGAGTGACTGTTGCGAATTCGAGCCCAACACTACGTCTTTGTGGTACAGAGCGCGATTGCGGAAGAGATTGGTAGTAGCTGCTGCTGCAGGGGTTGAGCGTGCGGAAATCTGGAGAACTTGACCTAAGATGATTATGGACAAGGTACAAAGTCCAAACTTGAGCATGTTGAGGCTTGGGTTTATGTTGGAACAGCAGCATCATACCGTGCGTCAGTAGGCCCCTTTCCACGTGATAAAAGGTCCGATAAGTTTACTGTACGTTAGGGGTCTTTTCTTCGTCGACACGTTAACAAAAATATGCAGGTCATTGAGGAGACAGGAAACTCTGAACCGGCCTCGGATGTCATTAGCGCAGTGCAACATATCGTGAGTGCCACATCGACGATGTCCAGATTCCTGAAGACCTCCAAACTCCGTACTCAAGATTATTCCCCAATATCACCCTTTTTGCCGTCAAAGGCTAGAGCGTCAGCACCATCATCGCCAAACACCAGCAGCAGTTGGATGAAGTTGTGCAAGATATGTCAGGCCTAGAAAACATCATCCATAGCATCAGAGGTCTTCGCAAGCAACTCGCCAAAAAGCAGGGCAAGATTATCCAGTCCTTGAATTTGCACAAGAGGTTTGTAACAACTCTCTGGCGCTTACCAACTGCCAAAGTCCTGTCCCAAATTTTTGAGTGGCATTTTTTCCTGAAGCACAGTGGCTTGCAGTCCCCATCGACAGAAGAAGGTCACATGCCGTTGACAAGAATATACCGACGATGGACGGAGGTTGCTATGGGCACACCTAGTTTATGGTGCAGTCTGTACGCGACCGATATAGACTGTCAGCCGGCAGCTTTCTGCTATGACATATGGCTCAAGCGATCACAAGGACGTCCGCTGTCGCTGACACTCGACTGCCTCCCAAATGAGAACGTCAAACTACGGAACCTTATTCAGCCTTACAACACTCAAATCTCACATCTTTGCATCTTGTTTGGCCTCGGCGCCACCACACCTGAACTTATGTTACAAAACCTCCCAGCTCTTCAGGAACTAGACATACACTGGCACAAACACAGTGCCGATATGGAATTGACAGTTCTTCCACGAACCGTCTCCAGACTATCCACCCTGCGCAGCCTCAAGGCATCAGGATGGTTCAGCTTATCCTCTTCCAGTCCTGGATGGACCCACCTGACAAGTGTCAGAGGAATCACCATAGTCGACCAATGGAATTTTCCACTTGCTCCAGTTAGCTCCCGACCTCGGTCGTTAGCGATCACCCTAGATGATGATGGTATCCAATATGTCGCACAGGGCCCTTGGAGCCATTCACACACGCGAGCCTTCAATGTCTCAGGTTGTGCCTTTATTGCAGTTTTCCACATTGGGGTCCACACTGTTACGCTGCCCAGTCCCTTGCCTGTTATATGCACTCACACTCCCCGGTTCACGCACACTTAGTCTTGATCTCGTTATTCTACGGTTTGGGGGTACTGTTCAACTCACATGGCCTCACGATGCGTTCAAAGCATTTCTGGCACGGTCAGATTGTCCCCTGGATTGCCTGAAGTTCGACAGTGATTTACCGCCAACCGAGGAGCAGAGAGCAGAACACGTTGCCCTCAGTCCTTCTCTGACATTCAAGAACCGCCGTGGCGAGGTTAAATCCAAAGATAGCGACGAGGTTGAATCCGAAGATGCTGACGAGATGTAAGAGCAGCAAGTCATGTATCATCGCCGGTCCCAAAACCTGTTTACCTACTGTCTACTCTTATCACCCGCACCGCCCCCCTTTCCCACCGCTGCTTGAATCCACAACCCTCACGGAATAAAGTTTGCATCTCTTGCGGTCTTCGCTCCTTCTTTGGTGATGAGGGCGGGAATGGAGCAAATGAAATTGTACTTAGTCACTAGGGTGTGGAAGATGTACGAGAGGTAAGGTAAGTGATTTTTTAGACGGGAAGATATGAGGACGATGCCGAGATTGGGGAAGTACGTATCGCAAGCGAAATTCAAAGATTCTTCGTCTTCATTTTAATCAAACCTCACTCTTCGCGTTAGCAAACGACATGCAGGCGGCAATTGGGGGGACGACAGCTTGATATCCGCTACTAACATGCTATCAAGGCGGAGATTAGTTGTACCTGCTACAGGGGTCGAGGGTGTGGAAGTCTGAAACTTCAAGACCAGGTAAGATAATAATGGTCCGGAAGTTCCAGAACCGTACACAATCATCTTGATCATGTTCGCGTTGTATTTGCGGTCCGGACCTGTCAGTGTCAAAGTAAGTTTATGACAATCATGTGACAAGGAATGCGGAACTTGTTCAACCATGTTGAACTTCCTTCTGAGCGCTTGAGCGGGCGCCTGTCGTTATCGTGGAAGTACCCTCCTTCAAACACCGAGGTTGCGGTGAAGCATCGACTGTTGTTCCAGCGATCCGTTGGAGAGCCCGGCTTCAAGGGCTCAGAGAGGCTAGGACGTTTACGGACATGCGCGGTCAAGACTTCAAGTCTGAGGGGAGGAGCTTTTGGTGCATCACCTTTTCCGCGAGCGATCCTTACTACGAAGGCTTATCAAGCGCGCTGTCGGAGGAAAACAAATACGAAGGACCTGTGTAACAGGATGGCCTGCCTCGCTGGTTTCGAGTTTCGTGATGTTCTACGTCAGGTCGGACCTGTGCATATCGCAGTGGAAGCAACTAATGGGTCCTGATCGCCTACAGAAACTGCACAGCCCCTCATCTTATCTCACGAACTGCATGCCTGTATGCTGTCGATCGTCGAACCCCTTGACCTTCTCTTTGTCGTTTTCCCGCGTTTTTGTCTGGGGAATGTAGGTCCCGGGACTCAGGTCCTCTCGAAGTGCTTTGGCACTGTCTTGCGTGGCCAACTGTGAGTTGGCAATAGGAAGTTCGGAACTAAGCAGGGCAGTGTAGGTGTCTTTTCACGCTGGCCGCGGGTGCTCAACAGAGTGTAGCCTTTGACATGCGTTATCTGATGGAAGACCCCTGTCATCAGCCTCAGAATTAACCCCTTTCTGCCAACCTAATGCATGTACTGCCCACAGAACCCAAATATTTACTGCAGGTCTTCATTTCCAATACATAGTTCCCGCGGATCTCCTTTTCTGGCTACTGTGCTTGGTGGCGGAACTCCCCATGACGTCATTGCAATGGGGAACTGCGCATCAACTTTCTGAAACTTGAACACATCTCACCATCATGAATTCCAATCCAGTCCAGATAATTGCTGTTATTCTCTGCATATCATCATCTGTCTATGCGCAGGATAATCAGACGTACAATAACTGGGGTAGTCGCGTCGCTGGAATTGTGATCGGTGAGCGATTTTCGTTTACTGCTTTAAGAGCTTATTAACAGAACGATACGACTCATTTCAATCTGTAGGTTCCTTGTGTTTACTAACCATCATCGCATGCTGCTTGGCTGTTCGTCGGCGACGTTCGATGCGAAATGTCACCATGAAACCGGCTTTACCTGCCACGAATGTTCAAGCAGGCCAATCTTACTCCCTTCCGCAATGGAACGGAGCGCAGATGTATGCACCTCCATCGGGACCTCCACCTGGCCATTCATACAACGTTGCGAGTATGAGTCCTTATGAATATGATGCGCATCCTGGATCACAGCCCGCTCCCCCTCCATACGTGAAAGAAGGAGATGGAGTCATCATGCCGCAGGACGGCTATTACTCCTCGGTAAGTAGTGAGGCGTTTTGGCAGGACGACGCCTAATGCTCATTTCCTACCAATAGCCTTCCGGGCCTCCGCCTCCTGCACATACGGTGAGCTGATAACATGAAAGGAGAGCAGCTACATTCTGATCACATATATGAGCAGAGAGACAACAGTCATTTTGTAGGAGGTCTCAGAAGCTCTTCATAAATTGCGGAATGATTCCGCGGCATCTATTTTTGCTCCCGACATTGTACGATCAGCCCTCATGTCTTCTGTGTGTATGATACAGGCAGCTTATCCATAACTTAATCAAATCTTAGTATACACGTACGGCCTTTGGTTGACACAGACGTTCACACAATTTATTCCATCGAATGAGCTTCGCGAGTTCCTGTGTGTAAAATACTACCCGGCGGTTCATCAATCACCATGTCCAGTGACTTTCCGACAAATACACGGGTTCTGATTGAACGAACGCAATCGATCATCATTACTACAGCGCCAAAGCTTTAGATCTCATTTCCATGCCGGTGTGTTTTTTTCCCGGAGCGCCCACCAGTGCAAAGGCAGAACAACACTAATTATCGGTGGCCGCGAGTCCCCCGCACTAACGAGGCACGTGAATCGAAGCCGTCAAAAACTCTTCTCATGCGGTCTTCTATCAGCCAATGAATCCTGTTCGAGCCCAGTATTGTGATGCAACAACAGGAACCGCGTTCATTCTCAAACTTTATTCCTCAAGCTTTCGAAGATATCGCAAGGCATCATCAATACATGCAACCTGTGCGAACTATAAGGTCGCCTACTGATGACAGAGGAAGCGTCCATTGAGGCTAGACAACAGATCGCAAACGATGTGCCCTCATCGTGGATTCATTTTCCACGTCTCGCTTCGCGGGAACGGGCCGGAACAATGGTGGTAGCCCTTAGTCTCCGTGTTCGAGGTGTCAGGAACATGGTGGAACGACGGATGGTATCCAATTTTCCAATCCAGATTGTTTCAATCAGAACGTTCCGGTGGCCTTGATCGTGGCGTTAGGCCCTTGGCATTAGGACCTTGGCGCGGCGTCCAGCATGGGGACACCTGAATGTTCGAGATAGGAGCGACCTTTGCGCACGGTGATTGATCGGTCGGACATCGCGTCTGATCGTCGACTTCCTAGTGGTCCATACTGCAACAGAGCATATCTCATGAGTGAAGGGAGTGAAAATGATGGTAGAGTCAAGAGCTTCGACTACACGCTTAAGGATCGTCGATCGTCGAGCAGGCAATCGCCGAATGAAACATTGCATGTACCATGTGACAAGATCGTATCGGTTAGGTAGCTTTGATCTTAGGAGTTCTGATATACCTGGGTTCCAAGGGTTCGTCACGGCATGCCTTTCCGGAGAGAGATATGACAGAAGACAGCACGACAAGAGACAATACGACAAGAGGCAGGAAGCCTCAAGGAAGGGAGGAAATCACCGAGATATCTCCGTGGCGAGATAAGAGGATTACGTTCGTCCATATGACTGCGAGGCAGGCGCCTGCACGGAGTCCGAGGGAGAAAGAAAGCTGAGGTTGCGTGTGTGAGAGCGAACGGGACGAGTCACTGACATGAGACACATGCCGAGTAGGAGATCGCGGAAATGTCATCGATACAAAGGATGTCGAAGAAGGGAAATTGAAGGTACCATTAGGAGCCATTAGGGTTGTGGAGTGGGTAAGCGATGAACTTTGTCACCTTCGATTGACCCCATGGCATGCCGCCGGGAAGTCGGAACGAAGACGGAGTGAAGCCGCTGAAGATTAAGTGAGTTGCTGAATAATTTGTGCCGGACATAGGAAATAGGCACTTGTGCACAGAGAAATTCAAGAATCAAGGGTGTACGTTACGTTTTGCTCGGTTTGCGATAACAGCCTGTTGTAGTTTGACAGCCCAGGGCTCTTCGCAACAAGTGCGGTGCCCTAATCGATAGCTCAGGAACTATGAAATTACAGCAAACTATTGCTCGCTGAGTTAGCTTCGAACGGGATAAAAATAATTCTCGCTAACCGGGGAAGAAACAGTAGGTGCTCTGAACTGAGGAAGGTAGTGATCGAGGACATGAATCCTGAAATATCTGAGTGGGGGGGAAGAGTAAAAACCCATTCGTCGACACGGTGCTTTTCGAGGATTTGGGTGTGAGCGACATAACCATATTAGAACATACGGTAGCAATTGGAGCCAGATGAGTTACAGATGAAACTGCGGACGGAAAGAAGGAGGCTCGCGGGAAGACCGGGAATGATGGAGACGCGAGGCAAATAAACGAGCGTATAGTATGTGGTAGTAAGCGTGGAAGTATACTGTACGGCGGCCTGTATAATCGTCACACACTGTAATATGCGGCATGGAACTCACAGGGCGCCGTTTGTACGCGCCGGGAGGATTGTGCAGCAATATGAGTTCGCTGTTGTTGAGTGTCGTTGGTATACGCTGGATAGATCAGCAAGTTGAGAGTGACAAAATTAATGGACAGAAATACGCACATGAATATGAATGTTCCAAAGATAACGAGGTGTGTAGCTTGTTATTTTGGGCAGCAATGTCATAATTTTGGGACGTGCAGCGATCATAAATGCGTGTCGCTTGCGTAGCACTTAAACTCGATCAGGTACACCTAGAACGACAGTCTGGCCATCGTCGTGGTGAATATATGAATGCCGGTAAAAATTCCTCTCAATCAGCTGGTAGCAGAACGTCCTGAACTCGCGCTGTCAGCAACATTGTATCAAGCCGGACATCCTTGGAGACCCTACAAGGCACGATGACGAGATCAGGGGTGTGAAGATAATAAGATCGGCTGCAGTGCAGTGCACCAAGGAGTAGCAACGACTACTACTACGCGGATATGAAAACGCGTCCGAGGGAGTAACACAAAGAGAAAGAGTAGGATTCGCTGGGTTGAATCAAAGTTGAATTACGAATAAAGCTGCGGAGATGCGGGGAGATGCGGGAGGATGAGCTAGTGTGAGAAAAAGGGTAAAATATTTAGCGTAAAGGAGTACACGAAGATGATAATGATGATACATAGGTAAGTTACTATTGGATGCTACAAGTTCATCTTGTATAGTGGGTAAACATGTTTAACCTAATTAGGTATCTCCAGGGAATTTAGCTTGATCTTTTATGACTTAATTTGGTTAAAATTATAGAATCCGGTGAGATCCGGAAGAATGGCTGTAATCCCGGAGAATGATCTGTGAATCTGATGAGCGCCGTTTGCAGTTGCTTGGGTTTTCGGCACCCGTTCGCGGAATTACATGCCGCCAGTGAAAGATCCAAACTTCAAAGACAAGGCTCCCATCCTCTCGCCCACCGTCATCTCTCTTCTCTACTCCCATCATCTCTTCCCTCCTTCAATTATCTTTCATCCTCTGACACAGTAAAATGGGCAGAAGAAAAATTGAGATTCAACCGATCACCGTAAGTTTCATTTTTGTTCGTCGTCCTGCTGCTATTCTCGGTCGCGGTTATGCCAGCGCGCCTTACTCCAATTTTACTCAACCTCCTCTTGATCCATCATTAACGTCCCTCTCTGTAATTCTTAAACATAGCACGAGCGTAATCGTTCTGTAACTTTTTTAAAGGTAAGCCTTTGGCTATTTTTGCCATTAATAGCTTGGCAGATCACTTATAATTATCCTCACCTCCTTACAGCGTAAGAACGGTCTCTTCAAGAAAGCTTATGAGCTTGGAGTCCTCTGCTCTGTCGATGTTGCAGTCATCATCTTTGGTGAGTTCCTTTTGTTCTCAATTGCGTGCGCTAATTCAAGTCTTATCATGATCAGAGGAGCGTGCGGGTCATCACCTGAAGCTTTATCAGTACTGTTCTGGCGACATCCACGATATCATTCAGCGCCACGTTCGTGTAAGTATTTTATTCGTATTTTATTCGCTCTTTCTTCATGAGCCTGTCCAGTATGACGGAGAAAAGGATACCCGTACCCCGCACGATTTCGCTAACAACGCCAATGCCAAACTTCACCACGACGCCGACGTCGACGACGATGAGGGCGACGACGACGATGACCCAGATTCTGCTCCTGCACGTGGTAACAAGAGGCGTCACGAGCCAAAGTTAAAAGCAGAGTACAGTAACAACGCGAAACTCCTGATTCCTTCAGGAGGTGACATGGGTCTCAACGTTGATGTAAGATGTTCGCTCGTCTTTCATATTTACCTTCACTCACCCTGAAATAGATGGGTCCCAATGATTACCACCGTGGTCCTATGACCATCCCTCCCCCTCCTATGCCCGCCCACCACCTGTCACAGCTTCCATCAGCTGGTGGAGGTTCTGCACTTCCTATTTCAACAGAGCGCCATACGTCTTCTGGTCGGTTACTTCCTCCAAACGGTCAGCTTGGCTCTCAAAAGAAGCCCCGTCTTGCGCCTAACGTTCATGGAGGCAACGGCTCCAAGCTTTCAGGAGATGAGCCTATGTATAATAGTTACCTCCCCTCACCCACGTCGGCTCATTCTACTGCATATCGTTCGAACGGCCCATCATCCCACCAACTTCCGTATAATGGATATATGGGCGTGTCAAGCAGTCCTCCTCAGTCCTTCCTCCCGTCGAGTTTTGACTTCCCTTCGTCGTCGTCCCGAGGCTCTACTTTACCGCGTAATAATAGCTACAGCCAACGATCATCATATTCTCAACCTCAAGATCCCCAAATACAGGGAATGTATCACCAGCTAATGCGGCATAATAACCCGCACAGTCAACACTCCCATTCAAGCAGTTTGCATTCCCAGCAATCTCCGGACTCCTTATTATCCACATTTCTGGAGAACGAGGACCATAGGCAGCCGCAAAATACAGGCCCGCAGTACGGGCCGCTCGATTGGCCCTCTCATGGACCTTCACAACAGCAGCAGCAGCCCCCTCAACCTCCACAGCAGGAATCAGGTATGGTTCACGTAACCTTCTGATGTAATATTCTCAATCTCTACTAGGGCCTCCTGGTGACACCAGCTGGCTTGATTTCCTGTCGCAGAACGCATCCCAATCAGGGGCACAACAGCTCCACATGACACTGCCCCCCACTAATGGGCGAGATGGTCTCTCATGGGAACGAGATCGCGATACGGAGCATTATTCCGCTGAGCGCGGTGGCGACATTCATCCAGATAAGTCTTCCAACGGAACAACATTAATGTCACCGCGTTCATCACGCAAACGCCCACGTGCTGATTCGAGTGCTGCGGATGAGAAACGTTTGTCGCCTAGCGCGCGAGCTGTTTCAGGTCAGGATAAGATGCATGATTCTGGCAAGAGTAATGGGGTAGATAAACAAGACAAGTGACGAAGTTATGATTTGAGGACGGTTTCTGTATGACTACATATGATTATCTTGGACTCTCATTTTCTTGCACCACTATTTTACTTCATGACCTCGTTTGCTCAGGCCTTGTTTAGACATGCCCGGATTCTGCCAGCATCTTCAATATTGTTACCCTGCTATCGATATGTTCGCATACATGCTGTTTCGTGGCAGGCCTGCGTTTATGAACTATAAAAGTAAGCTCTTTGGGACTGTTGGTGTATGACGCATGTTATGATTTGCAACATCACGTTGGACTCCATCCACGTTTTCTCTATTATCCCATGTAGGTGAGACGACGCACCCGGCAACTTCTTACGAGGACGACAGAGCCAACGATGATCCCGATCTACATCGTCCAAGAGGGTCCAAGTTGACGAAAGTTGATTTAACACAAAACGCAAAACCATAGCCGTCGAATCAACTCGGTGACAGCGGGGTTCACACAATGACGGTAGCATACTACGTAATACTCTGGGATATACCGGTGACGCCATACAATCAGTCAAATTTGAGGTCCCAGGGCTATTTCATTTATGATTTCTCCATCCAGTTCGGCCCCTTGTTGGAGAGGTCAGGCTGCGGTTCGTCTGCATTGGCTTTTCGGGGTGGTTTTCAATAACTGGAGTTGGACCGCCACGAGTCAACCTCAAGTGATCAAGGAACCAAAGGTGTGGATCCTCTCTCCGCAATTTGGCTAGTGGATCTGGAGCCAGGAGAATGTTCGACCTAGTTTTGTGATTGAGTGCTCCGTAATCGATTGAAGGAAGTTTAAACTTCACGTTGACTCGAGTTCATATTGTAGCATGAACTTCTTCCAGTCGAGTGACTGATCGCGTCCGTCTTCGCAAGCTTTTTTCCAGAGTTATTTAGTATCGAGAAACACGTAAGTACTAAGGCGTGGATACTAACAACTCTGTCGCCTACCAGACAATTGACTCTTGGCAGTGATATGATTGCGAATTTCGCTTTCCATCTACCTGGTGTCTGGCCTTTGGGTCGTCTTGTTCGGCACTCAATACGGAGCCAGTCATCTCAAACATCTAGATCGCCTCGGGCGGTCTCAAAGGAAGTACTGGTTGATTGATTGATTGATACGAGCTGGCTGGAATCTCATGTGCCTAATAAATTTTCTAGTGATATGGTTCGATGGTCAAACCGCTGGACCAGTCCTCACTGCAACCAAGGTAGTGATCCGATTTATGCGACTATCCCTATAGATCCCTATCAGGAGGGTCTACTTCATTAAGAGCGATCGCTTCCAAGTGAACATCACGGATGAATTGGCGGTGGTATCCATGAACAAGAGCGCGTCCGTTGTTCGTATCTTCTTTATTCTGGAACGGCGCTGCTGACCTTACTCCAGCACTGGCATGGAACTAATCAGTATTGGTCATTGGACGGAGCAGCCACGGTCATGTAGTGTCCTATAGCCCATCTGGGCATTCTTTTCATGTAGGGCTTTACGCCGGTAAACCAGAGCAGGTCATTTTGGTGCGAAATCACGTTGTGCCTTGCAAATTATTATTTACTGGTCTATCATATATCAGGTATCATTCACATTCCGTGCTCTAGTACTGTTGGTACAGTGGTTTCATTCTTAATTGGACTAAACAGGTTTCATTGTTGATGCAGGCGAAGGTTTGAGAGAACCCTCGGTCATTTATGACCAGATCCCTACGTGTGCATGTATGACATTGATAACGGTCTTAAGCTTGACCACGTATGTTGTTTGCATGTGTCGACGACAATCTAGCATCGACCATCCTTACTATCACGGATTGTCAGGATGATCAGCGTTTCTACTACTTTTACTCAACCATCTAGTCAAAGGTGCCACGTGAACGCCTACGACGTCGCCTTGTCCGCTACTCCCGATGCGATTCTCATTAATGACCCCGGACGTAATCTAAATGGACCGCTGGTACCTCTTTAAGTCCTGAGCGTCGCGCATGGTCAATGAATATGGTATGCAAACCAAACTTCGTGTTCACGATTAAAAACCACATGTTTACAGTTGTTGGGGCAGATATCAACGCCTCCGGTCGTAGACTCGATCTTTCCCGGTCACCGGTACTCTTTTATCCTGGTTGCAGATCAGTCGGTCGACAATATGCCATGTCCAATTATGATTCAACCAACTCTGCGATGCTTGAATATAATGAGGCCCGGGCACTGGAACCCATCAACAGACATTGGACTACACGCAATCCTTTCAAGTTGTTGGAATATAACTTGTATCCGCTAGAAAACCCCGCAGTCTGGTGGCGCAAACTGTCGATAAATCTGGTCAGCGTATGGGATGATGTGAGACACCTCATCAATGGCTACAGCTAGATCTCGCCGTCTACTTCGGTTTCAATGTAAACTTTAAACGGACCTCTGGAGGCTTCTCAGCTGCAATCCAATGGGTCTGTTTACACCTTGCTTGCTAACAAAATCATTGAGCTGTCTATACCCGGCGGACAACGCGAGGGACCGATAAACAATGACACTCTTCTTCACCTTACGTTCTCGTGCACCATCCTGGCATCCTTGCAAGTGAGTATCACTTGTTATATCCGTTTCGCACTCTAGCTCATGTATCGCACAGCACATATTTTCTGTTGTAAGAAGCACTGGTAGTAACACCTACAACTACACCGGTCCTGTCTAGCGGGATACGACGAGCAATGGTGGATCAGGTGATCATGTAACAATCCGCTTTAGAACCGATATTAATCCCGTACCATGCTCCTCCCACTGGTACGATCAAGAAACTGTTGCTTGCATGACTGATTTACATGACGGCTCCTCTAGCCACATTGACTTTCACCTTGAAAATTAGTGTTAAATTTGATCATCTATGCTCGTTCAAGCTCAGGTGCCTAGGCACCTCAATGGCTCAAGGGAAGTAGGTGTTGTCTCGCTGTCAGGTGACAAAACTGATCCGGAGTATGGCTGTGATCTTCGCGATGATACTGCATCGTCCCTGAAGTAACAAGTAAGGCTCAGATCTTATATCTTATATCCTAGTGTCATTTCTTGCTTACATAGCCGCATGGAAACAGTTGTGTTCGAACTACGATGACCCGTCACCATCGGAACGAATCGCGGACCAGCATTACCGACATGTTATGAAACACCAGGTCGGTCATTAATTTTGTTAGCAAATTCAAACGTTAGAGACTTTATTAGGATTGAGCCGCCGTGAATTAATTTATCCTTCATGACTTGCGTCAACCGCAGCACTTCAGATCGATGAAGTGGCCTTGTGGGAGCGTGTACTTTCGCGCAGTAGAGTATGCCCGAGGCTATCGGCTGCTGTGCTCCACTGCTTCGTTGCTGCCTAGTAGTCAAATCTCCTGATTTCCATTGACAGTCCGGCCTTGAGGTGCTGCATGATCAGGCCGTGTAGCAACATCGATCACGGTAAGTTAAGACTCGGAAAAATGCGCCGAGCACCACGAGGCGTTCAATCAAAACTGTCAAGCAGACAATGAACTTGTGAGTTATGACAGTCACTGTGCACATAGCAACTATCAATTTCCAGCTAGTGGGCATGGAAGAAACTCTTACTAGGTCTTCCCTGTCTTCCTGAATCGTCCATGGTCTGACTTTTGTACGTACAGCTCAACACATTTTGTGTCTTTTCCGTTTCGAACTCTAGTCGTCGAAAGGCGTTTGGAACTATTAGCTGCTTGGTGTGTGCGCCACCACGTTTCAGCAAATTTTCTTGCAACATGCTATACATCGATTTAAGGTAGGTCGGTACTCAGCGAATCAATTACGCTGATGCGCTTTTTACATGACCCAATTTTTGTATCCCGTGTTCTCTTTGGGGCATTTTATCCAAGGAAATAATGAGAATGGCACGTCAAACCTCCGGGTAGTTCATTTACCTCCTGAGTACTCCTTATCCATCGAATTTTGACAGAAACGCCTTTCAGCGTGAGTCATGCATAGGTTCGCCTCCTTCACAAATCACCTCTACGAAGGCAACCTTGCCACGGACCATTCTCGGGCAGGAAGTTTGTTCTGTCGTCGAAGACCTCTGAGGCAGGTAGAACACTACTTGTTCTCGCCGTTGTCAACATGTATCTCCAAATGGATTCATGAAGTCGTCAATTTTTGCTGCTTTCTCACTCTGTTCGATTACTGAAGCCGTTGCAGCAGTCTTACCGGCGGTGCTCTCCTTGGGCGCAAAGTTATCCCAGATCAGGCGGTGCCATTCTCGGTGAACAAGGAGATGCATTCAAAAACAACAAGATGAACTATTTAGACGACAACGCGATGTTCACTAGTACCATCATCGTAAGCACCAATTTATAAACACATAGAAGCGACTGAGCACCTATCCCTATGATCCATACTGCTTCTCGTACGATGCCGAAGATAGTCAGCGAACTAGACAAATGGAACTTTATGATATCTAAGCAAAGTAAGCAAAGCTGTGAATGACATTGCAAATTACGGCCCTCGGCAAGTTAAAGCGGGGTGACGCTCCCACCTGCTCATCTGAACCTCATCTTCCTCCGCTGTCACTTTCCTCATCCCTTTCACGCGTTTTTATCCCGCCTGTGCGCTTGCCCATCTTTCTCGCCCGTAACCTACGTGCCGACATTGTTCACCTACTTGCTTGCCTCTATCATGGATCTCTCGACATCGGCATTGTCACGGGCTGACATAGCCTTCTTGTTCAGCCTATCTCTCCGCATATCCGCAAGCAGGCTCGTCACTGACTGTACCAGCTGCGGCAGTATTGTCAGTCTGACGATCTGTCAGAGTGACAGGAACATGAATGCGGGCAAGCTGATTGCAGGAGTAAGTCCTCCCATTCTGATATACTTGACATTGTGTTGTCATGCTCCATGGCCTTATGGCCCTTGTCCCCGCTTCAACAAGCTCGCCGACGCCTCCGAGTTTACAGCCGCAAGCATTCTATGATCCATCCGACCTACTACACAGTGCGCACCATTCTCGTATCCTGTCGCGCCTTCAACAATCCAATATGTATCTTTCACGAAATTCAAATGTATTATCGCTCGTCTGAATACATGTTTTTTTTCTACTTATATCCTACTTGTGAAACACGCCCGCGATGTAGTGAAAATAGGACGCGCGCAACTGTGCGTGACTTGGTGAAAATTTACAACTGAGATGCATGTCAGCCGCTGGGGACTTCAGCTTCAAGCTCCGCAAACCGTGCCGAGCGTGCACCAAGACTTTGACAAGACGTAGGCCTAGGGTCTGCGCAGACTTGCGCCAAGACCGGCCATTTCAGACTCGTCCTCGCAAAGCTTCTTCCCAGTTAAGACCGGACCAGCTCGCTTGCAAATTTGCAGGAATCAGTTACCACACCCTCAAACCTCTGATTCTGACTCAGGGCTTATCAAATGTGCTGGGCATCACGAAGGAGAACTCACGCCGTCATCAACATAGAGCCACAAGTGGTATTGTTTCCGCTTACTGAACATGTCGTGCAAGCCCAACTTTAATTTCTCTAGGATTGAATGGACAGGGAATACGTTGATCCACTCGTGGTCGACCAAAGTTACGCTTCACAGCGGTAGACAAACCTGCTTGTCGGCAACATTGGGTGCATTCCAATCCCGACATAGGTATGCACTCCACACCCGTCCTACTCACAACTTCAAGCTTGGTCATTCTGAACGAGACTGATACACCATTATATCCACCTCTGTTTCGTTTGCTCCAGGAAGATCACGCGGGCCCGCGTCATCTTATCTATGGGAAAGTGAGACCAATCATGACCGCATCAACACCAATACATCTGTCCTGGTATCCCTGTTCTGCTACAGCACTGATGGCGGTCTCGGATCTGGCTCCCACCGGTATCTTAATAACGCCCAGGTGACCTTTTGACATATCTTATATGACCGCGATCGACCGCGGATTGTGACGGCATCCATTTCACATGCACGCAATGAGTACATCTTGACATTCCATGGTCTAATGACTGTTAACAGCATAAGTTCGCCGTCATCCGAAGTGCAGGAAGTAGCGGGTATATTAAGTATGTCAACTCATTCATGCGCGATATCGTGAACATTGGCATCGCTATCCGCTTTTTCCGACCGTCTTGGGGCCCAGACCGTGCACTGGTGAGCGTTGTCCTTGATGGCTCATTGCTGTGCATTGTAATGATTTTTGGACTTTGCGTAGTCATTGATTGGATTTGGCATGAGCGTGAGCGTGAGGTGCTCCCTTTACTGAACCAAGACTTGAATATTGAATTATGCTCCCAGCGAAATAGCTGTGGTATTTGCATAGGATGTGGCGATTTCTCAGTCTCTCACAGTGAATATTGAGTACCGCGAACTAGACCTGGTACGAAAACCAGAGGTAGTTCTTCGAAGATCTCTGTCCGAATTAATTACCTTTTCTCGACAATATCAGTATTATTGGATTAATGGACCTATCGATATTTTGGCACTTCGAAGTTCGAAAGGAAGATCATGCAACCCAGCAAGATCTATGTACAAGATCGCACCAATTGCGCGCGCGCACGTACGGAGTGGAGCCATTGCCCACGGATAACCACATGCAAGGGCGACAGTCCAGTACGTTAACGTCGATAGTCGGTGCCAAACTGAGCGATCGGCGCTGGAGAAAATCAGACTCCTCCTGGAGATCGCGTTGTTTGTGTTGTATGTTGGTGGTGGAGGCTCCCGCGCCCGGATCCACAAGCAATGCGGAAAGATTGAATTTTGGTATGCGTGGATGGCTCCAGTGCGAACTGCATGCAGTTGAACGCACAGCGGAGCGTTAACGAAGAGAGGTTGGGGCGTACTAGCTGAAGCAAGTGGAAGACTGCAGTCGGTTGGAGCATGCCGATCTCGACATTTGTCAGGTGGGCCCATGCGAGATTGAAAGAATACAAGCCCTCGAGGTCGAACGTCATGCCTACTACCATGAGACTGCGCAGAGATGGCAGTTGCGAGATGGATTGTGCAATAGCTGGCATATTGCGAGAATTTACACGTATGGTAAGCTCCTGAAGTGATAGGAGGTCAGTTAAGGCTTTTTGGCATTGCAGGCAAAATTGACAGAGACAGACGATATTTTGTTGATGTAAGGCCAAAAAAGGCTTCGTAGCTTGGTCGAGTGATCGTAGTAGAGCTCGACTCCAGCACCACAGACTGATTGTGCTCACAGCAACCCCCCGGCATATTCTGGTTAATAGCATGGGAGCTTTGGAGCTTTTGGCTTTGATGGGGACGATGTGTCACGTAATGGCGGGAGACAGTAGTGAAAAATTATGGATTGGACTTCAGCTGACAAGCGCCACAGAGCCGATTCAAGTTGCTTGTGCAAATTCATGGACTGGGTAATCGTGTCCTTCTTTTCGACGAGTTGCTGGTGAATATTTTTGATACTGTTCATGGCAGTTTCCAGGCCTGAGATCTCGATCCAATTGCTGCTGGTGTTCGGTGATGATAGCGTTGATGATCCGGTCTTCGAGTTGAATGGTAGAATAGTTCGCATTGGCTCGAAAATACGGTGTTTCGAGGTCTGGAATCTGGTCATCTTCAATAAAATAACATTGGTATATTGGAATGGACACACCGTCACTTATGAACATGCGAGCTGAAGCGAATGAATATTATTATGCAGACGCGAGTGCCTATTTGAAAACTGTGCACTTACAATGTTTCGCAGCCCACCAATGATGTCCGTGACCGGGGGGAAAATCGCTTTTGAGTTCGTTGCCGTCCCCTCAATTGCTGGAACCGCCTGTGTGTTGTTTGCTAACGCGAAGAACGAGATTCGAGTAAAATGATTCATGAAGATATCCACTAGACTCCTAATGACGTCATCATCGCTCACGTGCATCGTACACTCCGCTTGCCTACTTTCAAATTCATTGAATACGAATACTTCGCACCAGCATGCACACTCGCTCTACCGTTCTTGTATGACTCACACCCTCCGCCAGGACACTGATATACCCGCACGCCATGCGTTACAATGCGCTTGTGATAATGTGCACCAGTCCCGACAACTAGACACTGCAGTGTCCGCTTCTTTCGTCTACGAGACACCTCACCTTGGTGCCACTTGGGGTGCGCTTCCCTTGAGACATCCGATGTCACCGTTTCCCAGAAACGCGCAACAGGTTGACGCGAGATGCGTTACATGCACCCTCCGTGTTTCTATGTGAAGCGGAACCAACTAGCCTGAGCGAAATATCAGTGCTACATACCTCACAGGTGGCGTGTGCGCATCTCGGCATTGTCCCCAAGTTGCCGGACTCATCGTCCCTCACCCCTGCACTCGCCGCCAAAATCGTGTACTTATTATACTACCAGTATTCGCTTGACCTGGCAGGTATGGAGAGCATCCGACAAGCGGTCAACTCGCAGGATACACGGAAACCCAGAGGAATGACATGATTTGTTGGATTGATTAGGTTCTTATATTCAAGGAGCACTTTTATGTAGTAAGTTACCTTTGTAACGTAGTCGGCGAATTCAATCCTGAATTGTTTATCGTTCGTCGCTGTCGTGGCACTCATTACTCACGCAGCAAGTGAATACCTGCAAGATAACTTAAAAGTTACTTCGTATTCGTGAATTGGCAAAATAATTCTATGTTCAATCACAGACTTGGGTTGGACTTGGGGCTACAGAAGGGTTAAATACACAACACTTTCAAGGTAGATTCCATCCCCACTCGGCGGTACCATGCAGGATGACGCCCCCGCCAACTTGAAGTGGATGGAGTCTGCTTCTAAGGCAGCAAGATAATTGTGTTTCAAGAACTACTATATGGTCGATGCCTGTATGTACAATATGGGTATAGGGTCGTTAAAAAAACCGTCGCCCCATAAGCAGGACTGGGCCAAGCTTGTCGAGAAAGATGAAGATATGACAACGATGATCGAATAAGCAAGAAAAGTAATACAAAATGTATAATGACATATGAATAGAAAAGTAGTCACCCGAGAACAGTTTGTCACTGCGTTCTGTACCCAACCCCATCAAAATAACCTGATTCCCGCATAAAGGACGTCCAACGTTCATCAAGTCTCGAATCCTGTGATACCAAGCCGAGTCCAGCGAGTTCCGAAGGCAGTGACCGATTATGTTGGCCATGGTACGAGGCCGCAGAAGACGAACTGTATTGGTGAAAAGCGTGCGCCTGGGGGGGCGGAGCTGTAAGCGGAGTCTGACTATATTGCTGCGAGGATTCGCTCGCTGGGGCCCAGTGATAGGTGGACGACCCCACGACAGGTGCAGGAGCATGGTGCGCTTGGTGTACATGCGATGCAGCTGAATGGGAGACATGATGCTGGGGAGGATATGTATAATCAGAACTCTGGGGCTGTCGCCATAGGTGGGTCGGAATGCTGGTGCTTGCACTAGGTGCTGGGAGATCGTCAGAGTGATGCATATCATAACGACCACCACGGTTCGAAGCTGACTGAGTCCAGTCAGTTGAAGATTCCGAGCGATATAATTGGGCAGTTTGCTGCTCGGTGGAACCAGCTTCTAGATATGTGCTGCTGCTAGAAGAAGCCTCCGGGTAGTCTGCAGGGAGACCTGAAGGTCGCTTCGCCGACACGAATCTAGTTCTTCCAGCAAAGATGTCGAGTTCATCATCATCTTGCTCTACTTTCACGCTCCATTGCTGACCAAGCTGTTGTGATGGCTGTTCATGCTGAGCAGCAGCGAGAGCTATGTGCGCCTTCTCGCTCAGTTTCGTAAGGATTGGCTGCGGCAACCTATCCATCACATAGTGTAACAAGCGTGATAGCAATAAGCACTGACCAAGGCTTGAGCAGCACGTCTGCTATGTGCAGCTGCCCTTGAGAAAAGAAGGCAGGCATCATCCAATTCCTTCATAGCATTAGACGCCAGTGGAGACCGCGGGCCTCGAGTGACAATTGTCCCGAAGACGATCTGTTGGATTATCAATCGTGATCGACATTGAGACCAAAAAATGCCTACGGCAGAAGAAAATGCAAAGGTCCAGACAGTCCAAAAGCGAGCACAGAGACTGGGATATTCCTGAAACGCTTGTTGGACGGTTCGCAGTATCGTCTGAGACGCCCGGTAAGCAGCCAAAAATGATGGCGCGTAGGCACTCTTTAACGGATTCACAGGGTTTTCAATGATAGCCTGCGCAAAGAAACTGCGATGAATGTAAAGTAGCACTAAACAACAGGTTAGTCACACAATAGCCAGTCGGTGTACAAGGGACAGTCTACTAACAAGTTTCTCGAGAGTGAGACATCACAAGACGGCCCATTGTCTCTGAGTTCTTCAGCAGTTCTTCAGAAATTGGTGGCGGCGAGGTACCGGACGCCGAAGAGGCGATTAGAGCCGCAGGATCCGGGATCGGAAACTCGCGAACTTTACGATCAATTTCCATGATTACCGCATAACTCGGCGCTTCAGCCGTCAAGGTACGAGTGGCGACCTCTGCGACACACTCGGCCGCATACCTGATTCCCCATAACGCGACTATACCGAAAAGGTTCATTGGGTAAAGACGAGTAAACAAACTTGTAGACTCACATTCTGCTTGATGACCAAGTTCTCCGTCGCCCCCGCCGTCTGGGAAACGGCAGTCTATGTAAGCTAAGGAAAAACTCGGCGGGCGTCCGGTGTTTAAGCTCTACGTTTGGGAATGTCAATGAAACCATCATAAGGAAGAGAAGCGGCATTTACATTCCAGGCATCAGCAACAAAGAGATCCCAAAAGAGAATGCGCCGTCTTTGCACGACATTGGCAGGAAGACCCCACTTTGCACTATCCCGATCTTGGGTGCGGAAGCCGAGTGAGATTAGATTGTTCCTTGACAGAAATGTATAAACGTACGAAGACCAATCTAGATCGAGCTCTCATTTAAGTGAGAATCACATGAATGGAAAGACTACGCACGGTTTGGGAAAGATGAGCAGCAAGGATAAGCAATGACCATGTCGTTTCCATGCTGGTCTCTTTGGCCGCAAGTTCATTGCCACTCATAGCATTGTAGATACTCAACAGATGAAGCGCCTGAATAGTAATTAGGGAGGGCTTTTCCAAGACCGGCCGCAAACAGATGGCAGCACGGGCAAGTTGATGATAGTGTTCAGCCTCAGCGTTGGACGGTTCCTGCGCAAGGTCCACGAGAGCTCCAACGGCAAAAACAAGTAAAAGAAGACCAAGGTCGTGAGCTCCTTTGGTTTCGTCCGACGGCGGCGCAGGGCCATTTGAGTAATATATTGGAAGTAACTCTTCCATCACTTGATCCTGAGACACACTGCGAAACAGCCAGCCAGCTTGTTCGAGATAAGTCTGCGCAAGGTACTTGGCCCGTTCCATAGGTGGCAGATGACTTTCTATCAAATCCTGAACAGCTGCTACCGGACCCATGGGGGTGAAAGGGAACGCCTGCGAAAACATCCTAAATTCTTGCGGTAATCCAGGGCTCCTAGAGTCTCTTCCGGATTCTGGACTAGACGCATCTGCAGTCTCTTGTGGAACTTTATCCGCCTAATAGGAAATCTGCATGAGCATAGCCCAACATGAAGTAAGATACGCACCATCAACAAGCACTACCGGGGGTGATAAGTATGTCTTTCACTGAGTAAAGGATAGAACACTCACTTCAGATCCGCCTGTGGGGCCGAAAAACCGTGATATGCCGTGATCAGTGATGGAAAGCGTTCCAAATGCGTCCAGGATCTCTGGAGGATTCGACGGTCCCGCAGCGCTATCTCCAGCAACAATGCCATATTCGTCCTTTTGATCCACGCCACGAAGGTCGTCGCGAAGAAGAGGATGAGGTTCTGTCGAATGCTGTGACTGAAGGGATCCAAGAGCGTCTTCTAATTGCCGAATACGTCCACTCATACTGGCTATCTGCCGATGAAGATGCTCGGTTGCCGCCAGGACAAAGCTTGGTGCAAAAATCAAGACAATGAACGCTAACGAGAGTTACGTAGTGCATACCGGGTCCCCTGTCCAGTAGCCAAGCTGCCTAAGAATAAAACGAGTGTAAACGGTTATTACGGAGAGCATGATGCGATACCACCGCTTACCATTTGGACACAACGCAGCACAACCTCGTCTCTAAGAAGGAAGTTTGCATAAGTTTCAACGGCACTTTGTGGCGTGGAGTACTTGCCTGACATGACTGGCAGGGAATCTGCTTGTCACACTTTATCTTGAGCCTTCAGACACACACATCCTGTCAAAGGAAAGTTCTATAAAAATTGTGCGAAGGTCGCACCTCCTGCACTCAGCACACGAGATTTGTCCATTATTCCTTTTCTGCTCGATCTCTCGCGCGTGGCCACCGTCGAATCGAAACTCCTCTCCCTCCCTACGGCTCGACTTGCGCTTTAACTTGCCTTTCGTCGGGTCTGGCGGCATGGGTAATGCTGGGAGAAAAGTGAGACTCTTCTCGGAATCAAATGTATTTTCTGCTGGGATGGGAAATTTCTAGCCAAGAAAGTCAAGCCTTGGCTTGTGCCGGTGAGAAAGCCTGCGGGCTGTGCCGTTGCAATCAACCACGAAAACAAAATCCAGGGATAACAAAGTCGCAATATCTCCTGCTAGACTGCAATTGTTTGGATGTCACGTCCAACGTTCAAGACAATATTTTAGGTGACTTGTATGTCTAGCAATTATATCCGACTCTATCGGTTTTTCCGCCCAGCTCTCAAACTCAGGTGGCTCAGTCAGCCAAACAGCCCCGATCAACACGTTGAACTCATCAAAAGCCTGCCCCATCTCCGCTTTTACAGTCAGCGGCATCCATGCATAAGTAGTATTACCTTGCTTTCCCTGCAAAGTAACTTTTACCGGGGGGCTGGACCTAGGGTGCTTTTGGGCCCAACATTAGTCATTTCTAATGATGGCTACGTACATTGGCAACTCTTGGCCGCAAGGTGCTGCTCCTTGGCTGCACCCGAGGCGCAGTCACCAGTAGCAGCAGCTCAGGATTCTCGAAACATAAGAACAAACGCTCGTGAACAGAGGTCCGGTGCCCGTGAGATTGCATACTTTCCGTACCCCAACTTATGCCAATTGGATATGCGCCAGTGTCCCTCTTTCTCTATAGTTTGTAATACCCCTTCCTCCGACGGGCGTGCTTTCTGAATTGATGCGGTTTGTCGCACTTTTTCCTCCACCCTGTCCAAGTCTATCCGTGGACAAAGGTGGCACTTACGATACTTGGTGTCGTAGGTGGCCAATGACACTAGGACTGTGGTTAGGGATTGGCAATTTATCCTAGTTGAAAATAATTCTTGTGTAGGCGGCTGGCCATCCTGATGACTGACTAGCTAAAGTTTCGTTTTGTCCATAGCAAAGTGATGAAATACCGAAATTGTCAACGACTTAAGCTTTGATGGCGCAGGGAAAATTCGCCCCTACTCTACTTGATTTCTGGCCATCTACTTATACTGTATTCGACCCGCACGACATTGCAAATGAGTTGAGTTGAGTTCTTTGGCAGAAGCTTATACGCCACTCACCAGAAAAGATCCGAATATTGTAATCATAGCCCTCATGGAGTTTTTGACGTCATAAGAATGCAGCCTCTCTGACATCGCGTTTCCGCCGAATGAATCATAGCTAGGCCTTCGGTTCTTCAGCATTCGAGATAATACGTTAGGAATGTTCGGTGATTCCAGTCAGCGTGAAAAAAAGACATACGTGACCCGGTGACGTACGAAATGGAAAGAATGTTTTATGTGCCTAAGAACATAGGAGACGCATGGGCAGCGCAGTCTCGTTTATTGCGGCGGCTGTGTTGATGAAGAAGTTCTAGACATATGGCGAAAATGAGCAGCGTCCTGCCACAGTGGATATCCATGGAGTATCTTGGCTTCCATGCTGGTATTTTTCCGGAACGATCATTTCAGACAAGGTTCACTTTAACAAAGGGAACATTTACCCTGCAGCTCGGAAAGAGTTGGAATCATCAATGTTTAGAAGAGTGACAAGAGCCTTAGAGAACACATTAGCCTACTGTGAATGAATTTCATGTCGGTGCATGCCCGCCTTGGAATGCCACATGATTGGAGAAACCGTATTTTTCGTGGGTGAAGGGTGAACAATGTAACTCCGAGGTAGGCCCAAACTTCGCGCCACTGCGACAACGTCCACAACTGAAAGGGCATTGTTTTCCGAGTACAAAAAAAATGCTAAAATCAATAACCAGTCCCTCAGCCGCCGTGACTAGACATGAACCGCGCCGCCACTCAGAGTGGCGGCATGACCCAAACGGCCGCGAACTGCACATACACGCAAAAGTGTGGCAGGTGTCCTGCCGTAATTGAGTATGACGCTCACGCCGACTGGCCCACGGTCAGCCGCCTCGTCAACGAGCACTGGGCCACCTGTCCATCCAAACTCAGTTTTCATGGGCCTAGCCCATTTTATCCCCCTTCTGAATCCCACGAAACACAAAACGCACCAAGTCCTCCACATGACGTTACAATTGAGAGCTTGGCTGTTGATGACAGCAATCACGATGATCCATTCATCATAGGCTGTGGCAAACAAAGGAAAAGCGAGGGTCAGCGCAAACAGGAGCTAGAGGACGACGAGTATACCTGTAACGTTCAACCTACATCCGTCAGGTGCCGCGGATGCGACAAGGAGATCAGCCTCGACAAGAGGTCAAGGTACTACCCTGGATTATGGGCCAAGCACAAACGCAAATGTCCGGCTATCCAGAGGACCGAGGTGAGCTAAGTTCTCCTAAGAATAGAATGAGTCACTAATCACTTTGACAGAAAGAGAAACTCACCAGAAGTGCACGGGGATTTTGTCCATTGAATGCAGAACGGCGCCCGACAGCTGCTAGCTCGTTTGAGATAGATAACCGCCAAGCTGACGGCATGGCGCGCGCGGCGAACTCTGTTGAGCACGATGCATTGCGACAAATGGAGCTGTCGTCCGACGATGATTCGAACGAGGGAGATCAGAACCATATCCCTTTCAGCAGTAAGTCATTCCCCCACTAGCAGCTAACGCAATTGTTAACGTTCTCCACGAATTTTAGCGTTGAATATGCAATACTATAATGAATGCTTGAAAAGGGGAGAAAGGTCATGGACGTACCGGTATGCCTCTACGAAGGAAATCATGGAGAAAGTGTTCGATAACGATGGATCTTAAATACTGGATTCAGAACGTAAGTATAAACCCTTTGTTCTGCGTACTTACTAGTATCGACCGTTCAGATGTTGCTTCAGTGTCAATGATCCCTTTGTTCCAGTTAACCTGCGCCCTGGTACCAACGTCATATAATTTCCTGCCGCTGGTCTACAATATATGGTCTCACCGATGTCGCGTCTTCTCAATTTCGTTCCAAAGACAACCCCGCTTTGATGTTCTGCAGGATCTGTGATAAGATCACTGGGCACGAAGTAACGTGGAAATATTTGAAAATAATGTTAAATATATACTTACACGTTGACTTCCGAGTCTCGATTTTGCAAATTCATTATGCTGTAAACATGCGGTGCCACAATTGTCCTCGAGGCTTCAGCGCGCAGAGAACTAACCCCCGCTAGCGTAGAACCCTCTTCTTAACCAGCAAGATGTCTTCTCGACCATACTTTGAGACTGTCAAAGTAGTATCACTCATCTTACCGCATTTCATAGACTGACCATCATACAGTCATTTGCAGACGTTCCCATCACCATTAATGGTGTGGAAACCTTGGTTTTTCTGGAAGCCTCTGAAGGGCTTGTCCAATTGTTCGGTACGATATAATTACGTCTGATAATCAGTTTTCCCTTCAAATGTGCCGCACGTTCTAGATCTGCTTGGCTCAGGCGTTTTCGGATTCGTTCAGAGTGATATAAAGGGCAATATAGGGGAACGTCTTTTGATTTGCCTTGTTCTCTGCCAGCCCTGATACTTTTCTGCAACACAGGGTGTACGAGCCCAGTACCAGACAGATTCTTTGCATTGCTCTACGCTTGAGAATCTTCTCATAAGCGAAAGATCATCACAGGACCGACCTGGCACCGGTTGTTTGATACGCCTGACCCGGTATGTTCGACCCTTTAATATCAAGTGAATCACTAATCAGTATCGTCACTTTCTCTAGTGGTCTGACATTCCTATGCAGAGGTCATTCTATCGCCGTCTGTATACAATCATAGAAGGCAACTAACGGACGAATTAGCTCTTCAGCACATGCAGAATGATCCTTCGATGGAGCTACACGTGTGCTTCAAGCGTTCATACGACGAAGTCTTAAGACACCATCATACGTTTTTTGTACGGTCTCTAGCCGCCGTACGTCACTGCCTGCTTCCCTTTGCGTGCGGCTCCCTGATCGTGTGCGGCACTGTCAGGTTGCTGTTCGGGCTGCGCCGTATCGCCGTGACTTCTATACTCGTATATCGCAAGGTGCGCCCGTGGAAAAATTAGACGAGGAGCTAGCAAGATGGCTGTCTGGGCTTGATGTAATTGTGAAGCGCCTCAAGGAATTCATCGAGGGAGAAGGGTACGGAAGGATATGATATGATGACAAGTTCTATGGAGAATCCTGCATCTGAATTGATATCGAAGCAAAATGTCGCTTTAGCGCTCCCAGCTCTAGGTTCGATGATTAAGAAGGTCAGGGGGCCGCCGGGTTACTAGATGGTCCCCCTGTAATTACCCTAAGAGCGAATCTAAGCGCCTATTATGATTCATGCTGGAGTACCCGCGAAGTACAATTTTACTTAATCGATGAAGAGTCCGCGGGAACGAGGTGGTCCTCGATACAATGGAGACAGGGAGCACAGTGAGTATTGGTGTGGTGCGGATGATAAATGAGTTCTTTTATGTGTATCGCAAACTGTATACAAGGTTACACTACTGCGAAGATGGTCGTTAGAACCACATGGATCTATTACATGATGATCCAAGGTTAGGGGAGATTGGAAAGTCCACATAATGCCACTGCCGTGAAATAACCATGTTGGAACAGGGGCGGTAAGAATGTCTTGTGCCCGAAATATACTGGACAGAAAGGCGCCGAGGAAACCCTTTGGGAGAGTCAACGTGCCTCAATCAAGCATTGTATCGTGATCGACACCAACTTGGCCAGATTGTACGTACTTGCGTTATCCGAAAAGGCAAACGTCGTTTCGGAAATCAACCGACGGCAACTTTCTGTTTTGCTGTATTTGAGATCTGCGGGGAAGTTGTAAACCAACAAGTCAGGTCACATTAAGAAAGCGACGCAGGTTTGCAAAGAATGTCAAGCAGCCCTAAGTACGCGGTAATTGGTTCAGGAGGTCGAAAAAACTTACCATATGGATACATGTGTTTCTCTTGAGCGGCGATAGATGTGAATACTACGTGGCGTTGGGTTCCGAACACGCAGTTATACCAAGAATTTATTCAACATATAAGATTTCTTTCACACGGGAAATAAGAAAAACAAACATTTGAATAGACGATGCACATGGGCTCGGTACATTTCCCAACTAAGCGACGGCTCCAATGCCGCAGTTGCCGTATATGCCGCCGGATGCGATGAGATTGGAGATCGCCGACAAACCAATAGTAGTAGCACAATGTCCAAGGTACGATGATCGATGAATGTGGGACAAGGTTGTAGAGGTGAGAAATGGTGGTGATAACGGGGGGGGGGGGACAACGAATAGGACGCCACACGGGGGCGAGGGTGGGGACTCATGAGACTGAGCCGAGCAAACGCAGAATTTCCGTCTTAGGCCCGAAGCGGTGAAGCCGGTGAAGGTGCTGCGAATGGGAGACGTACATGTAAATGGAAGTTCAATGTGATGCCGTCTTAGTCACTTGTCTAGCCTAGTTAAAGCAAGCGACCTCCATTGCAATGCAGCGTCTAGCTCCGATATCATGACCGAGAGAATCGCATCGATGATGAATGGCAACAAACAATCGAGAATTTGCTCACAGAATAGCGGAGTTGGGTGATGTAGAACAAAGTCTTTGATGGAAACGTGTCAAAATATTCAGTTAACACTCTGGTTAACATTTAAACGCCAACACCCCTGCTTGATGCCGAACAGGGTCTAAACATACATCCAAGTGGCATATGGACAGATTCCATGGTATGTCATAATAAATTTGACACCGAGTCGGAGAGGAAGCAGAATCAGGTGTTCCTCGAGGTTAATTTATTCAGGTACAAACCCTTTTTTGATGTTTTTCGCCGGCCGTGGGAAATGAAATGTTGTTATGTTTCTGGAAGTGCCGGATCTGTGACATATATTTTCTCTGCTAGTTTCTGTAAATACGTTTTGGCACCCGAACAGCAGCTTACACATATTAACCCTTCCCGACCTTCCTTAACATCATACCAAGTTCTCTCCCAACTTCTGCCTCCTCGTATTTAAATCCTCCACTATTGATTAATGGCAGAGGATATTGATATGCACAACCATAAGTATGTGTCTACCTTCCCAGCCCCCATAAGTTTGACGGCTAATTGATACTCACCAGGTCCAGCGCCTCTCCTGCTCGAGAGCTGCCCCACACATCATCTCCGTATGATTTTAATCGATCCTAAGATCAATTTCACCAATTATTCTACAGGAATTCCCGAAAGCGGAAAACCCCTCCAGAACGGGGGGATTCAGCTGACGCTGAAGGCGAGAGCGTAGACGACTCAGTCGCCGTTCCGAAAGGCGAATATGAAACAGGTCGTGTCATGTGCGAAGTTTGCAGCGAGGGCGTCTCATTTCGTGATGAAGCAACCGGCGGATTTACCCTGAAACACTGGGACGCCCATCGCCAACAATGGTATTAATACTGCCTTGATCATGTTTGTTTGTTCTCTAATTTGTCCTGACAGTGCCAACACCACTCAGGCCGTGCCCGAGCCTGTCATCTATACGCCGGAAAGTACGGCCGAGGCTCTCGCTAATCCTCCCGCCAAACGGCGGCGTGCCAAGCGCACTGAGGAGGAACGCATCGACTACCTCAGGGCTGATCCTTACGTCGCGCAGTTTGAAGCATATCGTGTATTATGTGCTTCGTGTGACAAGTGGATCCGGCTCCGTCCTAATTCCACGTATTGCTCAATACCTTGGGATGCTCACCGCAAGAGTTGCTTGTCAAAAAAGATGTAAGCAGATCTGCATTCTTGTTTATCATCTACGTACTCATGTACCCGCAGTAACAACAAGAATGGTTGTGCCCTCGAAGAGAGAAATTCATTGCTCTCCAAAGACCCGGACGTCCGCAAGTTTGACGCCGAGCGTGTCTTGTGCAACACTTGCGACCGTTGGATCCAAGTCAGCCCTGAAAACCACATGCAGGCGGTCCAAAAGTGGCTGCACCACCGGTCGTCCTGTCAAAAGGGCGCTGGACAATCTTCTGGATCTCAAGCGGAAGCTTCATCATCTCAGTGAGCTGCTCATTCTGACATTTTATTTCACTTTCTCATTCTTATATATTTTAAAAGGCCACCACAATCTGATCCCGTAGCCCGAGAAGGTCAACCTGACCCTGGGCATGTGCCTGCAGCTGCCAGGCATCCCCCTGATTCTCCAGTCCACGGAAAGGCCCCCATCCCGTCGGCAACACCTGGCTCACCGTCTTCATCCTTTAAGGATTTGACGCCCACCAATTTTCCAGCTCATGAGTCTCGACGTCGCAACGCCGAACAACGAGCGGCAACTCTCAAGGCTGATCCCCTGGTTGAAGAGGTTGAACCGAACAGAGTCTTCTGTTCTCTTTGTAAGAAATGGGTTCAGCTTCGACAGGACAGTTCTTACTGCGCGTATCCATGGATACAGCATCGGGGGAAATGTCTAGCCAGACAGTGAGTGTTTTCTCCCTCTTCATCGTGTCTACTTCCTCGCGCGTCCCACACATTGTGCACTGACACCAACTGCTTGGTTTTTATAGTCAGAGACGAGCTCAGAAAGCTACAGAAGTTGCTGAGATGAGAGCGAAAGGCGGCCCGTCCCATCCTGATGACGGAGTCCTATCAGACGAGGATGCATCTGCTGAAGACGAATTGGAGTCAGAGGAGCCGTATGATATTCATGACCTAACCACAGATGACAAGCGCAAAGCTAGGATTTCGGATTTTCGGTCTCTCCACACTACGAAGAAACAACGGTTGGACACTGGCAGCAGCCGCATTGGTTCCGCATGGGCTGGACTTGATAATACGTCCACTGTCAAGAGGTCGTCGCAAAGCGTCCGCTCCATCCGCCCAAAGGGAAGAGCTGATAGCGACCTTCATGCACCGTTGACGGATGCCTCCGGGTCGCCGAGCCGCCTGAACCGTCGCCTTGCGCTTGGTTTTGCTGACTTAGACACCGTTCCTGGACGGTACGTCTTTCACCCTGACTTGACATCTCTAAACCACGATGTTGACGGGCCCGCTGTCAGGATGGATTTCATTTTCTCGTCAATCGCATACCTATTTATGACCACTTATGAAAGCACGGATGACATGACCATATCTTCCCTGTTGACATACTTGAACTCTGCTATACCTGCCGACAAACACGAGGACTTTGACACAGCCGAAGTCGTCAAAGCAGCGGCCGCCTTGCAGGACCGTGGTGACATCATTTTTGAAGGCGATATGTTGCGCCTTCCGGAATAGCCGGTGAATCCGGACGCTGAGTATTTCCAATTCTTGTGCATATATGTATACCTATTGTCTCGTTCCACATTTCTTGGACTTCCACTCCACTGTCAACTCACTGTTATCTATTGCTAGTTGCGCGCCCATATCCATCCCCATGCTTCGCGCTGATTTTTTGTTCACCCCACCAACGACAATCGCATCGAATGTGTATCTACCGTTCATACCACCGACCTCTTGTATCATTGCTAATTTTCTTGAACTGCGATGCGCTGTATGCATCACATACCGATTATAATCCGACAGCGAGGTTCTGCACAGGAATTTTTAATACGCGCGAAGAATCTCGCGTCTAAACTAAAAAGGTCAAGAACTACTGTTGCACGATGATGATACACTGGATCAGCCCAAACAAGTCCAACGAGAAAAAGGAGCAGTCCAATCCATCCTTTCTGACTATCGATTTTGTCGCTTGTTCATCTTCTTCTTGGATGGACCTGGGGCCTGACACCGACTCCAGGTGTGATGACGAGCGACGAGAGAAAACACCAACCTTGTCTGTGGTCTTCTCCATTTCCGGGTATTTTGAATTTTTCTGTCGCGGTCAGTTTGTGTATCTGAGACCAGTGCAGCACGGTTAGAGTACTTACCGGTCGTCTTGCCGGTCTCGTCGATTCCTCGTCATCGAGAGAGATTGTCCGCTTCACGTGCCGCGTTGCATGGTCCTTCTCGTCGTCAAACTCTCCAATATCGGAATCATCATTAGCTAGCGTTTCGAGGGGAAGCCGGTCGGCATGTCGAGGTTCTTTGGCAACTGAATGGTTCGTGGCTCCATGGACTCCTGCGAAAATGTTTTAGATAAGTCTAATTTTCCAAGCATGGTAAAGCACCGGAACTCTGTTGGTTCCCGTGTCCGGATGGGGGCTCGTTCCAGAACGTTTCATTTTGCTTATCGTCCCTTGAGCTTCCGACTTGTGGCTGCGAAGCATTAAGATCGGCCCCACATGTATATCAAGGGCGTGTTCCTTACAACTTCCCTAATGCGACGAGCCAGACTAGCCTCTAATTGCATGATACGAGCTTCATGTTGCTTGATGAGGTTGTCTCTCTAAAGCCATGGGGAATCAGTGACACATTACGGAAACGAAGACGAACCCTTCGAATATCATTGTTCTTTTCCACCAGCTCGCGCTCAAAGACTTCTCTGGCTTTTTGGGCTAGACTCTGGACTAACATCCATTCGTTATCGTTCTACAACCATGGAGGTGAACAACCATCGAAAAATTATCACCCCTCTTACCAAGTCGTTCTGTTCATAGCGGACAGTTATGTTCGTCGTTCTTTGGAGAAGTTGGGTCTCGGATTGTTCAAGGTCGTGAATGCGTGTCTTCAGCGAAAGGAGCTCTTGCTCGTGCTGATCGGATGGAGTTTCGGCAACAGCCAGGCGCTGGGTCAATTCGGATATGACTTGTTGCTTCTCACCCAGCTCGTCACGTTGAGAGTCAGTTTTAGAGTTTAGCTCTTGGATTCGTCGCTCGGCCTCCCGAGTACGTTGCTCTGCAATCTGTTCTGTGGCTCGTTGAATACCCTTTTGTTGGGCAAGGTCGATCTGGTGTTCTAAAAGTTCTTTCCGAAGGCTGCCAACCAAGTCCCGCTCGGCGGCTGTAGTAACGTTAGCTTCGTCGAGCCTACGCTGCAACGAGCGTTCGCGCTCCTCAAGAACATTAGCGCGGTTGTTTGACTCCGCCAGGCTTTCATTCAGGGTCTACGCCACACAATGAATGTGCTGGCGGACACAATATATCGGGGTGCACGTACTGAAATTGCGTTATTCGCGAAGTTTAGACGATCCTGTCGAACAAGTGAGTTCAGCGCAAGGCGAAGAAGGCGTAGGATTACCTGAACGTCGCCGACGCTTTCCTTGGTGAGCCTGAGAGTAACGGATTGGTCGTCGAAACGTTCCTGAAGAACCTACACCAAGGTAAATATGAATGGCCGGGATGACGTGAAGCTGACCTTCAGTGACATTCGCGTTTCTGCAGATCTAATTGTGGGGGTCAGGGGGCCTCGTCGTGAGAAGAGTGCTGAAACGACCTTTCACGGTAGCTCTCCTCTTCTCGCTTCGCATCTCCCAGTTGCGCGTCTGCAGCTTTGAGTTTGTTGAGGAGCATGTCTCGCTCCGACACGAGCCTCGCGATTTGGGCCGATGATTCCCTTTCCAGGTTCCGGATATCCGTTAGTTGTATTTCAGCAATCTGGAGCCTCTCCCTTGTGGATTCGCCTTCCGAGGTGAGGCGCGCATTCTGCTGAGCAAGAGTTTTCTCGAGATCTTTCGAGACTTCCAGACGCGCTTCAAGGTCACGGGTTCTGCTGTGCGCATGCAGCAACTCTGCTTCAGCCTTCTGTAACCTGCGTATCGAGATTCAGCAGGTCCTATCAGTAAATTTTGGCAAGGCTCACCTCCCCTCTAGGTCCTTCATGTGTTGTTCCTGGAAAGTTACAGTGTTCTGTAGGATCCGAGTTTGCGCTTTGCGATCATTCATAGCTTCCTCAAACTCGGAAATTCTGAGGATGAGGTAATATCAGCAGATGGGTTGCCAGAAGCGCAAGAACCGTACTCCTGTCTCATAGATTCCATCTCTTGCTGCATGGAATGTACCACAGCATCGCGTTCTTGCAAACTGTTGCGCACAGACTTGGTAAAACAAATCATGAAGATTAGATACATCCATTACCGTGACTGGCCGTAAGCTAGCCGATCCTCCGCCTGCGCAAGTTTGCTGAGGACATCAATTGTTTCATGCTTCTGGAGCTTCAGGTACTCGGCCATATCTGCAACACGCTCGGCTGGAAGGCCGTGATGATCACTACTCATCAAGACGGCATTAACCAGACTTACAGGTTCGCTGAAGATCCGAGGTTGTTGAAGCAATCAACTTTCTGTCGGTTCCAAAATGTTCCTCTAGTTCTGTAACACGTGCCCGGGCATCTACCAGCTCAGAACCCATGTTTTGCAGTTTGTCACGCAGGAGATCGGCCACCTGTTGAGCTGCAAACATCATGTGCAGTGCCGCGTTCGCATAGGAAGGAGTGACTCACTCCGAGCAAGTTCAGCCTGTAGCTCGTGTACAACTGTCCTCGTTTCGCCAAAGTTGGGCAAATGCCCCGCATCGTCGAGATATACTTCAGTTATCGGGAGTTACAACCCGGTAGAAACAAAAATGATGATTCAGAGAATGGACGGACCTTGAAGGCCGGTACGAGTGGCATCCCGAAGCTCTTCAAGACTTTCCATGGTTTTTCGAGCATCGTTCACTAACGTTGATGACGCTTGGGATTGAATTCGTAGCGCTTCATAAGAATCCCTGAGTTCGACGCAACTGGAATGAAATCAGGGAATGGAAAACGGATACACGGGCTTTTAAAAAACCTCCTGTTCGCCTTATCAATTGCTTCCTTGGTTGTCGATTTGAGTTGAGCAATGCGTCGAGAAAGTTCTGAGTTCTGATGAGAGACGTCCGCTGCCTGACGAGATAACTCCGTGTTCTGTCGCGTGAGATCGGCCGCGAGTTTAGTCTTAATAGTAAGTCGGGTCTCTAATTCGGTGTTTTGCTCCCGCTGTAAAGGCATCGACGAACGTTACGTCACGAAAAACGGAGGCGAGGCTGCTTACCAGTTTCGCTAGCTCAATCTTCGCTTGACGATGATTGCTAGTCATCTTTGAAATTATAAGGTCCTCTTCGGTCATATCACTCTCAAGGAGAGCTAAACTCGATCGAGAACTGATTTCCTCTGTGGTCGTCTTCAATGGCGAATGACGATATTCCGTAGGGAAATTCTGAGCTGGCTGCTTTCCGAGCAGCGAAAACTGTTTTTCTCCATCGATATCTGAGAAAATTGCATCAAATAGTAATATATCAGGCGCATATAATCACCATGGTCCTCTTTCTTCATCTCCACGTTGGGACGCTACAATGATATAGCCAGAATGACAAATGCAAATTGAGAGTATATGCGGCATACCCTCGTTGTAAATCCGCCCTTCGTGTCGTAGAAGGAAGAAGAGTCCTGAAAACTTGGGCTGCGCGACTCCGCGCGGGAGGTTGTCGTGTTGAACCTGAAACCGGATGAATGGAGGCTAGAGTCGGCCAAATTCCTAGAGGATGCATTCTCTGCGAGGTTGGAGCTCCGTGTGGGTGTAAATGATCGCTGCGAGCTGTTGCTAAACACCGAGACCACCGATTGTTTTTCAGAGTGTCGAGATTGTGGAGTCATGAATAGAGGCTTTTGGCTATTGATATTGTCAGGTTGATTAATGCGTGGTTTTGAAAGCACGGACATTCGGTGTCCTTGGTGAGGCTCCATTGTATGCGCAGAAGAGATGGTGGTGGTTTCTTGTCAAGAGCAGAGTCGATGGAGTATCATGTCATATATGTAACACGCGACGCGAATCGAATCATGTGACGTGCGTGATTGAAATATCACCTGAATAAGCGAAAGTACCCAAAGCCCTGTTCAATCGCTCGTATGCGTACACGCAATGAACGTAGCGCATGCTATAAGGATGGAGTGCCAAGTATTGAACGTTGAACAACAAAGACATGGCACAATCTAGTACTTATATTACCTAGTAGCGATGGCAGGAGAAGTTGTACACAACTGGCATCGCCGATCCAAGATCATCCTAGTGGGACGTACATGTACAGCAGCATAAGTAATTGGCAGGAAGCTGAAGTACGTCGATTACTAGACCTTCGATCGATACACCACGCGACTGATGAGTTTGGTACGTGCATGAGGAATCAATCCTGCAAGATACCCGGAAGAGCTCTTTGAGTCCACCATAATGTACAGAGCCTTTTGATTTCTTTATCCTTCAGCGGCGGGCGGCATCTTAAAGTAACACTTTGCATTATGAAGAGTGGTGCAGAGATGGTGGTCAGATGGATACTTAGCCACTGGCGGAGGCAGGTTGTTTGTCCAAACGAGGCGAAATCTCTTGAGTATGGCCATATGATTTCCTCATGTAAATCGTAAACTCTCGTGCTATATAAAAATGTAGTGACTGTACTAGCGGCAATATGTGACACACCCATGCTGGTAAATTACTTTTTCAATTGGGAAGAAGCAGAGACGTTATATTAGCCGCTTCTTCATACGAGTTGACTGCCCCCAATTGTGACGGTGTCAGTGAATTGTATATGGGGCAAAGGTTGTCCCAGGCCGCTAGCAAACAATTGCAATGAGCGGAGTACGACCAAAATCCCATGCGATACTCACTCGGCAATCCCTTCAGGTGCTTCCGAGTTTCAGAAGGACTCTCAGCCATCACAATAGCAAAGCCACTATGGCAGTTAGTTTCATAGCGACCCAGTCCAGCTTCAGAGGACTCACGCATCGAGGTGCCAATCAATATGACTGTTGGGGGATGAGCATGCAGTATGAAAAACTAGTCGGGCATACTCGCCAGTGCAAAAACCAGGGTCCGGAATTGTCTGTGACCCACCGTATGATCATTTGTTGATCTTCACCACCGCTGGAGACAACATCCCTGCGCACAGGATTTAGATAGTTGAAGGCACTGCTGCCGCCGGATTGTACTACATCAAAGGCATGCTGAATGTCCGTCAGCATGTTTCAGCGCCGAAAAGACAGAAGACTAACACCGTGCAAGTGGATCGGGTGCTGGACATCCATCAGCGACTGTGAAATCATGAAAAATATATTGCTTACGGGTGCGCCGAAGCCGCCAGTAACCATGGTCAGCTCCACGACCTTATTAGCCTCCAGCACGATAACGTCTCCGCTAGGCATCAAATCAGTGGCGTCTTGCGCACCACTAAGGATTTGCAGAAGCACAGGCACCGTGGGAGGCTTGTAGACAACGCCGTTGATAGAGAACACTCCACCAGTGTTGTTGGCCACCAACTTCAGGTTGATGTCTGCCCTGCCATACTCAGGAACCCCCGGTGCGCCGGGATTAATGAGGGGATGGAGGTTCACCTCGAGCATCGGCATGGTGCTATTCGTGTGGTTCGTAGTCGGATCTGCAGCTGGTGCACCTTTGTATCGCAGGATGGCGGAGTTGAGGCCACCGATAAATGTAGAGTTGACGGTACTGGGAAGCGCGCGTAGCCAGTAGTTGTCCACTGGCTTATCAGCTGCGAGCACGACAGAATACCGTTGTCCAGCAAAAATCTGGAGCGAGTCGACCAAGAGTGGCTCAGTAAGAATACCATCTGCTTCGATGACAGTGAGGTTGTGTCCGTCGATAGAAAAAGTGAATGAGGGGTTGCAGGACATCCCAACGAGTCGCAGCCTGTATCTCTTTCCATACTCGACATTGACAACGGCAAGTTCAGATTTAGGTCCACTAGTATATCTACCAAGCCCATTAATTAACGTTGAATTTGCGTTGACGCCAATGATGTGACGTAAAACTGGGGCCACGATATGGTACCTGCGAAAGGATGACGAAGACGCAACTACAGGATTGATTTGAGACTTTACCAGTCGGCAATAGTGATAACTGTGTTCTCTGGGGAGGGGATGATTTTATTTAAATATCATGATCATGGCTTCATGCACTTACCGTCATCAATATCATACAAATAAGACAGGGGGTCATTAGGATCGTAGATGACTAAAGGGCCGCGGAGGCCATCACTGGATATCAGGGTCTCATAAATATCTTGTTGGGAAACTTTAAGTCGACAAACCATTGCTGCGTGGAATAATGGCTGTGGTACCAGTATGTGCCAGCCTGATTCGGAACGTCAAAGGAGTGAAGAAATGAGCCGTTTTGTGCAATGGGGCACTGTGTGACGAATGAAACACCATCTGCATTGTTAGTTTCATTCTGGAACAGCCCATGCCAATGCTGCAGTGACGTTGAGCTACAGAAAAATAACAGGTAGATCGCGTCACTCACAACGCTGGTGCTTTTGAGCATAGAGTCGTCGTCCAGCTTGTTCACTACATTTATAGCGAAGTGGTCTCCCTGACTATTCTTGAGAAACACGTAGAGGATGCAGGTAGAAACCAGTACCTTGTTGGCTCGGATCAGAGGACCAGGAAATGTTCCTCCAGCAAGTGTTGTCCTCGTGGATCATAAGACTATTGGATACACAAAGGGATATAGAGAGCACTTACGAACGTGAAAATCCATCTGGTGCAATAACTTTATTGGTGATAGTCAGATTAGTGGTGGGTCCCAATGACCTAGAAGTGAGGGGATATGATTGTGATCGAGAGACAATGGATGCAGTGAATGCCGTCGGAAGTAATGCGAATGCAATCAATATCAAAAAATACATACTACAACAAAGCAGACCAATTGCAATAGATATGGGAAAGGAGGGCCGAGACCAAGTACAAGTACCTGGTCATCGACTTTATAGCGCCTGAGGCTAAGTAGCGACGCCGGGGGGCCGGGCCCTGCATTGTGCAACCTTGGTCTCTGTGCCGTCAATCACTCAGTACTCAAGAACTGTAGACATAGGTATTAGATTAATATGTCTGTGGTTAGTCGTCGTTCGCAACATGACGAGAATATTGCACTAAGCCGCATTTGGGATATAAAGCGACGGAGGACTCCGATCGGAGTCAGGTCAATCTGTGTGTTCCTGTTTTGCAGTGCACGCGGCCGTCGTTAAAGGCACGGCTTACTAGTAGACGCGGCAGTGATAGAGGGCACGGCCTCCAACAAGACGTACCAAAAAGAAGGAAATGACAGGTGGCATGGATCCAAGGGAACTCGGAGGGAGCGCTTATCTCGTTCTAGAACTTCAAGTATGAATTTGAAGAGGTGCAGAAGAGCCTGAAGAGGGGAAATCTGGGGGAATTGACCTGCACGCTGTGAGGCTAATATAATATGGCACAACATGGCCATCGCGTGACGTCATTCGCGTCTTGTTTCTTGAAATCTTCAACTAGTACTACTAAGTACTTACCAGCAAGTTGGAGTGTGTGTACTGCTCAGTGCTCTTCACATGCTGCTCCTGTGTCTTGTTGATTGAACCCTATGAGTTTTAAAGATACCCAGGTCATGACACCTTGCTTGCCAAATATTATCCTTCGGGTGCTACTAGAGCTTCAATAACTTTAACTCAAATGTTGGGTTACCTGGGACTCTCACTCATTGATGGGACCGCCTCCGCGGTCAATCTGCTGACCGTGCAGGTGGGCATCTTGCTGCCAATCTGTTTGGACTCACGCAATTATTAGCTGGCGTCTAAGTGGTGCAAAAATTAAATGACAGGCAGCGCTGTAGCCATGTCCACTATGCCGTGTCTAGACATGATTTGCAGAAGTCTGTAAGGCACATTCCTCCACGCTAGCTGCTCCTGGCAACCGTAGCTCTCGGATCGCACGTTTCTGACGTCTAGTAAGTCACTACTTACCGGGCTGTACCTGTCAATGGATTTCGGACTTTGCAACGCAAGGTACGTGACTCAAGCCATCCCGCATCATTGATGGGTGGTCCACCCACAGCTGAAAGTGGTGATTTCGAATGTTTGTCTAATTGGTGAAGGGGTGCGGTAATTAATGGTGTATGTGTATAAACGTTTGCACTGACCAGCCCCATGGGTATCAAATATACTTTATGCAAACAGATAGGATCTTCGTCAACTCAACGCTGATTAGACTGATCTGATCTATCATCCTGCAGCATCGCCAATTCACTACTAGCTTGCCTTGTTCATTTGAGCTCGCATACGTACCCGTCGGAACTATGCCCGGCGACTAGCACGTTGCTGGGGTAGCGCGGCTATCAGCTTGCCAATTGACAGCAAAGCTACCTTAGACTCGGTCGTCTATGTCGTACCGGTGAACGCACTGCCATAGGCACTAGACTGAATGCTCAATCTGATCATAATAGTAATGCATTACCCCCTTAGATAGTAGAGATAGCACAGCATGGTTGTATTATACAGCCATATTACATGCCTCGCACGCCCAAATACATAATCTATATAGACAGGGTACAAACTTTTAAAAGGGAGGAATCCAAAGAAAGCGCTGAAAATGTTCAACAACAATCATTAGGACATGAAGGAGCATTGCGTAGATGTAACAGAACTTTCGAAAGACCAGATGGGCCGATTAAAAGAGGGTATATTGTGCAGAAGCAGTTGCACTTGAAGAGTGAACGCCCGATGATAGCGCAGTATCATGTGAGTGTGCTCGTATTGAAGGTACCCAAGTTTGCTTGAGCGTATGGCTCGTTTGAAGGAGGACACAGCGAGGCCCAAGCCGCTAGAAATATCAGTTAGCTTGCTTGGGGCAACTAGTATGGCGTCCATACCTGGAATGGTCGCGTTGACCTCAGCAAGTTGATTCCGAGCTTCCGCCATGACCACCGCAAAGCCGCTAGAGAGAAGTCAGGTTACGGCTCACACATTACTTCCGCATACATACCTTTTCAAATGGAAGTCAATGTGGCTGAAAAACACGTCATGAGAGGTGTACCATGGAACGAGAATATATGCTCACCAATGGAAGAACCATGGTCCAGCATTGTCCGTGACAAAACGAATAGTCACGTTATCCCCTTGCGTTCCCATACTTACGGTGTCTCTCCAGATTGGGTTGACGAAGTTTGGCGTACTGTTGCCCGCAACTCTAACGACGGCAAAATTGTGCTGTCAGGTGCATTAGACCGGGTAATGACAAATAAAACGAAAGAACGACGCACTCCGTGAAGGTGCATAGGATGCTAGAATGATGCTGAGTAATAGGAATGAAAAGCACTAGGACGTACTCACTGCTCCGCCGGGAGCTGCGCCTGTCTCGGGTATGGTGATCTCAATTACCTTGTTCGGGGGAAGCTCGTATACGCTTCCCTTCGGTAGCAAATCCGAGGGGTGTTGAGCTCCACTGAGCATTTGCAACAGAATTGGTGTTGGAGGGTTATGGTACGAAACATTGTTCATCGTGAAGAGGCCATTGACGCTACCGGCAACGAGGTTGATGCTGACGTCTGCTTTGCCGATCTCAGGGACACCGGGGACCGGAATGCTATTCAAAGACGCAAGTTTTGCTTCATCGAATAGCATGGTAACAGGTCCAGGGGAGCTCGTAGGATCTTCATAGGGCGCACCGTTGTACCTGAAGATGGCTTGATTCAAGCCGCCTGCAAACGTTTGATTTGGAAGGTTGGATAATGCGCGAACCCAGTAATTATCCACAGGCTGATTCGCGTGGACGACGACAGAGTAGCGCTGGCCAGCGAGCACCTGGAAGTGAATCCACCATCAGCAGGGACAGTTTCGACGCCATCAGCTTCGATAATCGTCATAGTATGACCATCGATAGTGAAGTTAAACGAGGGGTCACAAGAAAGACCGATTACGCGGAACCGGTAACGCATGCCCTGCTCGACATTAATGACGGAAAGAGGTGACATGGGCCCGCCAGGGTAGCGTCCTAAACCATTGATGAGGGTGGAGTTATTGCTGACGGCGCCGGAAATCTTATTTAACTGAGTCGAAGGATCGTGGTACCTGAAGGTACTTGTAAGATTTGGAATGCAAAAGGCTGACAAGCCAACTCGTACCAGTCGGAAAGCGTGATTACTGTACTCTCTGTACAAAGACTGGTCAATGTTCGGCTTCAACATGAAAGCAAAGATACGGACCATCATCTACGTCATACAAGTCTCTGTGTGGATCCTCAGGGTCATATATGACAAATGGTCCTCTAAGACCATCGCCTACACGTAAAGCTATGTAGCCAAGGTTGTATAGATAATTGGGTACACTCACAGTACTGGGTGGAAAAATGCGAGTGATACCTATCGTACAAAAAGCCTTAGTATTCCTCCTCCATGGAAAATTGGGAGCACAAACCAATAAGTTCCAGTCTGGTTGAATGTGCTAAATTGGTGGAGGAAAGAGCCATTTGGAGGGATCGGACACTGAGTGATGAACGAGGTGCCATCTGCCCAGTTTGTCTTCTTTTGTCGGATGCCGTGCCAATGCTTTGAATTGTATCAGCGACCTTGCAGTGACAGAAAGAGTACAGCACGTACTACGCTCGTCGATCTAGGCATGCTTTCGTCCCACAATTGGTTCACGACATTGATGGAAAAATTGTCATTCTTGGAAATAATCAGCGTCAGATGGGAATAAGAATGCTGCCGCGAACCTTCTGCCCCTTGATGAGAGGACCAGGAAAAATTCCTCCTGCAAGTGTAGCCCTGTACAGGAGAAAGATGTAGAAGCATAAGGGAACATGTAGGCATTAACTCACGACCGTGGAAAGCCGTCGGGCGCGATCACCCTATTAACAATATTAAGTTCAGTGACAGGCGGGATGGTGGACGGGGGGGCACTAGGCGGCGAGCGTTGCAAGAGTTCTGAGTTAGATCTTGAATTCACCGACACTGCACGTGACGAGGCAAGAAAACAGTAAACGAGGACAGTACGGAGAAACATTATGAGCAGGATGTCATAAACTATGCTGGTGAACCCTGGCGGCAGACGTGGAGGTCAACTCGAAAGTAACGGAATAGACAGCTTGTGTACTGACTTCTTATATCCGCGGTTAGAATGAGTGATTAGCCGGTGATTGGCAGTGAGACGTCGGACTAGGTTGATGAGTCGGAGGGGCGGAGCCTTCGGGTTGCTAGAGCCACAGACCACTCTGGATGCGCAAAAGGACAAGCGGTGCACATTGTAAAATTTAATGTCCTGGTTTTTGTTTAGATTGGTTGGTCCGAATCAAAACGAAGACAGAAGGAATCATGACGTGTCACAAGTGACGTACCAGCGGTATATCATGTGCGCGATGATTTGATCTCATCAGACCAGTGGAATGAACACGGTGAACGAAACAGCCAGATTTGAAACCTGCTGTTACGGTCCGCTCTTTCGGCGGAGCAAGACATATACCTCGCATCAAACGACGCGGACAAAATCTTGAATACTTGTGTAGACTTGTGTGTTACGTTGCTGAGGCCGTTAGTTCTGAGATCTGATTATGTAGTAGTGGCGGTTGGTCGAGATGCACTAGTACAGACTAGTACTCATTAGTGAGCAAACCGGTACCAGGGCGCAGGTCAGGTGACGTATGTCGGATTGCAATGATGGATATGTCACTATAGTATATATCAGCAGAGCTGCAACTTGTTTTACCTTCTGAGTCGAAACGCAGTCGTTTAATGCTCGTTCTGTTTTCTGGCTCATACTCCAACGTATCAATGTGTTGATCACAGGTTCAGGCATACTATGACACCTCGCAAGCAAGGTAATAAATAAGGGCGCTTCGCGTCGTCCTTTTAGTTCAACGATTTGCGATGGCCCTTTCACCGCCCGACTCGCACGGCACACTAAACTCGACAGAGTATGCCCCTAGGCCCTGTATGTACTAGGCTAGTAGCGCTAGTATATCTAAATGTTACTGATCCGGGTTTATTGACAAAGGCCAGGGCCTTGCACGACTAAGACTTGTTCTACTCAATTTCAAAAAATAATTAATACAGCATCGAACATTGGTGGTGGGCGGTGACCGGTGACTAGTGGTTTGCCATCAAGTGGTCATAGTATGAGGTGCCTTAGGTCTTCTCCAGTTAGATGCAATATATTCACAGTGGTTGTCAGGCTGAACTTCACTAGTACTCTCAGATACGGTCGGAGTTCGCTGTCGGAGTGCTGGTACTTGAATTTGATCAGAGAGTCAACCCGTTGCCCAGTGTGTTTTCTCAATCCCGGAGCGTCGCTCACGAAACTAGAACTTCAATGTGTTCCTGCGATTATTGTTTCTCTTCCTCCTGTGACTGCCTGCTGTACCTATAGTGCCATCGACCAACACCCAGTCCAGTCCACTCAAGAAACCGCATCGCTACCATGCTCTCCCCACCATCCATGACATCAAAACACCCTGACTCCGCATTATATCAATAAAAGCCTTCCTTTTCCCCCAGTCTAACCAAAGCCTCGACGTTCCGAATATCCGTCACGATGGGGCAGCTTTGCCTGTACGAATTGTAAGTATCACAGTGGCATCTTGTTCTTCTGTCGTTCATGGCGTCAAGAGACCCAAGTTCAGCGGATCATTTTCCGCTAGATGCGCAAAGAACTAACCCTCTGGAATTTGGCACATACACTAATATTTTCTCTTGAAGTTTCCACACCAAATTCAATGTTCCGCCTCTGCTTGATGTTACTTGTTCTCTACTCTGCTATGGTCGGACCTCGCATGCTGGAACCTCACTTCGGTATCTCCTCAGAGATGTCACTGCCGTATCCATGTTTTGTCACATGCCTATTGTCTAGAAGACTCTATGGCGATAGAGTGCTTCCTGACATTAGTTTACTCCGTGGCGGTGAATTTCCCGACCCTGATTTTTTTCTTCCATCAGCGATGTCGCCTCAGCCGGTGCGTCGTTGCATGATTTCATGGACAACTGGCTCCCAGTGGGAACGGAACAAAAATCTGGCAGAGTCATTCATCCCCCAGTTACATAATGCGGGGCGTCTAAACGGTCCTCGTGTGTTTAATTCAATGGTGAGACTGATCCAATCTTCTGGTACATCAGGTGTTCCACATCACACGGGCCAGGGCAGAGGCTCGGCAAGGCGAATACGAGCGAATATGAAATTCTAACCAAACGCCCAGTACTTTCCCGGAACAACTTTTAGTTACCATACCCACGTAAGTGATTCAGACCCCAATCTATCTCTGAGTTGAAACTTGAAACTATACTTCTTGTGCATGCCATTTCATGTTCTTCTCGACCTCCATGGGATGTCAAACCTTGAGCGGATCCTTCGCTGACATACGTACACTGTATAGCAACGTTCCCAAATTAAACACAATCGAACTCTGCTGTAATACGATATGATCATACGATGTTACCCGCCATTGGCATGTAGTCATTATCTCGTCATACTTGGGCTACGGGAGTCCCTTCATTGTCCGACGGAAGTTCTGAATGTGGCGAACGAGCCGTTCGCAATGACGAGGTCAGCAAAATGTGACATTGGCTAACCACCCCGGTGGAGGGCACGCGCACTTAGTTACGCGGTGTACATGTGTCCTTCCGGTCAATGAGGACCCAATCTCCCGTGCGCGGTCGCATAGGGCCATGGCACACAACCCGTGGAGGTAGGTTATCACGGTGTCGTGCATCCTCAGTACTCTTACCGGCCCGGCCCGATCAAGAGTCCTTATCCTGCACTCGGAGTTGCAGCGCTCATGATTCGGACGATGTCAATTGCCTCCGAGCCGGCCGTCATTATACTATCCTTTCATCATTTTAAGTATTGGATCTTACCCGAATGTTTTGAATGCAATGAGTCGTCAGTGCAAGGTGTTAGGCCTTGATCCTTGAAGTTTAAAGCGTTCGTCGCGTCCAGCGACCTTGCGCCATTTGCTTGGAAATTTGCAATCCCGAAGGCAACAATGGAACGTAGAATCAATGTCGTTATCTCCGCAATAATGAGGGCGTTGAGCTATACCCTAGATATTCCTAGAACGCCTGATGTATTTCCGAGTTATAGAGGATTTAGAAAAGAGACAAATTGTGGCTGTTCTTCTCCTTTCCGATCAACTTCTTAATCGAACCTATTAATTGTAGCAATGCCCCTTGTTCATTCTCGCCTTGATGCCTATCAGAAGAGCGGAGGTAGTGCATTGGGGAGTTATGGGCGCCTTCGCAGCGCCAGTGCTCATCATCGACACCAGAAGGCACAGAAAAGGTGCATGTGAGAGTCTCAGCTATGAGATGCTGGCTGGTGTGGAAGTGCGCTGGCTGGCTGGTGAGGGAAGGTGGTGGCTGAGTAGTGAGGTACTAAGTAGTAGTAGGGAAAGAGGCAGAAGCTGCGAGAAGCAACTTTAAAATTATAAGCCGAATATGGTACATCCAAAATGGGACGAACGGAAAGGCCCGTGGCTCTTCATTACAGCTTGAACGTCTATGTCACAATGGTCTGTCTAGTGGAGACTGCAGCTAAGCAGTCCCAGCTAAGCTTGTGTTAACACAGCGCGTATTGGCTGGCAGCAACATTCCAAAATCGATTAATCACACAATCCGAGGAGTTGGCCGACATCTAGTATGTATTGCCGCTCAGCATTGAGAGTCCCCTATGTGCTCTCCTTCGCTAAGCGCGATGGCGTTCATACAATGTTGTCAGTACTCGCCATGACCTGACTAAGAGGGTCGTAAGCTACAAGCTGGTGCTAATTCTTGCTTATGGGTCCATGACCTAGTATTCCTACTATCGCACTATCGATTTACTGACATTCGAGTATGACGTCGCAACACCCACTGTGACGCATTGGGCTATTAGCTACGCATAGATATAAAAAATGAGCTGGTGTTCAACGGGTCACCCACTGACATTCTAATTTTTTCTCCACTTTACCAACTTGTCTCCATGCCCTCCAAGGCAAGATCATTGTTCGAGCTCACCAGGCTCCACTGGTTCCCAGTGGGGAGCGACTTCAACTTTTGGCCCTTCGGTAAGAGGAAACGTACTACTTGTTCATTGATTGTAACTCATCATATATACCTAGCTTGGAGCTTCCTGTCGGCAGCCTATCGTCTGGCATTGCCCATGCACGACGTCGCGAAAAATATCTTATTTTATGCATTGCTGGGCACACTGATACACAGCGCTGGCTGTGTCATAAATGACATGCTTGACCGCGACTTCGATCGCAAAATTGGTACGTCTCAGTTCAGTCCTGACTCTTGCTGGTCTATTGACGCTGTTCACTATGGAACAGAACGCTCGAAAGGCCGACCAATCGCATCGGGAGCTGTCACCAGAACCGAAGCTTCAATTCTTCTGGCGGTCCTCGTTGCTGCCATCTTTTACATGTTTTCGACTGTTGGCACCACGGGGTGGGTAGTTCATTCAAAAATCTTCACACTTCTCTGACTGTCTTTAGCTTCACACTCGGTGTTGTTATGCTCCCTGCTGGTGGCGGGATGTATCCACTGACGAAGCGCTGGATGTACTGGACTTCTTTGTTCCTCGGTATCCCTTTTTTGTATGGAGGAGTATACGGTCTGATTGGTCCCAAGGGTTTGTTATTAGTTGGGCAGTTCCATTCACTTGGGTTGCAACGACGGGTCAGTTCAATTGGGATATGATCCTGAGCGTTGCAACCGCGTCCTGCTGGTAAGTGCGGAGCACGGCGGTTGTTTTCTGAGTTGGTGACAATGCCTCTGTAGCTGGACATGTATCTACGACACCATTTACGCATGCCAGATGAATCGACTGGAAGGTTTCGCGGAGGCGTGTCGTACTGATTATATCATTTCAGGACAAGAAGTACGACGAGGAAGCCGGGGTAAAGTCCATGGCGGTTCGTCTGGGCGAAGGCATTCGTCCTGCGTTGAGTTTGTTTGATGTGACCTTCTTTGCGTCCCTTTTGTATGCTGGGTACTTAAACGACCAGCATCTCCCGTTTTACGTGATCAGTGTTATTGCACCGTTCCTGCTCTGTCTCTGGCACGTATGGTCGTTTGATCATAATGATCCCAAAGATAGCTGGAAGAAATTCATGGTACGGCTAATTGTCATATCTCCGTGCGCTAATTTGATGTCGTGTTGTACTCCAGGCAGGTCGCCACGGCGCGGCGATGGTCTGCGCTGGATTGGTCGTAGACCACTACTTCAAACTTGCGTCCCTAACCGGTTAAGGATACACTTCTTCAACGCCGAGAATTCAAACCGTTCCCACTGGATAACCTAGGCTTTTATGTGTTTCTGTTTTGTTATGTTTTGACTATCTGATAGAGGAATCGTTATATCAATACCCATCTGACAAAGAGTAGCGCACCAGGAATCATTATATCAATACCCGTCTTACAAAGAGTATCACCATGAATCATGAGGTGTACTTACTGATAATATCTAAAATATCATGACCGAATGCAAACGCATCACCTATAGCTTGGTATTTTCATCCCAAAGAAAGGAGAAATCGATGGATTTTATGGCGGTTACAACGACGATCTAACTCATCGTCATCTATTCCTTACCCGGCCCAACCTACACGACCACCTGCCCACTGACACACCCCATCAACAACGCATCCACACTCCCACCCGTCTTCTCATCCAACCATGCATCAAACTCCCTAAACAGCTTCATCGCCTGACTCCCATCTGCCTCAGCCTTTTTCGCGGGCCACATTCGCTTCTCCTGGATCCCGATGAAGTCTACCTTCAGCCCGCCCACATCGGATGATTTGGGGTGTGCATTCGGGGGAGATGGCCACTTAATCGTCATGTCCACCGTCCAGACGTCTGTCCCGTAGAATGAAGCCTCTTTGATGTGGTGTCTTGCATATTCCTCTGGGGGGTTGTTATCTAGCGTCCATTCTAGTACCTGCGCGTCGAATGCAATCACTGTAGCAGTAGAGTTTAGTCCATGCGACGCCAAGGTGAACTAACATAAGGAGTAGGACTCACCAGTCCACATTATCCCCGGGTGATCGATCTTCAATGTCAAACTCCTCGTGCCTTTAGTCTCATCAAGGGTATCATTGACAGCCGACACTATGAACTGCTCTGCTGGCGGCCACGGCGCGTCGTACGCAGGGTCCAGAGGCAAGTCAATCTTATACGGGGAGAGGAACTGCACAGCGTTTCAAATATGCCCAAAACGCCGTATCCAACCGCAAATCAACAACCCATACTAATCAGCATCTCTGCACCATAAAAACTGAACATTCAAAGTCTCACCGCTGAAAACGGATATAACGTATCCCAATCACTATTCCAGTCGTCCATGACGACAGCCTTAGGTGGTACCCCGTCTGCGCCGAAGCGTGTCGTAATGTCATGTGCGAGCTCATCAAAACCAGGCGCGCCATCTGCAGCTGCAATATGGAGATGCTGCTCCCGTGTGTTCAGCTGCCATACGCGCTCAGTTTCCTTTATAAACACCTCGCATGGGAAATGGCACTTACATCCTCCTTGTGAAGAACGAACAACCTCTTTTGATGACTTTTATCAAACACATCCTTCTTCGCAAACACTGCCATCACTACGCCCACTCCAAGGAGCGAAATTATGACTGCTTTGCGCAGAGCTGGAAGACCAAATCGATGAGCGAAGGGTGTGGTGAGATTAAGCGTGTAAGCGCCTAGGACCGCCGCGATGGAAGCGATGATGTGTTCTGCTGGAGCTTCAGAGCCAATGCGACCAGTCTGTGAGGGACGTGTGTGAAAAGAAAACCACAAGCAAAATAAAACCACTTACCAGCGGCACGAACACGACCAAAGTCGCAGCCGTCAGCTGAGTTCCCGTCAACAGCGGGATGGTTTGGCCTAGAGCATATGTCCACAGGCTCACAAAGCCGTCCTTGTCCTCCGCATTGACCACCTTTTTATTCCCATCCTTCGCAGTTTTCGCATCTCCGTCTTGCATCTTTTCCGCCTTGTTCATCGTTACATCGGAAGCACTCAAGTAGGTAGTCACTCGATCGACAGATAAGGCCCCAAACGTCGACAATGCGCTGAGGAAGAATACCGCACTTGATCCGACACCGGCGAGCTGCCCTGCTGCAGCCAGGAACGCATATGCAAGGAGCTGTGCGTGCAGGAGCGCTTTTTCAGGGATCGGAGCAAAAGGCAACTGAGTTAGGAGGGCACCTGTGGAGAACGGTTTGTGTGAGTCATGATGACAGGACGAGGGAACGAAAGAAAATGAACAAATTCTAGGGCACTCGGATAAAACACTTACCACACATCGCCGCAGGGCCATACAATATCAATGGTTCAAACTCGCCCTTAAACCAGCTCATTCCCCGGCCCAACACCCGTTGCATCACAAACGCCACAACATTCGCTCCAACAAGTGCGCCCAGCGCCCCAAAGGCCACAGCAAACAACGCCTTCACCATCGTCGCACCTCTCGCACTCGGCCCACCAGCACTTTTAACAAGCACACAACTGGCAATGAAAAGCAGCGAGTACAGGACTTCAGCTGTGCGGAACGAGTACACGAAGAATACCCCGAGGTATGCGAAAAAGACGGTGCGAGGGCGGCCGTAGCCTGACGCGAGCCCTGGGAGGGGTGAGGCTGACGAGGTGAGGTGCTTGACGAGTGCAAATGTGTTTTCGGCCATGTGCTAGAGTGAGGGAGGTGAGAATCCGTTCGAGAGTCAGTAGGTAAGGGGTCTGGAGAACAAACCTGTGCAACGCCTGCTTCGATGTTTTCCACCAGGTCCTGCAGCACTTTAGTATGTCCCGGTATTCAGTTGGTACAGGCTACATACCCCGCGCATGTGGTACATATAGCTGTTACCCACAACTGCCATCTGTGAAGTGCATTAGCTTTGGAACTTATCGATGAAACAAGCAGAGAAACGTCGGACGTACGTCAAGTCCGGTGACGTTCAAGTAATACTCGAACTGCCGGAAATCAGTGCTTATAGCCAAGGGCATGCATGTTAGTGCAGCAAAATACAAGGGGAAAATAAAGACACACTCAGAGAGTAGCACGCCCGAGCTGAAGATCTCATTGGCGAAGATCGTTCCGTATGGTCTGTGTGCATCTGCATTAGCGCTGGCCCAAAAGCGAACAAGTAGGTAAAACTCACCGAGGCACATGTGAATACGCCTGAATCATCTCATGGGACGTCGCCTGGAACAGAAGTTCAGGGCCTGCGGTGCCAGCAGCTACAGGCACGTATTAGCCGCATGAATTTATGTAATACATGCAAACAGCTAACCTTCCAAATTGACGACGGCACGGACACTGAAGAGTAATGTAAGGTGGAATGCAATGGGAGATATAAGCGCGGAACGTACGTAGATGCAGTGGGATGCTGCGTCGAAAAGAGATGCGACCCATCCTGAAGGGACTCTTCCGCGTTGTTGAATACTGCGACCGCATTAATACAGATACCACCGCATTGCATCGACGATTAACAAAGACTCACAAAATATAACTGCATGCTTTGGCTCCCACCCAGGGGTATTTACCAGCACCCGCACGCACTCGATCATCACGCCAACCGCGAGCGCATCATCTGCAGCGCCTGGACTAGGAAGGGTACTATCGAGATGAGAGTTCACAAGGACGGCATCAGCTTTTCCCTGGTCGGTGCCATCGCTGAGGCGGATGATGATGTTGCTCAGGTTGACATAACGCTTGTACAGCCGCGCGGCCATCATATCGAAGCTGCCCGCCAAGCAACATAAGAAATGGAAGGCTTGTTGAAGAGAGAATTTGGATGACACACCGATGACTACCACTGCCTTCTTGCCTCCACACCTCACACTGGAGTTTACGGCCAGGTTGGGCTGCTACGACACGCTCGCACTCCTCCTTGAGCTGGTAAGCTTTCTGGGTCATCCATGCATCTGCTAGGGCATGTTCGCGCGTGCCAGGCGTGCGATATCCGATGTCCTCTGATAGGTACTTTGCATATTCGAGAATTGTCGTTTCAGAGAGCTGAGGGAGTGATGTGATGGGGTCATATCTGGTGGTAGGTTTGACAGGCAAAGAGTTAAGAGTTGTCAATTAGCCTTGATTCGTGTGGAGACAGTAAGGAAAACGTACTGATCTACAATGGGAGTGGGTAACGCTGGTGGGGTGAAAAAATGAGTTCACAATGTCGAATTGAAGACTAGAACACGTACAAAATTGGTGCTTCAATGCAAGCCATGGTAAACCAATGAGCAGGGGTGTTAGCGCGAGCAGAGACGACACTGGCCCCCACTGTCGCGTCCTAACCATCGTGTCTAGGCAAAGTCAAGGTTGACCTTGACAGTACTGTTCAGGCGGTTACCTGAATGCTCTAATTCGAGAAACAGAAAGTATATGTAGTACTGCAGTAATAAGTAAAACTTGGGAACGTTTGAATGAAACCGAATGGTTGATCTAGAGCGCAGTAGGAGAGGTGACGGTACTTGCTAGTACTAGTGATGACCGGGTCGAACCAGCAAAGGAAATGAGCAAATTTCAAACCGGCGGCTGGTTCATGGACTAATAGCAATTCGACGTGGCAGGTCTGCTTACGCCAGGCCACGTATGGTCCAGCCGTACTGTCGACGACGGGGGAGTTGTCACACTTGTGGTGTAAGCAAACACAGTGAAGAAGGTCACTCGGGCCCCGTCACAATAAATCTGGTATTGATATATGATACAACGTAGATATACAACAGATCTCACACTTGCAGAATTCCTGATGGAAGTAAGCTCAAACCACAGCAAGACGAGCCACGTTCCTGGTGTGCAACCTGTGCACGCAGCATTATCGTCATCATATTCTCATCCAAAAGGGTGGAAGGTCCCGGATGACAAGTGGCGTTTCTAGGACCACTCATACTGCAACTGAAACGCTGGCATTACCAAGGATTAGTTGACGGTGGTAATAAGAATACGAACCGTTAGGCTCTCCAAATGTATTTCTTCAGCCAAAGAGATCAGCCAGATGATTGATGTTCGTCCTCCAAACCATCATGTCGACAGTCAAGGTCACGCCCTACGCCACAATTTGTAGGACAATTTAAATAAACATTGTACTGACTCGATCCCGAGCAGATATACCACGCGTCTGCGTACCTCTGAGGCATCGAGACCGCGACAAGTGCTAGCTTATATCGCAGTGAAAAACCGTCGATGCCCCAGGGTCGTTCTAGGGAGCGGTCTACAGATCTGGGTAAGACTTGGGACGATGGCATGCGTGGTTTTGGAACGCCCTGGGGTGCTTGTAACGGTTACCACGCGTGATAAGAAGCAGCAGGGTGCATAGCGTCGGAGGGTAACAAAACACCATCCGAACGCTCGAGATAGTCTGTTGCCTACAGAAGTTCCTTGACGATGCGATGGTTCGAGGATACTAAGGCTTGTCTTACATGTAGCAGAGAAGGCAGACCATTCGTGCTTATAATTCGCGAACGCCCTTATTTCCGCCGCCCGCGATCCTTTCAACTCTTCTCGAAGCATTATTGTGGAGTTCCTGTATCGATCAGCTCCGATCAATGACTACAACAAGTGAACCATTTCAAGACCTTGCTTCTGTACCTCGGACCCAACCAATTCGCCATATCCGAATCCGGAGCATCTTCTCATAGAGCGTCAGGTCCCCCATTTTCCCAGTAGGAAACGCGTCGTCAACGCACGCCGGGATGAGTTAGAAGAAGAAGCCTACCGCATAAACAGCGACATCAAGGCGTGAAGAAGTCGTGGACCTAGCCCGGTCGTGTTATGATAACTTGAACTTGAGCTACTTCCGACTAAGTTAGCTTGATCAGTATCATAGACACTAACCTGTTTGATCTATTGACACCTGCAGGTGCATCGATTTCGATAATATTGCCTCGTGGTTAGTGATAAGGTTGAGCAAAGTTGTGACACTAGTGACTACTACTATAGCGTGACACTGACAAGTCTAACGGTGGGTAACATCGCTTTTTCGTCGGCGAGGCGGAAAATGTTGTATAACAACTCACCCAACATCCAATTCAACGAATCGAGGAGCTCGAAGAAGGAGGTGAGCTTGTCTGTGCTGGTGCGTCGTGTACGCTTCGAGGCCGTTGGTGTCAGTGGTAAGAAATACTCATGCTGTTTCCGCTGGGCGATGCATGGTACGATGGGTGGTAATAGTAATATTTTTGGACGGGTGATCCAAGTGGTGGATAGTGATATGGCTGCAAGAAGTTTGAAACAGGACTTGGAGTGAGTGGGGTTGATGGATTCTGCGCTATCGACCGATTGTTTTCGTGTTATCGAGCTCCTCATGGTTGAAAAGGGGCTCACTGTGCCGAATACTGCCGAACAATGTCCAGCTATCCAATGTCCATGACGCTCACAGTGTTTATATATAAAACAGGTATCTTGACCAGCCCGTCTATTAGATGATCAAACCAGAGTGGGGGTTCGATTTCTGTCAATCGCATTCAGATCACACCCATCGTTCAAGTTAGTCTCCCCTAGTAAGCAAGACCTATAGAAGAATGAAGACAGCCGTTCCTTCTGATACGAACTTTGTATCAGAACGCCTAGCGCTCATATGGTACGCGACTTTCAAGACTCACTCGATTTTTCTTGCTACCATACATGTGTAGGTGGTACGATCTGTGCAGAGCGCACCACATTCGTAACATGGTGGTCGGGATTCACGTTAGGTCCAACGAAGAAAGAAAGGATGGATCTACGCAGGATATGTCTTCTTAAATACCAGGTAAGCGTCGCCTGTTATCGTTCTCTACCTTGTCATACGTCCTTAACATCCTCATTTTTGAGGCCGGTGTAGCAGGCCCTGCGCTAGCATACGCCCATGCAACGAAGGCATCATGCACGGATAGCTCCACTCAAGCGTTCCTTGTCGAAGCCAGATCCTTGATCTGGTCAAAATGTCCAGGTTTGCTAGCAGAGGCAAAAGCATTTGATGGCAGATCTCATTGTGCCCTTAGCGATTCGGAAGTGTGCAATTATTTCTCCTACGTAGATATACTGGTCGAACTTAATCGTTTTTTTTTCTTCCAGCCTCAGCACACCCAGCCAAACGCGCGCGCCATTAAATCCAACGAGTCCCTCGAGCATGTCCTCAAGCTTCTTCTCCCTATGTCGATCGGTCCACCACCCTTCGCACTGCCGCGTTCGCGCGCCCAGTCACAGCCCCTCAGCAGCATTGCCAACCAGTATTGTGTAAGAGTTCGCAGGACGGGAGGATTTCCCCTTGTACTCTGACCATAATTTAGTGACCTATCTATGGTCGATGGCATAATGGGAACAAGGTTGCTGCTCAACCGTTAGTGGTAAATATGGGAGATGGCCCCTCATTTTGGGATACACCCGTATCCGCGACTTTCATACACATGTACCAAATCGATCTTCTGTCTATGGCCTCGTTAGCGACTATCACTTGAACATGCGATGGTGTTGTCGCCCCACTCGTATCAATTCCATAAGTTCTGTTATTCCCCAAGTGGAAATGGTTCGACTCAAGGCGAGTACGTTGAGAAGGTGTGCTCGCTAGACCCAACCACATCAGGTTCCACATCCCCTCGGCACCAAATCAAGCTGACTCACGTGTTCCCAAAGCCAACGCGGTTGCTATCAGCGTCGAAAACAGCATAGTACTTCTCCATGAACTTCTGTCCGATGATGAAATCGAGACCCTCGCCGCTGTCAGCGCCGAGGTGACCGACAACGCCGTACTGTACGCCAGCCTGACCACCCCAAGCGGTGTTCTGGTCCAATGGGATTAGCTGTGCAGCTGTATCCATGCTGAACACGGTGTCGCCGATCTTGAAGTTAAGGGGTTGCATGTCCGCGACAGAGGAAGGGGGAATGACAATGAGGCCGGCGTTATTGTCGACGTAGGCGCCGGGAATGGCGCCTAAGTACACGGCAAAGAAATCATCCGCAAGGAGAATCACTGCGATGTAAAAATTCAGTAATTATTGAGTGCGAGTGATCGAACGATACGTGCAAGTGGTGCCCGTGTCGACAATGCCGGCAGTTGACTGAGGAATCACGGTATGTGTACCATATGTCGACTCAGTCACGTTGATGCCCCAGTAGCGACCTGCCGGGTGAGTCTCAGTAACTGGAGTGTAGGTTATTTCACCAGTGTACTGACGACAAGATCAGGGATGGTAACCACAGTGAGCATAAAACCGTACGCACGAGAGCATGGTCAATGCCACCATATGTAATGGCTCCGTCTGTTCAATCAGAAGGGTTACGTGAAAGTCAAAGATGATGTATACATACTAGTATCATTATAAGTCGTCGCCGGGGCGAACAAAACACCGAGAATTTGCTTTTGGATGAGACCTTGCTTCAGGGCGTTACTCATGATCGTTGGGATCAACGTGTTTTTATCAGGTGACAAAGTGCCCTTCGTGAGATCGACTGGTCCGACGCCAATGATACCATCAACGCCCACAAAGTTTGCGTATTGAAGAGCATCGCCAATAGACTGCTTCGCGATGACGAAGTCTGGTGCAAGAGTGACCGTGTCAGAGTCTGATGGGTTAGACCATATCAATTTCCATACACTGGAGTGAAGTGTAGAGGAAGACAAACATTCCACGCCAGTGAAAAAGCCACCTCCATAGGTTACATTGACATGCTGCCCAGTGGGGACACTAGTTGATGTACGGACATAATGTTTACCCGTTCTGCACGTCTCGCGTCATCATCAACCATCCAATTCGCAAGGACAATCCTCTACATAGCTACTCACCCGACAAAAGTGTTGGAGCTCCCCGTGTCGACAACCAAATTGTAGTAGGTGGCGGGGCTGCCAACGCCAACACTCGTGGTGTACTGTACGTATGCCAAATTTGAAGCCGGGACGGTGGTTGAACCGCCGGCTGTTCGGGTCTTTAAGAATGACGCTCGGGCACGATCAGCATATGGGGACCCTTGGAGGTACGACCCAGTGCGCTCAAGTTTCGTCAATGGGATGGTGACCAAGGATGAGGTCGACCTGCTGGCCGCGATGAGGACCACAAACAGAAGGGCCCGGCGGGATAAAGATCGCATGATTATGAGGGAGATTGCTGGCTGCTTGCAAGAGGCCTACAAGCCATTTATATTACTGTCAAAGGATGTCCATGCAGATGAGACTTGAGTCGGACATTAGAGGCACATATATACCAGCAGGCACCAGTGCCAGCACGGTCCACTGCGTAAGTTATAGCAAGTACTTGGCTTGGCACTAATAACAACAGCGATGCCGCAAGGTAGGCTCCCTAGCAAAGCCAATAAAAAAGAGACAGCACTATAGTAGTGGTCAAACAGGTGGCCACATCATGATGTACCAGGCTCACGCGTGCAACCGGGTAGTAACCGAAGCAGACTCGCAAAAAATTCGGTTCAATTGCTTCGCCAACACGGATATGTAGTTTGAAGATTGACCAGCGACCCGGGACCTGGGACCTTTGTCACGGTAAATAGATATGTAGGAAGCTGCAGAGTGCATTGCAGGTAACTGCAGGTAATCTGCACGCTGCACGTTAGATCGTAGTCAAGCTTATCAAATCCCAACCTTGATGCAAGAGTCAGTTACGTCACCAGACTTTGATGCAAATAGATACCGGCGAGAATGTGGGATTATAAGAGAATTTGATGATAATCTGAGGCGAGAATCTCGGGACTTATATCCACCATTCATTCGCCGTCGGATATAAGCGCGAGACTTAGAGATCTATAATTTGTTAGTAATATTGATATTGTGCATGCTGTTGACATTGGGTGACTATCCGTAGGCTGAAATATTGCGGAATAGAATAGAATAGAATAGAATAAAAAAACTTGCACATAGGTCCAATGGCACTCGTTGAGTGAGTTTAGGCAACCGGGGTCCTCCAGCTTAAAGCTCGGAGGACCCGCAATCAATTTTATCACTAGGAAGAAGACCGACAGCTCGTTGTACATGAAAGAGGCTTCGAAACGTATATCGTACACGGACACAACAAAACTCGCGAGGCAAGAACGAGCTTGATTTGTCAAGCTCGACAAAACCGCTATAAGGCTATTTTTTTTTTTTTTTTTTATAATTTGAATTTTGTTTTGAATTTGTTGTTATGAGTCAGGGGGATGGAGACATGAATGGGTGTTTGAGAGACTTTGTGAGTGAAACGCAGTGAATCTGAGCTGTCAATCTCAATGAGTTACGGAAGTGTGAACCATGAATAAGTTGATGAAGCAGAAATGGGTGCTTGCGAATGTATTTCTGGAATTCATCTGAAGACCAGCGTCCCGCTGCCTGAATCAGCGCAGGGGCAACACCGTTCGTGGCAAGAGCAGTTGCTCCTCCAGCTCGCATTGAATGTCCAGAAATACATGGCAGGAAGAACCGCCATAGATAGTGCATGAACCACGCACGTGTGGGAATAGTTCCAGCTCCAGTGAGCCAGAGCTGGGGATGGTGCAGAAGTTTGTCGTCGTGAGCAGAAATGTACCGATGGAAAAGGTTCAAAGGGTCCACTTGTGCACGAGGTTCGCCCAACAGCAAGATCTCACAGCCAACACCCAAACTACTGCTTTTGTGATGCGGGAGAGTGTAGCTCGCTGAGCCGTTGGTGAGTGTTAGAGAGTGCCGCAGAGGCACTTTTAGATAGGATTGGTGTTTTGTGGCATTGGGCCAGCACAACTTGGCTAACTGTTGCAAGGTTTTAAACCCGGTAACGAGTAGGGTAAGGAACAGGATGTCATCGTACTTGACAGAGGAGGCGAAAGCATCAGCCACCAGGGAGAGATCTTCGAGACTAAGTGGTTGTTTGTGCTGGACAGGTTTGGACAAGCGGCATTTGCATCCTTTGAGTGTGCGCGTGATGAGTAAAGAAGTTCGTGCTTCTCGCACTTCAGTAAAATGAGATTCAAGACAATTGACAATGCCAGACAGATAGGAATCAACTGAACGGGGTTCGATGTAGTGGGATAGCCAGACCATGTAATAGGACAGAGTGTCCTCTGTTGGTTGGACAGGGCAGTTGTGCAGCCGACAGAAATTGAGATAGGAATTCAAATGGGAATTGTATGCGGATGCAGTGGTTGATTCAATAGCAAACTGTTATGATCAGCGTTCACCAAATGGTAAAGGCCTAACACAACCACTAGGACTTGTCAAGATGAGAGAATAGAGATGATATTGAGAGTGAACGTCTGAGTCTACACTGGGTAGGAACGAAGAGGTTAAGTCTAAGGAGTACTACTGACTACGACCTAAACTATATACTACTCTCTAAGCGGAGATATCTGAGTATGAAAGGTAGTGATATATCTATATACGATCATAACATTGCGCCTAGGGTACAGGGCGTCTTATCAACCAATCAACTACAAAGAAGGGGAAAGGGTATTGGTGATTAAGCAGGGTCTCAGGGTACTGCTTCTATTCAGGGTAAGTGGAGATTAAGAAGGGTGAGAGAGTTCTGTGACTAGAAGTCTCGAGTGGTGATTAAGGATCTTGATAAGAGATGGGATCTGGAGATGTATCGGGTACGATCGGATCTAGGGGGTTCTCCAGAGTCTTCGGTAATGAGCATGCTTCTCTATGAGTGGCGCTTCTGTGATAGGGGTTCAGGGTTTAGCTGTGACTGTGCAACAGGTTCTAATGTAAGGGGTTCAGTGAATGACAGAGGTAACTCTTAACATGTCATGAGAAGTGAAGGTGTGCGGAGTGAAGGAGTGATGACTCTTCAAGAGATGACTTGTAAAGGACTTTCGGTTATGGTTCGATCATAGAGGCATGTAGATGCTTATGATGTAACCCGTTGCCTAATCGTAGGACTTCTAAGGATATGATGATGTCGGATATCTAGGGTTACGGATATAGATGGATGACGTCGATATAGTATAGATGTGATGTAAAGATAGTGATCGTTAATCAGTTATCCATCTTATCTTATCAGGGATCTTATCTAATCTAATCTTATCGGATAGGGTCTCTTAGGTTTGATAATCGAAATTTAGATGCAGTTGGTAACATTCATGACACAAACCCAAGGGCCAATGAATGCTCGAATTGCAAGCATTCAAGTGTCGTCCAGGCTTCCTGTACGGGTTGCCTGGACTGGGTAGCACATGGGATCATTTTTTCGTATCCCCCAATGCATCCCAAGGGGGTTCAAAATCAAAGATTAGAGCTGTAGGCACGAGATCTTTGACAAGCTCATTATGAAAACAGGACAATGCGTCTGCTATTATGTTTTGTTGACTGGGGATATGTTCCACGTGCAGGTCAACATGGTAGGCAATCAAAATATCCATAGCCGAGTGCAGCACTGAATTATAGACCGGTTTTGCATGGAGCAAATCAAACATAGCAACAGTGTTCATGTTGTCCATGTATATGAGCAGCTGTGCTGGAGTTTTGTCCATGTTCACCACAGCATGGATAGCTGAGCAAATGGCGAGTGCCTCAAAGAAGAAAATTGAGTCGTGAGGGGCATCTGCGGGCAAGTGACATTGACATGCGAAATTGTCATCTGGGAACCACAGTCCCATGCCAACACTAGAAGCATCAGTATAGGCGACGACAACCTTGTCACTCTTCGGATCAAAATCCATGCATTTGAAGAGATGCAGCCCATCAGATCGTTCAATGTGATCTGCAAGCCAATGCACTTCGTCGAGCAGAGCATTATTAACATGGATGAGTGCGAGGGCGTTATTCTTTCCCCTAATCTTGTCGTATAAAACCGACAGACCAGGTTTAAGGAGTGGGAAAATGTTCAAACCCCACTCGCACCACCCTGTGAGTCGTTGGAATTCCCGAAGCGACCAGCAATTATTCTTGCATGCGAAACAGTGCAATTCTGCAACCAGTTCATCCTTTTTCTGGACTGGAAGGGATACCTGCATGGTATTAGGGTCGACATCGAAGCCAATGACGGTTAGAGGTGCTCTGAACACCTGCTTGGGGCGTTCGTGTGGAAGTCGGAGTTCGCCCCATAGTTGTAGTAACTGAGTCTGTTTTGCAGGAAAATAGCAGTCGTATAGAGGATAATACAGCAGACAACCTGCGACCTCAAAGGAGAATGAGTCATCCATGTAAGTTTTAAGTGCATCGATGAGGGTACAATGTATAGCAATCCAAGCTACGAGGGACATGAATGAAATCCATACTTTGGGCGAACCCCTGCCACCGAAATTGTTGTTACGATCCACGTGCCGTTGACCGTGGACTGTCAGAATTTGCTTAACCTGCCATAGTGGGTGCATCAGCAACCGTCGGAAAGCCTGCGACACGTCAGATTTGAACATTACCAACTGGACATTTGGGTGCTGTTCGCAGAAACGAAGTAGCGAAGCTCCAAGCGAGTGCAATCCGTCAAGCTTGGTACCTTTGATGGCATCTCTGTCAATCATGGAGTTCAGGGAGTACTCACCCGCTGTGTGATCAACGATTAAGCGAAGTTTATCAGAGTTTGGCTTGGGTACAGTGTGCATTGGCACACTGTACATTCCAGGGTAGAGGTCGGTCCTGAAACTCTCTGATACTCACCCCAAACGCATCTCCTCATGCAGTTGATCTTCGATGAATTGTTGTTGCTCATTAGATTTGGAGCAGGTATGGGTGGAGTTGTCGTTAGTGGACGGATATGAATTGTCCGAGGTATCGGCCCATGGCCAGAAACCCCAACATAAAGACTAGCAGACAGATTTGACGAAAGGTTGGTTCGGGTGATCCAAGAGAAGCTCTTTGAACTGATCAGCGTTTATAGGTGTAATGATGCGAAACAAGTCAGGTCTGCGAGCAATAGTCTGTGCTGCATCACTGTCCAATAATTTGTTCAGTGGAGGTGAAGGGACAGGCTTGGCGTATTCAGTTGACCGTGCCATCGGGCTGAAAGAGACATCCATTGGTGACCAAATAAGGCCCCATCTATGACGCGGGTGCTTAAATGGCCGTTCAATTGGATTTGGGTTTTGACTCCTCGAAATGCTTCGCTTCCGTGTGACGTCTTGCACATAATCTGCCGTCTTGCTCATGTGAGCAGACATGTGTGTAGCGGCAGGTTCCCGCACTGCGAGCACAGTCTCCGGTGTTCCATTTGCGACAGGGCTCATGACGACTGAAAGTGGTTTTGTCCCGTGTAGGTGCACTGGGTTTGGCCTGCTTCTCATCATGGTGCCTTCCATCTGACTGGAAATGGGATTCATAGATGTCAATGAAGGAGGCAATGTCTGAGAGTTTGACTCTGCGCAAGTTTGCGGCTTTGTTCCTGATAGCCTTGTCATACCTGATAATTCTCTCGTGCGACTGTTTGAGAGTACGGTCAAATCTGGTGGTAATATATTCTCCATAGGATGCGAGTTCATCCTCTCGATGAGGGAAAGCAAATTTGATGGCTCTAGCAGTCCTATTCCAGGCTGTGGACCATTGCATTGTGGTGGTGATTTTCTTCGCGACTGCCTCTGATGTACCTGCATATTTGATCTCAATGTCGCCGATTGTCTCGGTGCATTTGTCAATGGTGCGTGACGAGGAGATAATGGAATGTACGGCGTCGAGATTGACACACTTGCCTGCGACGATTTCTGCCCATCCAGCTTCATGGAATTCTGGGCTGCATTGGTGATACATGAGTCGGCGTCGTACTTCTTTGGGGTCTTGCGACCAATTGAGAAGGATTTCGTTAGTCTTTGTAAGGTTTGTGGAGAGCTGACCTCCTGTACTTGATTGCTCGGCTCGAGCAAGACAGGCAAGGTCAAGTTTGGTTCGCTTTCGAGCAGGTTCACCTCGCTCGATGCTAACTTCTCTCTCATGTTCAATCTCTCTAGGAGGGATGGTTTCCCTATCTTCGGATTGGTGTCTGACATCTGGTTCATGTTCACTGAACCCTCTGGTGTCATTCTGCTGCTTGGACCAGTCTTCAAGCATGGTGAAATATGGATTCGCGATGAAAGATTTGGCTTTGTCTGTGGCTTCCTGGGTGCAGGCAGTGACAGTCTTTGCAATAGAGATAAATGCCTCGGATTTTGTGATGAGGCTGTGCTTGTAGTCTTCGACAATGTTAAGGCATTTCTCCACAAGGTCTTGTTGGGATAAAGATGATCTGCCAACGTCGGTTTGAATTGAAGACCCTGAGATTCCGGGGCCTGTAAGTGATGTTCCGACTGGGGCATCGCTCGTCATGGAGGTACAATGGAAGTGGAGTATTAACACAACAATTCAATACTAAATAAATTAAAGGCACAGTGGGTGTGCAAGCAGTGAGTGCTCAACGCTAGATGGTGGTTAAGCTCAAGATCCAGAGTTGCAGGATTCAACCACTCATCAGTGTTTAGGAGGCTCAGTCAAGAGCATGCATCAGAGATGATGTGTATATGCACAGACCTGAAACTCGGCCTGAGCCGAGCGTGACCATTGATTCAACTTGTTTAAACAAGTTAAAACTCGATAAAAAAGACCATTTAAGGAAGTCGTGCCGTGATGCCGCTGTTCATTTGCATCGAATTTGCAAAACATTATTTTTTGACCCTCTTACAAACTCTAAATCTAGAAGGCCCCCCCCCCCTTACAGATTAATGGTACTCAAAATACAGTGTGTTGCATATGAGATTGCAGTGCATGTTTTTCAAAACTCGGCCTCGCTACCTTTACCAGCACTTGTATACCATAATTAGATGTCACATCTTGTAATACGGCATCTGTGTGAGTGACTCAGTGCTTTGACCACCATCAGCATCGACCTGCGGTCCAACACACCACATGTGAGTCTTTGCACTTTCGCTACTTACGAACATCTTTGACCTGTTGTTTTTTGACTAGATGAATACTGTTAGTCATTCTAACCTATCTGCCGCATTCTCGGCTCACGGTGACCTGGCTAGCGAGTTGCTTGCAGTTCAATATCTTGGCGAAGCCTCCCTGTCTGGCCTGTACGCAGACTATACCAGTATAAAAGTGAGTGATTCGGCAATGTCTCTTCGTTCTATACTTACTTTAAATCCTCTCAATATTTACATCATGTCCTATGGACAATTTCAAGTTAATTCTGCACCCCAGCCAGTCAGACCTATTTCACTGCGTTGTCCGTTGAACGGTTGGATAAACAATGGAGGTTGGATTGGTAAGTTGTGTTCTCTTTGTTCATTGTTATTCACTGATCCATTCCCAGATGGAGGCATAGATCCTCCTCACTTCTATCTCACGCATGGGGAGTGTCAACAGGCACTTTACTACCATATAGGCCTGATGGAACACCCCCAAATGCCCAAAATTGAAAGAGATCGCATCTGGGAGCCTGCAGCACCTGTCATGCTGCTGCCTGCACTACCAATAGTTGTCAATGCTGTTACCGAGACTACTCCACTTCCACCTGTTGCTGAAACTACTCCAATTCTACCTTTGGCTGAAACCGCCCCAATTCTACCTGTTGCTGAGATTGCCCTAGCTCCACCTGTTGGACATCTTGTCTCAATTTTAATGAACTTTTCGCTGCAAGCACAAGGCCCAGTCACTTGTGGTTCAAAAGTTGTCAAGAAGAAGTCCAAGCTGATAAAATCTGACTATATTGTGCTCAAAGGAATCACCCATGTTGATTTCATTACAGCTTATCTTTCTATACATGGTCTTTCAGATCAATTCAGCCCAGGTGTTCATTCTGGACCTCCATTCAAGCTTTACTGGACTGGATCTGTGTGCATACAATCTATGTTCTATGTCAAGATATAGGCTAAATTTCTGGATGCTAGTGGCGGCAAAGGGGGTGTGACAACAATTGACAATAACCATCAGTTTTCTGTGGCAATGGGCACATTAATGAAGAAGAACAAAACAATATGTCAAGCTGGGGTTGAGTTTGATGTAGATGAGATGGACGGGTATCGTATTTGCAATGGTGTATGTGTACAAGTTCTGTCACGAACTTTCTTATACTGATATATCCTAGCCTGTGCTTGCACCAGATCTCAACCATGATGAAGACAAGCTTGTTCTTGGCACCCAGGTCAGTTTTCTATTATGTGTATCATTCTGATACTAATATCTCACACAGGTACCTTGAGCTGACCACTTTTTGGAGCAAGACCAACTCCATGGCACTATCATCTTACAGCTCAAAAAGAAATGGCCATGTGTCCAACATCAGGGCGAGCATGGTGATGTTGGTTTTTGCTATGTCTCTGTGAATGCATCTCACATTGGTCTCAACAATTGAAAACTGAAGATTTGGGCTGCCACTATTGTAAGATTTCTTTTGATACCATTTAATGTATGGCTGACATTAAACTTAGGCAGCTGCAGATGCTACAAAACACGAACCACCAAGTACAATTGATTTCGATGGTGTGCGTGATGGCTACCTTCTCGAATCCAAGCCTTGTGGCCGTCATAAAACTCATGGACAGGCTGTCAGTGCTCCATCCAGCAATGATGTGACAACACTACTGATGGCTGCCATGCTTCCACTTCTCACCAGCCTCTTGCAAAAGCACACTCGGTCTGTTTCTTCTACCCCTCCCCGACGCTCTCGCTGAGGCATGGCAGTCCCGGCTCTATCTCCACATCCTGCAGCAGGCTCTGAACTCCATACTTGTCTGTGGGACTTCACTGAAGTGAGTGGTATTGACATTATAATATGTGAAGACGCTCTCATGGCTCTGGAGCTAACTCCAGATGTCATTCCTGATGTTCCGGTTGCTCGTCTCTGTGAATTTACTGACATTGTGGAGGGTCGCATTAGGAAGTTTCAGGCGTACTGCAAGACTGTTAAGGTCGTGCTCAAGGGAGAGGTTATTCAAAGGGCTTCGGCTTCAGCTCGTGCGCTGCGCCCCTTACCTGAGTATGTGCCCTTTAATTTCTGGGGGACAGAGGGGAAGTCTGACAGAAGTCCGGGGAGTTCCGGAGGACTTAGTGTCGGTGGAGTTCGGCGGAACTCCGGAAGGTTTATGCGGGGATGGAGTAAGGCTACTACGGAAGTCCGGAGTAGAAACTGAACAGAGGTTAGACTACCCTAAGGTAGAGCCGGAGAAGTAGTCCTAAGGTTTAACCCCTAAGACTCGGAGGTGGACAAGAGATGAGACTCAAGTCCAGAGATTGCAGGAATGAGCAGAACTAAGATGATATTCGAACTAAGGAGTTCCGGAGTATTACAGGGGTTTATATACTGTAGGTATCATGTAAGTAAATCAGTCAGCAAAGGTAAGAGCTATGTACAAAGCATGTGGAAAGTCTATTACTAAGTGTAACAGATCAAAGCAGTGAAGTTGGAAATGAAGTAGGAATGGATGGATCAATAAGCATAGCAGAAAGGACATAATGTTATGCCGAAGTATAATGCAGGCAAACAATCACTAATAAGACCAAAGGTCTGTCGATACGTTCTAGACAACAGTCTAAAGAACGTCCAGTTTCAAGTAAAGACTAAGTACCGAAGAGGTAACTTAGAGTCAAGTCAGATGTTCAGAGGAAAACCAGCGTAGGTTAAGCTGAAGAATCAGCGTCACCTAGCCAGGGTTTATATAGTATACAGGGTACAGGGTATGACATAATAATAGGTATGTATCAGTAAGCACATGCGTAAGCAATGAGGCATATGAGTAATACCGAACTAAATATAGCACGATAAGAGACATGCGTAGTAAGCGTGGATCAAGGGAAAAAGAAGCAAGATAAGCACAGCCATAACACATAACCGGTGACCGGAGCAATAGCTAATCTAAAAGGAGTTAGGGGTGAGTACAGAGATGAAGGCGGAGTGCCAGGCGAAATAGCAGGACGGAGAACTGGACTTTAATGGGGTAGAGCCAGAATTCCAGATCCGGAGGTACGGGATATGACAAAGACATGGAATGCTCGTCTTGATTTGAAGAAAGCTGAGAAGAGGCAGCGCATTAATTGACTTTAATATAGATTGTTTTTCATTGATATTGACTATGCTCCGAGTCATTCCTACATTATCACTCAATTTAGTTTGTAATGCGGTTGGATTCATACTACACTATATACTGGTACTACACATTGAAGGAGTATCCTGAATTCAAAATCCATGCCTCTGCATCTTCGACAGTGATGGAAAAAGCTGCTTTTTGTATTAACCAGGGGCACACCTCAGGTAGAATCGCCATTGCTTCATGTCGTCGTAACCAAACCTTGACTGAATGGAACACTTGCTCGATTGGATTGAAATCAGGTGAGTATGGTGGTAGATAGATGAGTTTTGCTCCTGTATAAACATTAATACAAGATAGATGTCAAAAAAGTAGATGCACCACATTCTCCTTCAACAATAGCACGAACCTCTTCATCATGGTGGATAGCGCAGTTATCCATGACAACTACACTCCTTATACCTGGATACAGCATCAGCTTTGGAGTGTTCAGGAATTGTATGAAGCTGTTAGGTACCGTGCTGGCTCAGGAGGCAGAGGGGTCGGGGCTTGGCTTCAGCTCTTGCACTGCACCCTTAGCCGAGTACATGCACTGAATTTGGAGCGGGTCTGATGTTGTCCAACAATAGGACGAGTGAACCGCTTAGGTCCGCTTTGAGGGTCGGGAAGTAAGAGCTACTAGCGGTGGGCTGACTAGGAGCGGAGTGGAGAAGGTGGGGAGTGATGCGGAGGGTGGATAGGAGCAGGGGGAATGTTTGGTAGGAGCGGGGAAGGCAGAGGATGGGAAAAGGGGCAAGGAAAATATTGATAGGGGTGGAGAAATAAGAGGGGCACTTAGAGCATGGCTCTAAGTCGGGGTGGAGGGTCGGAGGTGACAACAAGTTGAGACTTGTGTCCAGAGGAGGCAAGGTCCTACTGAGAATTCTCACAAGAGGTAACTGCGAGAAGACAAGTAATATTAAGACTGAGGAAAATATCTAAGTACATGATATGTTATATACTTCTATGTATGAGGCAGTGACCAGGATAACTATGTTGTAAAGCTATGTACCAAGGATATAATTTGTAAGTACTTACACAGGTGAAGACCTAAGTTGGAGCGGATATCAATATGTACGCGTCGGATCAGTGATTGAGTGGTAATAGGAATTACCGGTGATCCGGAAGTAAGGGTCTATGTACCGAAGGGGAAAGTATATATCTAAAAGGGGAAAGAGGTCCAGTTGAATGGAGATGTTATGGAAGGGGACCGGTTGAGCGGTTGAGTGGAAACATAGGAGCGGATGCGGACAATGATTGGACGGAGCAGAGGATGGATGGAGCGGAGGTGATTGGAAAGCGGAGCGGATATTGATATTAGAGCGGTCAGATCAGGTATATGACAGAAGCGCTCCTTGTTGACTGACCCCTCAAAGATGTCAAGAGCAATGATACCATCTGAGGAAAAGGCTGGGAGGATAGAATAGTGCTGCCCTCGAATGAATGTTGATCTGCGAACACACGCGCGCCCAATATCTGCCCATCCCTGCATCCTCTGATTGGTCTTGTCATCAACACTGGACTCATCCAGCCAGACAAAGTATTCAGCCGGTATATCCCCATATGCGGCTTGCCAAGTTGCCCACAAGAGCTCATTCCTCTCTGCAGCTGTTTTGGAAATGTCTTTGTGGGTCATTCCCAGCCTTCGAGTGGCATGTGAAAGGGTAGCAAGAGAAATGTCTTTGTTCTGAGCAGTGAGAAGTTGTTCTTGTAGTTCATCCAAGTACATGGCAGGGTTTGCCTGGAGTAGTGCATGGATGTATTCAGTGTCAACAGTGTCAAGAACATGGGGACGACCTCTGTGGCGTGCAAAGGGGTTGGTGACTTGACCATAGTCTCGGTGCAAGCGAAGAATATTGTATACTGTCTTCTCTGAGCATTGTGCAAGCTGAGATATTTCAAGAGCTGTCCTGTGCTGTTCAAACTGCCAGAATACGATATTCTGGCACATTTCCTGGCTAGTGAATGACCCTGGCAGCTGCATAATGAACTGACTGAGGTTTCATTTCATCAAGCAGCAGTGGCTAGAGTGACATGTCACATCCCTTGACCTAGTTAAGGTATACAAGTGCTGGTAAAGGTAGCGAGGCCGAGTTTTGAAAAACACGCACTACAATCTCATATGCAACACACTGTAAGTTTGAAAACTTTTGAAAACTTGCTAAGACACCAGCTAAACACTTCAAACTCTTGGTTTAAGAACTCTTAAATGATGCTCGGCGAGTCGGCACAAAGTCGGACATTAAAACACTTAGCATTTTTAAAGCATGATATATACACAGGAGAAAGTCTTACTTTAGAGAGGGTAGAAAAAGTAACTGTGATGTAGGTTCGCGACAAAGTAGTAGATGCTCCAATTGTTAAGGTCGTGCTCAAGGGAAAGACTACTCAAAGGGCTTTGGCTTCAGCTCGTGCGCTGCACCCCTTACCTGAGTATGTGCCTTTAATTTCCGGGGGTCAGAGGGGAAGTCCGACAGAAGTCCGGGGAGTTCTGGAGGACAAACATCAGTGGAGTTCGGCAGAACTCCAGAAGACTTATGTGGGAATGGAGCAAGGCTACTATGGACAAGTCCGGAGTAGAAACAGAACAGAGGTTAGACTACCCTAAGGTAGAGCCGGAGAATTAGTCCTAAGGTTTAACCCCTAAGACTCGGAGGTAGACAAGAGATGAGACTCAAGTCCGGAGATGCAGGAATGAGCAGAACTAAAATGATATTCAAACTGAGGAGTTCTGGAGTATTACAGGAGTTTATATACTGTAGGTATCATGTAAGTAAATCAGTCAGCAAAGGGAAGGGCTATGTATGAAGCATGTGGAAAGTCTATTAGTAAGTGTAACAGATCAAAGCAGTGAAGTCGGAAATAAAGTAAGAATGGACAGATCAGTAAGCATAGCGGAAAAGGACATAACCGGTAACCGGAGCAATAGCTAATCTAAAAGGAGTTAGGGGTGAGTGCGGAGATGAAGGCGGAGCGCCAGGCGGAATAGCAGGATGGAGAACTGGACTTTAATGGAGTAGATCCAGAATTCCAGATCCAGAGGTACAGGATATGACACCAATGCACGTCATATTTCAAGTGTCAACTTTAAATAAAATTGTAAAAAAAAGAACAAGCCCCCCAAAAAAAAACAAATTGGCCATAGGTAGGGAGTGCCGGAAAGAATGAACCAAGTACTAAGGGGGGAAGGATAAGAGGGGGAAAGACACCAGGTACCATAGGTAGGGAAAGCCAGACAGAACAAGCCAAGTAATACTAAGGGGGGGGAGGAGGGGGGGAGAAAGATACTGGGTACCATAGGTAGGGAAATGAAAGAATACCAGATGAAGGGTGAACTCTTTCCCAAGCACTCCTTCTCTGGCTCAATATCCGCGGCCACTTTAGATACATCATCTGTAGTCAGTGCCGGGCCTTTCAATTGGTTATTAATAACCATCCCAGCTATGGCCATACGATAGCACGCAAGATCAGCAAGAGCCTCAAGCCAGCTGGATTGGATCAAACGCAAAGACGGCTCCTCTAGAAGGCTGGTGTAGAAGGTGGTGGAGGAGTGGCTTGAAGATGAGGCACTGGGGGTCATGTGGTATGGGACCTGCCAGACACGAATAGATTTCCTGTAAAATAAAAGTTAGCTGCAACTTGAAATAAACAAAAAAAAAACTTACCTTGGGTGGATGCCACCTGGAAATGTGATGATGTCCGGCTCAGTGCTACAAGTGAGCATTGATGTTTGAGAGTGAGGTTGACAACAGCAGCAACATGCTCAGCTCGAGAAACAAAAGTTCAGATCTTTCCGAAAATCAAAACTCTGACACAAACTACATCACATATGCATGGAATAGATAGGAGTTTTGATCCCCCCCCCTTCCATCTGACTGTAACTATACCTCGTCAAATTACACATAAAGAAATCCTGGATATTGTGGATCATGCTACACTTTCATTGGCCAAACTACAGTACTAGGATATTCTGGACAATTGGTCTGACTCCGACAGTGATTCTGGCACCGACTCCGAGTCTGACTCTGAGGACTTGCTTTCTTCTACTTCAGATGATATTAGCACTATCAATCTGTCTTTTAGCTCCCTTTCACCCCCCTCCCTCCTCTCCCCTATGACAGGGATTTTGGATTCTTCCAGTGATAGCTCTGTATCTTCCAATGATCGTGCTTTGCCTTATGACAGGCTCCATGACACCATTGCTGCTTTATGTGACGAGGTTGAGAGGGTACGTGTACTCCACAAGCCCGATGAGCCTCCCCCACAAGCTCCTCAGCTTCATATGCTGGTTCACCATGAAGAACACCACCCCAAGTTGTTTTGGCAGAAACTTCGAGTCAACCCAGAGATTTTTGATGATATTCTTGATAATATCTCCAGTCACCCTATTTTTCAAAACAGGTCCAACAATCCTCAGCTCCCTATCTCTATTCAGCTTGTCATTTTCCTGAATCAGGCTGGCCACTATGGCAATGCCATTACTCTTCAGGATGTTGCTCAGTGGGCGTGAGTGTCGGGTCTGTGGTTAATTGCACTAATTGTGTGCATGGTCGCAGTACTTGATGCCCATGATCAGTTTATCTGCTTCCCCTGCAGCTGACTCTGAGGACATTGACCTGGCTTGTAAATTTGCTGAGTCACGTACTTGTCCTGAGTGGAAAGGTGGCTTTCTGGCTATTGATGGCTCAACCATGGATCTTTTTGCTAAACCTGGCTATTACGGGGAGACATTTTTTGATAGGAAATCCAAGTATTCCCTGGGCTGTCAAGTATATTTTATTTTATTTTTATGTGCTCAAAATCAATTCAATTTCAGGCTGTAATTTTGCCCCATAACCTCCTAATTGTTGACTATTCCCTTGGTCATCCTGGGAGTGTCCATAATGCATTCACATTTCGATCTACCCACCTATATGAAGAGCATCCTGACCTTCTGCCTGACAGCCATTGGGTTTGGGCAGATAGTGCATATCCATTGGAGCCATGGTGTATTGTCCCTGTTCAAGAAGCCTCGCAATGGATGATTAACAAAGGACCAGAAGACGTTTAATTATCACCTCTCTAAGGTTTTTTTTTTGTGGTTTTTTAATGAATTTAAATTTAAATTTATTTAGATTCGTGTTCATGTTGAACACACATTTGCTGTCTTGAAGGGGCAGTTCCAGTCCCTTCGAGAACTCCACTTCCGTATTCAGGCTGAGAAAGACCTCGATTTTGCAGTGCAGTGGATTAAGTGTTGTATCATCCTGCACAATATGATCATTTGCTTCAAAATTCATCACCGCAAGCAAGATGGAACATACCAAAGCTCTCTCAAGTAGGCTCGTGATGAGGGGGAAGACTTTTTTGTTCAGGAGCCTGAGGGTCCAGATGGTGATGAAGTAGTTGGTGACAGGACATATGAAGGCACTCCAGGTCAGGGTGCTCATGCAAAGCTGATGGATATGCTCTTTGATAGTCCTCACTCAAATGCCCTAACATAGGGCAGAATGATTTCTCTCAGATCTAATTTGACATGTACTACCACAAATGAATCTGTACAACATATGTATATGTATATAGCTATGTGTATGTAGCTATGTAGCGTATGAAATAAATATAATGGCGATGACAAAAAAACATGATGACAACAAACGAGATGCAATGAAACAACAACAAATGAGATGCAATGATGACACATGAGACGTGGTGATGGCAAACAAGAAGCAGCAATGGCAAACAAGACGCGGTGATGACAAATGAGACGCAACGAACGAAACACAACAACAATGAATGAGCTCACACATCCGACCCCAAGTCCTTTGTGGCCTGCATCATCTGCTGGAATTGTATCTTGAGCCATAAAGTTTCAGCCTCCTTGTCGAGCACAAGGGAATGTGCTTCATGCACCCGTATGTCCACCTCACAAAGGTGAATCTCAGCATCTCTGTCCTCCTGTTGGCGCTGATGGATGAGAGCTGCTTGATTGACCTCATGTTTGTGGGTGGCACGAAGCCAGTCATACTTCTTGGTGTCCCACTGGTGCTTGCTCTCATGGCGTGACAGGGCAGCTGGACTGCAGGCTCTCAATCCCGTCCCTGGACTAGGTCTACCTTCTGCATAATGTCGGACTTGGCTTTTTTCTTCGAGCTGCCTGCGCTGTTCGGCAATGAGGTCTGTGGAGTTGGAGACATGTGGTAATCTGATGACGATGGCGTATTGCGCATTGTCGACGAAGGCATTGACATGCTGTGTGCAATGTCTGATGGCAGCTTGTGCCACCCCCCACGACTCAGTGGCCTCTGTGCACCAAACACCAAGTAGCTGTCATAAAACGAGGCCGGGGACTTGGGGGGTATTTCAAATGGCTGGGGGGCATGGGGGGGGAGAGGGTGATGCAGCAAGCTGCTGTTTCTTCCCCGCGACTCAGGGAGGGCTGTTGAGAGTGCCGGTGCCATCAAACATCATGTTGTTGTTGTTGTTGTTGTCAAGGTGGTCCAAAGCATCTCCGAGGGGGACGTCAAAAGGGCTTCTCTCAAAGTCGCATGGGGAGGGAGGTGTGAAATTGTCCTCAATCTCAACATCAGGGGAATTTAGGCCATGAAGGTGTAATGGAGGGGGAGCAGGAGCAGGAGCCACTTGATGTAGTTGTGGATCAACTGGGGGATCACCATATGGGTGCGCCGCTGGAGGGACTCCAGGTGGATGTGCGGCAGGGAGGAGGCATATTATGTGCACTGATCAAGGGACCAGCCCCATGCGGTTGAACGAGTGAGTAAAGAGCGGCAGTGTGGTCAATACCGGGCTTGGACGAATGAGTTTTGGCAGCCATTGAAGGATTGGCATGCCATATGGCGTTGAGCTCCGTGTACCACAGGAGCTCCACAAGAACTGGAGTCTACAAAGGTTAATAAGCCCACCGAAAGAACAGACAGGACAAAAGACTCACCCAGCAAAATTTTTGAAGCCATCCCATCAAGTGGCATTACACCAGTGCCCGTCTCACTGAATCAGGCCTTGAGCTTCTTGTATTTTGATCTGAGACTTGAGGGATTTGATTAGTGGATGTACACATAAGAAAACGAGAACTCACTTTGTGATGCAATTAGAGACTGCGTTGCAGAACTTCTTCTGATTGTGCTGGTATGCCTGGCCATACTTTGGGTGGCCAGTAAAGATGACCTTGGCTGATAACGGTGCAAATCTGCCCCTTGTCTGAGCCTGAGGGCCGGTCATCAACAGGGGACATGGCTTTCTTCCCATCGGAATAGAAGAGTATCCTGCAATCAGCAGGGTGAGCAGTTAGATAGTTTACTAATACATCAGTCAGGGCGCTTTCACTCTGCCACTGGATGGTGAGTCTGGGTCCAGATGATTCAGAAATGCCAGTAGAATGTCCCTCAGAGGACAGTATGGAAGGTGCTGGGGGATCCATCACCTTTGAGTGCACTCGAGCGTCAGCTTGAAGTCTTGCAGAACATGCGTATGTGTTGATGAGCAGGAGGCATGCTGTTTGAAACTCCAGCCCTGCCACACTTGCCTGACTTTGAATTCTAGGTCATCGGCCAAGGCTTTGGCCGAGAGTTGAACGTGTTTAGCCAGTGTTTAAGTGAGTTTCCAACAGTTTTAAAACTTATTTTGAGTACCACTATTATTCCAGATTATAAATGACAGTGTGGGGAACGTCCCCACTGTAGGCCTGTATCCTGTATATTTCCCAAGCCTTACCAGTATCTTTCCATGTGTTCCGCTACCTGTTCCGCTACCCCTCCGTGTCTTATCTGACTCGCTTGCTATATGGAACTAAGTGAAACAATGCAGAACCAAGTGGAACAACCACTGCATCATGTGCATCATATCCATTTAGCCTTCAGAATGTCCTCCTCCATCCTGTCCCTGTCCTTCCATCCTTACTGGTGAGTACTCGCTATATTCCTTGTGTTGCTGACATGTTGCTATCTCATTTCACACGTGTTACAATACTTATACGGATCTTTCCACTACTCGGAACTGGTTCCTTATCTCACAGCCTTGCCTGGTTGTAGCATAGTGCTTCCCAGAACCTCCTTCCTATATAGATAGCAATAGATGGGATCTTAGTTTTTTACCTTTTGATAGACTCGACTTGACTCCCACTTACAGAGTACTTCCCAGTACTCCACTCACTGTTTAAAATATCTTCCCGAATCTATTCTTGACTGTATCACAATGCCTGCAGCATCCGCGAGTTCCGCTTGAAACACCTGACTCCCTGAATCCGACGACTTGGAACAAGTACCAGACACAAGCCTGGTCCAACTTCACCCAATCTTCCTCGTACAGGCTCATAGTTTCTTTTTTCCTCCATTAGTTCTGTTTGTTTCACGTGTTAGTTCTGTTTGTTCTGCTTGTTGCGCATTTGTTCCACTCGTCGCACGCTTGTTCCATCCGTCACGTGCTTTGTTCCACTCATCGTGTACCTTCCACATCAGTGCATTCCCAGTCCTAGTAAGGACCAGAACCCTTCAGGTCACTAGACAGAGTCTAGTCTTTGCTTTCCTTGCACTTACTTGAGGACTCGCTACCCAGTAGCAATCCCCTTGAGACGAGTATTTGCCTCACACCCTTGTTAGACATCTGAACCACCCCAGAGTCTATTTTCCTCACCCACAACAGATTATATCTGTTTTGGGCCACTACTGCCTGAGCTATCTGCTGACTAATCTATGACTTGAGGTCCCTGCCTGACATCTTCAGCATGGCAATAGTTGCTGCCTGGTCCAAACCTTTTCCAATATATGTGGACCAATCCCTGAGCTCCCTGGCAAAGTTTTCAGCTGAATTTTTAAAATTACTATCGGCAGACAGTGCATTCATGTACCTCTGCAACTGGCCAGGGTACAAGGTGAGCAGTGCCAATACCATTCTCTCTCTATAAGTCTAGAGTCATGAGCACCATTCATTCCTCAAGCTATGGCGATTTATTTTTCATTAAACACTTGATTTCATGTGCACTAATGTATTCCTGCAACTACCACAGGGTCATTCTACTAACTACAAACTTCCAGAATCACCTATGCATCCAATGGCGGAGGTTTTTGAGATGTATAAAAGCACGCATTGGAGGACAACCAGGTAAGCATTATTTTCATTCGAACACTAGTACAACGTGCAATGTCTGACATTCCCCCTCCACAATCCATGGTGCCCCCTGGTAGTAGCCCATCTTACCCTGAATTATGCTACAACAACACTGGAAATGCCTTCACATGTGATAATGTTGGTGCTTGGGCAGTCTCATCCAGGCATTTGCAAAGTAAGTCTTATCATTGTTCACTGGCGTCTGATACTCATGTTATTATAGACTATTGAAACTGAACAGTCTTTTTGGGTCGAACATGGGGACAGTCTTGGATACCAGGTATGTTGACTGTCTTATGACATTTTTCACTTGACTAACTATATACATGCAGCCTGCTTCTACCTACACACTCAGCACTCTGCACTCTGGCCTTCGGGTCCCACAGAGGCACTCCCCCACTCTTGCCATCTGGTTCTCACCTTGCTCTGCGTGAGGTACCAAGTACCAATGTGATCGATCCTGCATTTCTCCCCCTGCCTTACTCTGATGATATGGACTTGACTGACCCTACCACTATTGCGGAGGCCCACGGCTATGCTCCAGCCACCAAAATAGCCGGTGCACGTCACAAGGCCAAAGCCCCAAGGGGCAAAGGCAAGGAGAAGGAAAATGCTGCATATGCTAACCCAAAGAAATGTTCTCAAGAGGATGGAGATAAGGATGATGAAGTGGAAGTGCGAGTGAGACGAGGCTGCCCTCAAGGCTCTAACAACTACACCACCTTGGATGTTAAAAGTCTCCTTGATGTGGTCCATGATGAGCTCCCTCTTGGTCAATGTGGGTGGCAGACTGTTTAAATTCAGTTTGGCCAATGGGCCAAGTCGAACCACCAGCCTGAACACAAAGTTACTTCACTTGAGACAAAGTTCAAGCAGGTAAGATTCAAGTTGTCCTATGGCAACAACATTGCTCACAAGTAAAAATACAGTTGGTGAAGACTATGAAGCCAACTGGAGATGATATGTGCCCTCCAGAAGTTACACATGCCCATCACATTGAACAACTCATCAACGAGTGTGCAGGAACCCATGACCTGCATGACACAGATTATGATGCTATTGAAGATGATGACGGTCACTCTGTCACCTCCAATCAGATCCAGGATGAGCATACATCCCCCCCAATTCAGCACACAGCTATTGCCCGCACCACTGCTCACACAGAAGCCCCTGTTCCACATCACAATACTTAAGGAGCAGCAGCTACAGATCTGCTCACTCACCTTTCCAGTGCATTTGACCCAGCCACCCAGTGCAACTGTAATGAAGATTGTGCCAATCGCAGCCTTGCCACCACACAACTACTCACACAAAGCCAGCAGCTCCATGATTCGCAAGCTGCCATGGAAACCATGCGTGGCCAACTCTTTGATTTGCGCACTCGCATGTACAATATTGAATGTGAACATGATTGGGCTGAGCTTCACATTGAGATGATGCAGATGAGTAGATCCACATGCTGTCAGCATGTTCAGATGCCCAAATGCAAGAATCTGCATCAGGAGTGGTACCTTGAGGGTGGGGGATCCATTAGGTGGATTACTGACAAGGGTGAAAGTACTGCATCTGAGGAGCCCAAGCCTGAGGGGCCCAAGCCACCCCACCTTCAAAGATGTGGCCCCTCCAGATGTCTCAAGTATTCTGATCGCCCATACTTCGAGGACTTGGCTGACAAACCTATCAAGCCCATTCAAAAGGAAGGGTCACAAGAGATTTGATTGTGCTATGTTATCTCTATAAGTTGTATCCACTGGTATTCTAATGTGACGTGGAAGCGCGAAACTTGATCCTTCTTCCTCTGCTCTGAAAATAATATGTTTTCAAAGTCTTGCCACACATCCAGATCATCCTCAGTAGCCTGTCAATGCTTCATGTACACAGTCCATATCTGGTTGATTCCAACACATATGGCACACAGATTGTGCAGCTGAAGACATATTTTAATAAGGTTACTGTGAGCTTCTTTGTTGATGATGTCAAGTGGTATGCATAGCCTAACAAAACTTTGAGTGAAGCGGATGTGATCCGTCAGTACCCTAAGCAACGTGGATCGGGTCCGCGGATACACCTAAGTAAAGCAGATAGGATCTGCACTCAACCACTGCCAAAGGAGGCGATAGAAACGACTGTATTCACCTAAGTAAAGCAGATAGGATCTGCACTACTCTAGATTAGCTACACTGTGGCATAAATGAATGTAAGTGAAGACATACCTCAGCTGCTGCCAAAGGAGGCAATAGAAACAACTGAGGGAAAGTATGTACCAAAGCACCTCTGATATATGGGCAAAAACCCTGCTTGCTAACCGACCATGCGTGTCGCCTATGAGTCCATGACTTGTATCGAACTGCACTCACTATTACATGTACACCTGAAACATTCCGAAACAATCTGATGCACCTTATTACATATCCGAGCTGCATGCACTTGCATCCGGCCGCGCATGCGGGTGGCAGGATCATCCATGTGTGCATGGGTGAGCATCGGATGGGAGACGGATACTCGCGGATGGGTTTAGGATGGGTCGGATGGATGTGGGATATTATCTGGTTTTGTCATAGCCTTCCAAAGGCCCCTTGGATAGCTTGCATGCCCCATTCTGCTGTTTGACGGTAAGAGAGTAGTTCATGGTTAAATGCCATATGCTCCTCTATCTCAGGCAGATGAGCCATGCAAAACTTGGCCATGTTTCAGAGGTGCACAAATGCTGTCCATCAACAGAAGTTGTCCCATGAGGGAACACAGTATCTGCGACAATGTAATAGTCAGGAGGTGTGTTGAGTAGAAGTTGAGTATAAATGTGAGAGGTGAGATGAGAATTGTGCCAGCTGCCAGGGGCATTTGTCCTTGCTGCAATCACAACACCTTTGTAAAGTAACAATTGAGTACAAATCATTGGAGAAAGACAAAAAAATGCACCTTCAACAGAAAATGCTATGACCGAACTGATGAAATGTTCGGAAAGCCACCCATTGTAGGTAGTATTTTCGATGTCAATATCATCTGAAGTCTGGATGGGGAGTTTGAGCCTGTTGATGCTTCCGAAAGCACCTTGCAATTGCAAGTGATGTGTAACCACAAGGGCACTACAACACTTGAAATCAGGTCCCTGTGACCATCAAATGGTGGCATCAATCATGGAACAGAGAGTTTGTAAGAGCATGGGCAGTCCAGAAGTGAGATAGCAAGAAACAGTGGCAGGAATCAATGCAAAAATCTGTTGGAGGCTAGTCTAATGCATGGTGGAGTTGAGATAGTGGAGTATGAGGCCAAGTGCTCCACCAGTGTCAAGTGAATGTCAATTCAGGTGTGGAATGCCATGCAAGTTGGTATCAGGATGTGTGATGGGTTTCTGGGACCACAGACTGGCAAAACCAGAAGTAAGGATGAATCCAAATGTTTGAACATCAATGCCCATGGTTGTAATGAATGCATGATCATTCTGGCTCTTGTACAACACTTGCCATGGGGTATTGCAATGTGGGTCAGGAAGTAGCTGGGCACAACAAAGGTAGAGTCATTTAGGGTTCTGTGTTTTGATATGATTAAGTTGAGCAAGCTCTATTCCAGCAACCACAGTGGCTGCTAACATTCTCACATCTTCTTTGTTATTCACCAGATTATGATACTGTAGTAGTGGATGATTCATTCCAGTTCTTACCAAAAAAAATCCCCATTATTTTATTCCAAGTGCATTACGGTTATGTTTTATATATGGATTATCTTTTGCAAATATCTTTCAAAGTCCGTTATAATCTATTCTGCATTATTTTGCCTACAGATAGTCACCCATTAGTGGTTCTCAAAGTCAAACTTAGAAAAAAATTCACAGCAAAATTTTGTGAAATTGGATGCTGTTGGTATGGCAGGTTTCAAACTCCACCCTGCCCTGCCTTGCCAGCATGCTCGATATTGTTCATTACTGGCGTCAATGCTGCCAAAGCATCAATCTGATCCTTAATTGCTGTTGTAAGAAACACCCTGGACAATGTCATGCTCCAATCAGAAAGGTGGTGGAGTCTGGGTCAGCACACCTGCCAGCATGGACACTGGGAGGAAGTGTACTATTCATTGGGAGGGGGTCCATAGTGCTCATACTGAATGTCTACTTGCCTGGTGCAAGGGAAAATGAAGACACATGCATCAAGCTTTTCTCTGATTCTGCAAAGAACGCCAAGGAGCAAGGTCAGAAGAAGAAGCAGAGTGGAACTTTGAGAGATATCTTCTATTCATAGGTCACATAAGCTGTATTTTTGAATGATGAGGATCTGGAGGTGCAACAACTTTTCAAGGAGGACCCAAAGGCATTTATTAAACCAGTTTCAACCTGTTTTGGCACGTAAGTCTCTAGTTCCTGCAGTCATCCATCCTCCCACTAGAATCACTGATCAGATGTTTCAGGCTCATGAAAAAATACAATGAGTTCAACAAGGAACTCAAGCAGTCAGGAGCTGGAAAGACATATGCAGAGCTGCAAGAGGATCTGCAGATGAACTCATTGATCAATGAGTTTCAGCCGCTGTTGATCTGCACATCTTAATTGTGTCTCTGTCAGATACAAAGCTTGGAAAATTTCCCTGGTGGCCTGACCTTCACAGCTGGTGGCAGACAAACCCAGCTTTCAATTACACATTCTCTACAGCAGATGCAGGGCAAGATTTCACAGTCCACTGCATTGGAAGATTTTAATGTTCCCAAGCAATCACAACCACCAGCTACAGGTGATGATGATGTTCATATGGATGACGATCCTGAAGATGGAGAAATAGTTGAGATTAGGAATCACACTAAAGATGATATGATGGTTGACCAGTCCCCCCACATGGAATCATTTGAATCACAATCCTCACCACCATCACCGCTGTTACCTCCGGACCATAGTCCTAGTGACACACCTAGCTCATTCTCACTAGCTCCATTGCCATGCTGGACCCCAACTCCCTCCCATCTCAACTTCTAACACACATGGTGCAATATTGTTGAACTCTCCTAAGTGCTTGCCAGCACCCAATCAAAATGCTGCTGACAATTCACCATCTTTTTTTTCTGATCTCAAGGAGTCTTCACCTAGCCTTCAGTCTATGCCCATTGACTCAGAAGACTTGGATATTTGTGCTAGACAAGCACTGCAGTCTCTTCATGTCAGCTCACTCAAAAGAAGTTGCAAAAGTTTGCCTTCTCTTGCTACAAAACAATCTCGTGCACCTACTTGGAGTGCTTCACCTCAATCTAGTCGCACCCCCTCTTCATCATGCAAACGCCCTGGTAGCAGTGCTCTCGATCAGACCTCTGCTGCTGCAGAAAGGATGTCTCAGACAGCAGATTCCCTAATGATGCACCTTGATGGCAAATGTGAGGGTTGTGTCGAGCACAAACACTATAAACATATGAAATTGGAGAGTGACATTTGGGCTTGTGATCTCAAGGCCTGCAGTGCTTGTGATGAGTGGGAACATGCAATGCATCTTGCGAAACAAGATCATCTCCACCAGCAGGAGAGGATGACACAACAAATCGAGTTTGTGAGAATTGAGATTGAGCTATTGCATGCATGTTGAGAGGAGGAAAACACTTGAATTCATTGTATTGCCATGGAGCACAGTGGTGATCAAAACTGAAGTAGGTCTGTACTATATCATCATGCAACAGGTTTTTTGGAAATGCATACCATTTTGTGCTCGACAGTGCCAACTCAGAGGCGGTTGCAGAACAAGTTCACTCAGGGTCTGGAGCTCACAAAAACACTCCTTTCTTGAGAAAATCTCAAGCATGACTACACACAACAAACACTACAGGTTTGGGATAAGAGCTTACTCCAATGAGGCAAGCAACCACATCTTTAACGTGTTGCGAAAATCCTGCCCCACAGTTCCAATGTAGGTCTGATCACCTACTGCACCACCCTCTTGCTGATCCTCTCCTGTGTCACCGTCAGCTCACCTCAACATTTGAGTTTGCTGATAGAAGCATGCATTCAAGTCTTCATGGTTTGATTTTTCCTCAATTTTGACAATTAAATTATGCAGAATGAAGCATGAATAGATCCACATGTTTGCATAGTTGAGGTCTTTCTGGCTTTGGATTGGAATGCGAAGCTCCTGCAGTGATTGGAACCGACCCTTGATAGAGCTGAAAAAATGCTCTGAATGAACATGGACCTAGATGCTGGGTAAGGACTATGAAAATATATTATTTAATATTAATGCTCACTGTTGACAGGTTATAGTTGAACATCTTTTGTTCTGCCATCAAACTCCCTCCTAGTGGCCGTTTATATGGCGGTACACACCAGGTTTGCACAGCATACACTGAGTCCGCCCCATAACCACTCTCCTGCACCAAAAAAGGACTTGGGATGCCAGGAGACCCTTGTTCATGCAAATATGTTTGAGTAATGAAGACTCCCAGGTATGCTAATGACATAGTCCACAATATGGAGGTTGTGAGGCAATATAACAACCTTTTTAATTGTAAGTCACTGCACTGCACACTGAGCCAATACTTACTTGGGCTGTTAGAGAGTAGTCAGAGTTCTTGTTGAAGAAACCTTCCCCATGCCAACCAGGCTTCTCATGTAAGGGGGATGGAGTCCCATCTACACAAAGAAAATCACTGCACCATTCATGACATGTCTTTTTTTCACATAAGCTTTTACCTGCTCTCGCTCAATCTGATCCTCATGGTCGAGCAGATCAAAATGAATGGCCCGGTCATGCAATTGCAAGATTGTGATCATCACCCATTTGTAGCAGTTGTAGAAGGTCCCCACAGACACTCCAGCCCAGTCAGATATATCTACAGTAGTTGCAGCATTGCCATAATGGCCAATGCTGTTGAGACAAATGACAAGCTGGACTGTGACAGGGAGTTGTGGGTTATTCAATTTGTTATAGAAGATAGGGTGTGGTTGAATTAACATCGTAAGTTTATCAAACACATCTGCATCAACATGGAGCTTGCAGCAAAATGTTTGAGGCAATAATAGTGCCCACTCTTGCAGCAAGTGTAGCTGGGGTGCATGGCTCAGAGACAGATGGACATTAAGCACCTGACACTTCTCCACCTCATTGTGCAGTGCCCTGATCGCATCCAATGTGCGTAAAGACCCGATCACACATGTCTGGGATACCGCTTGATAGAACATCAGAGTATGCTGTTGAGGGCAATGTCAGAGAGCTGATTGAAAAGGTGGATGTGATGGACAATGTAGGGGACACTGGGGAGTCTGGCCATGTTGGTGATGTGGTCCAGATACTGATATCTGAGCTGCTATGAGTATTGATCTCTGATTCCTTATTAGAGTCTTTATCAGAGTCATTATCTAGTAGCTGATCAACCATAAACTCAATAAGCTCCATATATCACACAATGGTAAGGTCATTGGTCATTTGTTTGAGGGTACAAAGTAGTTTTTTTTGATCTGATTCTTGAGGCATAGATGTAGTTGCAGAATGCTATAGATATGATGATGGACATGGTACAAGGTATGGGGCTGATTTGTTAGCATTGGAGCTTCAATTACCAGCAAGTCATAAAAAATTTACCTTTGAAAATTTCTATGATGTCAACTTTGAGAACCACTAATATATTGTCATTATTATTTAGCTTCCACTAACTAGTACTCTGAGTCCCTCCTGTGATGCCTTTGCAATCCTATGTCTCATGCACCTGTGAGAGCTTCAACTGCAAGTACAACCCAGATGGTAGCAAACAAAAGCTTCAAACAGCTCAAATAGCTACCAGGCATCAGCATGCTGATGAGCTACTTGTTGGAGTCAGACAAGAACAGTCATGGTATGAGTGCAGAACCAAACACTGACTAAAACCTTAAAAATGCTTAACAGCAAATGCCAGATATCAGAACCTTCGTCAGCATTAGTATAAAGTAAAGTACAGAGTTGAACATTTGAGTATAAGGACTAGTTACATTCTATTGGAGAACATCAGTAAATTACTAAACTTGCACACAGACTTTGGCTTTAGCCACAAAGTCCCAGATCCCAGAGCCACAGTGCCACAGATTCTCACAGTGCCACAGAATTGACCACAAAATTTTCACTAAGTCATTTCTCTTAGTTTGATATCAATACTAATCCTCATTATTGTCAAAACCTAATGTTTGCTATTTATTTCTTCACTTGCTGAACCTTGTCTTGCTACATCTTCAAGTTTTCTTTGGTTAATTCTCAGTACCATGTACCATTCTCCTATTTCTTCATTGATACTCAACCTCAGTTTTGTTACACCTTGCTATTTCTTCACTAACCTCACTACATTTTTACCCTCACAATATATTTTATCTGCCTTTGTATGACTTTTGTGCTTGCATAGGAAGTTAAAAGGTATATTGAAATGAGGTTTGACAATGGGATTTAAACTTAAAGACTTAGAGCCAGTATGGTAACTGAAGTTTGATTGAAGTTGGAAAACTGTGTTTGTTGCTTGGTACAAGCCAGTACCCAAGTTTTAATGTGCAAGTTGGGCATACTGTCAACTGATTGTTATCTCACTGTGTCTCGCAACATGGTTCTATTGCCCCTCAATCCTGTGTTTGATAGACTATTGTTTTCTGACATGTTGGTCAATCAACTTAATATACTGTTGGATCAGGCAAGATCTGTTGCATCAGTGGTCCATGAATGACTCACTCAATATGTGGTCCTCAATATGTGGTCCTCATGATCAGTATCATTATCTCTACAACTCAATCATTTCTACAAACCGCGTTACCAAAAAACCCTGAACTATATCACACATCAGCACTCAAGGGTGAAGAATGGCTGATGGAATTGATCATTGGCCATCCTCAGTGCATCCACTGTGAACTTGGCATGCATGCTCACGTCTTTGAGAAGCTGATTGAGGAGCTTTGTGATCTTGGTCATAGTAACTTTCGCTATGTCTCATTGGAAGAACAATTAGTAATTTTCTATATATGTGTGTCACTGGTTTAACAATCAGGCACATTGGAGAGTGGCTCCAGAAATCTAATGATACAATTTCAAAGTAAGCCTTTTATATATCAATAAAAATTAGCCTGATCTATTTGTATCAGGTATTTTCGCAAGATATTGTTTATTTTCGCATCCCCCCCATTCTATTCCATGCATGTATGCTTTCTGGATGGCAGCATCATCCCTGACAGGATTCACAACAACCTGAAATTCTGGCCCTATTTCAAAGATACTATTGGTGCCATATATGGCAGTCATATTCATGCATCCCCTCCCTCATGTGATCATATGTTCTACTGCAATTGCAAGTGCTTCATATCCCAAAATTATTTGTTTGCCTGTGACTGGGACCTCAAATTTATCTATGTGGAGACTGGCTGGGAGGGTTTGGTGACAGATGCATGTCTATGGGAGGAGGCTCATTCAGACAACTTAGACATTCCACATGAAAAGTATCTCCTTGGTGATGCTGGGTTTCCATCCTACAAGGAGCTTCTCATCCCCTACTGCGGTGTCTGATATCATCTTGCAGAATGGGGCTGTGCCAGCATTAGGTACATTTTTATTTTTCTTTGTAATGTTTTCAATTTTAATTTGTCAATAGACCTGTCAATAAACAGGAACTATACAACCTTCATCATGCCTCCACATAAAACATTATTGAAAGAATTTTCAGTGTCTTAAAATGGTGCTTTTGCATCCTTCTCTTATCAGCTAAGTACAAAATAGAGGTTCAAGCATGCATTCCTGCTGCACTATGTGCTATTCACAACTTCATCCACACTCACAATTGCCAGGAAGGCCTTCTCCCAGAGGGACACATTGTTTTCAACAACAACAACTCAGAATATTAAGGGCAGCCTGAGGTTATTAATGGTGCAAACCTACTACAAGACCATATTGCACAAAAAATATGGGATGATTACCAGTTGATCTTGGCTGAATGAGGCATATTAGATGACTTTTCCATGGTGGACATTGACAACAACAATGATTAATTGTAGTA